TATTATATAATAATTATTTTTAGTTGGTGAAAAATATATTTGTAATTGTTTAAAAAATGATAAAAATAATAATTTTGTTGCTGAATTCAATAGTATCTTGTAGAAAATTCATCAAGCAAGGAATTAGTAGTTGTTGTAAAAAATATCCACTCTATGTCTATCTATTAGAAATCTTCGCTCAATATTGTAGTAACCACTGTGAGTGATTTCTAAGAGTAAACATTATCCACTGGAAAAAATATCTGTTCAATGAGGCATTAAGTGTTAGAAAAGAATCTCCTTTAAACTAGGAATAGCCGTTGCACAAAATCTTGTCCGAACCAACGAAACTTTGTCCAATTTTCAGCCCGGCTAGTCTTGGGCTCAGCTAGGCAGGTACTGGGCCTACTAGCTGGCTCTCCTTTTGCTCGGCCGATCCTTGAAGAAGAGTCAGGAGACAAGATAAATCAACCGGTTCTGAGCCTTTAATCAATCGGGTTTTTTTATATTTAGCCAGTTCTTCTTGCTTTCTTTCTTCGTGAATTTTATGCCATCAAACTCCAAACTTTAGGTCCATTCTTCAATGTAACAAAACTTAATTCTTTTCCGTTAATTAACAAGCTTGCTACTCGTGTATTTAATGACATCTATCAACATACCACACTCAAATACAATATTGATAATATCAAATATTTTGTTATTATCAAAATTACAACAATTAAGATTATGGTTATTTTAAATTAACAATATTATAATTATGGTTATTTTAAATTAACAATATTATCAAACCCATCTTTGATCTATAAGCTTACTTGTTGAGACTAATGAATACACTGTACGTGTATAGATTCATCATGCGTGTAGGATCTTTTTATACATGAACAATGTTTTCATTGATGTGTTCTTGTTTCAAAAAGAAGAGATTAAGGAAAAAAGATAACAGATGTAATAATAATTTTTTTTTCGAAGATTATTCTTTAGATAATTCATAATTTCAATCATGCTTTTACTTTCAAATTCGAAAAATAGGTGGTTAATTTTCTTCTAAGCTTAAATATAATATCTTAATTATTTTCATTCAAGTAGATAAAAAAAATATATATAAAGAGGATAAAAATAGCTGATCAGTTTGAAGATTGAAATGTAAAAAAGAAAAAAAAAACCTTTTAAAAGGAAAATGACAAGTGAGGTGATTGGCATTAACAGCGTTAAAAACTATTATTTTTTGATTTATACTCTTACAAATAATGAATAAGTGTTGACATATTATATTGTCATGTATCAAGCAACATTTAAAAAAAACCAATAAATTGGCTTTTAAATGATCAAACTTTCTTATTTTTATAAAGTTCAGTCGAATGAACTGTGTAGATTAGATTAAAAATCAAAATATACTCTGCAATTGATGAATATGTATTGATATTATGCTATCGCGCATGAGGGAAAAAAATCCTTAAAGGCAGGTACACATTTAGTAAAGAGCTTGTATTTAGAAGTAGTAAACATATTTTTTAAAAGGAAAAGCATGTAAAGACTGATAATAAGAAATGCATGTCCTCTCCTATTATATTATAATCAATTAAATGAGTATTTTACTTAATTATTTATGCTTATAATTGGTCGACTATATATAATCAATCAATTACACGTATAGTTAATCAATTAAAATTAATTGATCACTATCACTAATTAACCACATTAATTCACAATTATTTATATACTAATTTGTTGTCTGCATTACATTCCAATAGAAATAGACTCAGATTATATATATATATATATATATATATATATATATAAAAATAAAGTAACAATTAAAATATAAAAAAATTATATCAAAATTGAAATATAAAAAATAAAATTTTATCCTTATTTAACATTGATGAGCAGATAATTTTTGAAAGCATGTAAATTGGATATATATATATATATATATATATATATATATATATATATATATATATATAACTCTATTTGAAAAGTATGGTATTCTTGCATGGTTTTCTAAAACACATTTTTTAAATTACTTTATTTGAGAAAAAATAATTTCAAAAAGTAAAAAAAGTAAAAACTAAATCATAACTAAATAGTAAACGTTTAGTGATTTGTGTGTATATGCATAGTCAATTTATAATAAAAATTACTATAAAATAATTTTAATAAATTTTGATCATATAAAAAAAGTAAACAAAACGTGTGGATTTTAATTTCTTTCCTCATCAGCATGTATTTTTGTTTCTAAACCATACGTGCTTGATTCTCATGCACATATCTCACTCGTATAACAATCACTTTCTCCTTCTTTTTTCTTTCACTTATTATTTTTTATTATTAATTATTGCATTTTAAATTGAATTTTTAAATACTTAAGAAAAATTTTTAGCAGTGAGCTTCCAACCTTTGGATTAAACATATATATATTTAGAATCATGATAGTCTCGTTTAAAATTATAAGAATCTATCATATAATCTATATTTATTTATTAAATAAGAGAAAATAATCATGTTCAGAAAATTTTATTTCAAAATTCAGACACAGAAAAAAATAAATTATATTTATAAATAAATAAAATTTAATAAAAAAAGATAAAAAAAATTAACTAGATAAGAATTTTCATAAGAAATGATAAACTAAAGGGATAACTTTTAAATAATTAGAGTAATATAATTTGAAATTTGTGTTAAGTATAAAATAAAAAAACACATCACTAATATTTCTTCCTCATTGATTCATGGAAAACTCAAAAAAAAAAAAAAAAAAACATTAGTTTTTCATAATTTTAGCGCAAAATTAAATAATAAAAAGATTACCCAAAAAAGCCGAGCCGATGGCTTGCCAGGCAACATGCTTGGGCCTGGAGAACCAGGCCCATAAGTGCATGGACTGGACACATGTCTTTCGTTTACAACTTTTGACAAACCTTACTAGAAAATCGGGGTATTAAATGTCAGTCTTTCAAACTCAAATTTACAGTTATTTTTGTTTCAAAGCACTTTAAAATCACTGGAATTAGCCCAACAAACTTATTTGGAATTTTAAAACTCATTTAATGCATGTTAAAAAATATAAAAATTCAAATCAAATTAAAAAATATTATAGAATATCGATTCTTTTCTTCCTATTAATTTATGACTTGAAATCATGGTGAATAAACTTTTTCACCATAAAGAATACATTGAAGTCATAATCGGTTGTCATTGTTTAAGGGAATATAACAAAAATGGAAGGCTAAATGGAAGGGCCCAAACAGGATGAACGACTGGGAACCTCAGATTTAAGCGAGGGTAACCATGGACCTCGTCCATGTGAACCAAACCAGGTATATTACAGAGCTTGACTGCAACAGCTAGTACAGATACTAGGATCCTGCAGAGAGAGTTTTGGTCCATTTGTCCTAATGCTCCTGGTAGGAACCGAGATTCTGTTTCCAAAGAATAGTTATATTGTGTTCTCTCGAATTGGATTAGTCAAAATCCGTTTTAACTACGTTCGCTAACGCCAGAGCCCATTGATAAAGCAGGCGCTTCTTCGATTATCTCACAGTTCTTGTACTCAGTAATTCAAACTTTTTAACCATCTGATATTTAACCTTCTGCCCGGCTCCAAAAGGTGAGAAACAGAAAAGTAGAAGTCCTGCAGTGGCCGAATCACAAGATGCACTTGTACTTTCCCAAGTTTTTGGGTATCCAACAGTAAAATTTGGTAAAAATACCAACGTCTAACAAGTAACTCAACCTTTTTTTCAACTATTTCTAGAGAGCCTGCATTTTCCTGATTGTTGACTGCTGCAGGGTACCACACAATTGTATCATTCAAAATCCCCCAACCCCGCCCCACCCCCATCTAGAAATGAGAATTTTTCGTTTTAGATTTTTAGATAAGGAATTTTTTTTCTTCTTTTGTAAGCGAAGAAATATTTCATCCCTTCTGTATTTCGGGCAAATTAAACAAAAAAAAAAAAAAAGATTAATTAATGGTAAAACAATCTTTGCTAAAATCAACAGCAAGCGCTTTGGATTATTTTTTCCTTTTCTTTTGACAAGTTGTAAAACCACCTCACAACAGAGCCAAAACGGCACAAAAGTATAAACAGAAAGGATGTTCTACTGAAGTTGAAAAACACAACAATGTTCTCTCTTCCCAGAATAGAACCAGCTGGCGGCTGTATAATGCAGCCCAAAATACTTAATATCTTACAACTTATCCAGCTAATTGGGATCTAACCTAATAAAATAAACAAAGACCTAATGATCATTCTGACAACAAGGTCCCAGGTCAATCGAACGCCATCAGAATACGACTGGGTCATGTGCATATCTATTATATATAAATTGCATATGGGAAACGTGTAAAAGAAACATTTGTTCTATCCCTGAAAAAATCCAAAAGATTCTGATTTCACATGGTATTTGCTGATGATCCATCAGTTTAGGATGCCTTTTTCCTAAAATAAGGAATCAACTGAGTTAACTGGATAAAATAAAAAAGATCAGTAGATATAACTGTCTCTGGAGCAAAATAATACTAATTCGTAGCATGTATTGTCCAAGACATGCAACTCAATTTTTTCAGCACAAATACATTTTGACAGGGGGAAAAAAAGAAGAAAAGCCTTCCTTGTCCATGAAAAAAGAAAGGGCAAGGACTGCATTCAAGACAACGAAAAACAGAAACAGCAATCTATGGAAAGATGCACCTTGGTGAAGCAAGTACTGTCTAATTTGGCTGGAGGTGCTGCCATGAGGAGTCTAGCGCCCAGCAGCTCCGGGAAACAGATACTGTCCCTTGATGCAAATGCAAGAAAAAACAAAAATAGATGTATGATCCCCCAACCCAACTTGAGATGAAAAGGGAAAATGAAGATGGCTTCAGCAATATGGCGTGGTATTGTCATTTGTAAACCACTCTTCATTTTGGTACACGCTTATTTATTGACGAAAAAAATTAAGAAAGCCGCAATATAATTAGTCTCTCAGAGAAGGAAAGGAATTTGCATTTCTCAGACAAAATTCTGTACACTTCAAAGAGCCCTGAATAAGGAGTGTCTCCGCCTCTCAAACTTCACCCTCCACTTATTATCATTGTTGATAGGCTTAATGAGTCGTTCTCCTTCCATTTCAAATTGAAGTGAGGACTGCAGCATCTTTAAATGTCCACCGCACTGCTTATGGTCTGAAGAATCGACACTGCTAAAATTTTGTTCATCTGGACCAAACTGTCTCTGGTATGGTGAGTGCCATTTCGCTTGCAAATAAGCCAGAGACCTCCAAGGTGGAAGAGGCATCGAATTTTGCTGCAGAGAAGATCTAGCTGCATCGGCCATTACTCGAAGATACTGTTCTAACCTCGTCAAGGAGCCCACATAAATGACTGGAAGCGACTTCAATATTCTATCATAAGAGTCAACAGCTCTAGCTATTTCGAAGTGGCTTCGGAAGTCCACATCAATGATCACACGCTCAGAGCTCCCACCATTGATACAGTTGACCACATCAATATATTCATGATCCCCTGCCATATAATACAAGAACCAATTCTCAAAAACAGTAGAAGTAGAGCAGTCTTCAGAAAATAGCAAATGCAGCCACATGAAACAAAATAAAATAGGGTGTATATTCCAAATAATATAACAAGAAGGTCCTGCCTCCAAATGGACTATCACAAGATTCACAAAATCACAGGTTGCCCACAAAACCCAGATTAAATAATTTAAGGGGCACATATTGGACATTAGAACTTGAGGTCAGGATTATCCAAGGAAACAATGTTCGAATACAAAGGGTAGTTCAAGCCCCAAAGAATATGCAAAATCATCAAATAGATGCAAAGATTAATGCTTAGGCAAATCAAGGACTTCCAGAAATGAGATTTTATAAAAGTTTAACAGTTCCCAAAAAAGCGAAACCACCAAATTTCTCATTTGTATGGCATCTTAAAGGTTTGAAATTGGAGTGAATGTTGGGGGCAATTCTTCAATCCAAACCCAGTCAAGTCATAACAACCCTCTGTGATTATAGCCCCTCAAAGAAACCTTAAAATTGCAACTTAAGGACAAGATTGCATACCTCCTGGCACCTTCCCACTACCCTGCCACTTGGATGCACAAACAGCAGCATCATATCCTGAAAGTCTCAACAGCTTCACCAAAGAAAAATTGATGCAGCTTGCATTACACGGACCTGAATTGATAAGATGAAGGTCTGTGTCCTTTATCGATTGCACAAGAGAATGAACGATTGACAGCAAGTCACTCTCATATTGAGCCACCGTGCGCTTGTAAAACTGCAATAGTAGCATACAGTCAGCAAATTCTATATGATCAAATAGAGAAATCATGAACAGTGACTGGAGTTAAAATGCATCAAGGAGGTCGCCTGCTGAACCTATTGAAAAAGCACTAAGAAAAAACAAGAGCTGCCATTTAAATAAAATTGCAGATGCCAGAACACAACCGGGACAGTATACCAGAGCAGATTCACACAGACGACCATGAGCTGAGCTAGTCTTTGCATGCACTTCAGTTTGGGATCTCCCAATTTGAGATTTCTATTTTTTCTTTTTTGGTACAAGAAATCCTATTTGATTAGTTTTACCACAAAACTAGAATTTTGCAATAATTCAAGAAGAGAGAGAAAATATCTGCAATTGTGGAATCTAAATTTTTCTCTTCCTCACAAATTACAGAATTCAACTCAATTTTAGTGAAGCTATACCATAAAAATTACTTCAATTAATTCTTACATTTTTCAAAGGAAAACAAGACCAGAAAAAATATCATAATTTTATATGTTTTTTCTTCTCCTCTTAAGTCTTAATATGACCTAACAAGACTAAAAAATTTATTAAAAATAGAAAAGAAAGAAAGAAAACTAAGAAACCATTCCTTAAGACTTCCCCGAATAATAATTAAAAAAAGAATGAACAGAATTCAGTTCAATTATTTACAAATTCAGCTCGATTTCACTTTCTATAGAAAATTTAAAAATTCTTTCATCTGTAAACTCCAATTACTTCTATAAATAATAATAATAATAATAATAATTTGAATAATTCTAGAAAAATATACGTAATTCTTGTGAGAGAAGGCAGTAAATTGGTAAAACATGAGAATAAAAATTACCGAAATCTTGTCGGCGAGATGGTGAAGATCAGAGAGACCAGAATCGCTATCGCTGCTACACCAGGAATCGGCACTGGAGCTACAGCCGTTCTCGAGAAAATCGCTGACCATAAGAGCTAAATCATGTTCGCTCTCGTGGCTGAACCCTCCTCCTATTTGCCCTACAATCCCCCTCGCCCACCAATCTCCTGTTGCCGTCGCCGCACACATCATCAATCCAAAACAACACCGTTTTCTCCCCTTTTGTGTTTGTGTGCATATATTATATAATTTTTTTTGTTATTTCATAATCACCAAACTTATGAAAAAAAATTAGCCGTGGAATCTATAAATAAAATTTGAATTGTTTTGTGGTTTTTATACATACAGAAACGCGAAGCTAATATGACGCTTTTCTGGAATAAAAAAATGGTGTTGTGATCATAAAAACGAAAAATACAGATACTGTTTTGATATTGTTTAAGATTTTGGTTGAGGTAAAGCCGTAAGGGGAGTAAGAAAATTGTGTTTTTTCTTTTCTTTTGTTTTTGGGATGGGGGTGAAGCTAAAACCCAGAAGGAAGAAGAAAGGCGAGAGGAAGAGGAGTTTGAAAGGAGGGGTGGGAGTCAATTGGGAAAATATAGAGAGAGGCAGATGGATGGCGATGGAATTACGGGAATATCCTCAGAGAATATTTTTCCTTCGTGGCCAAGTAAGTCCTCGGATTTTAAGGGGCAGGTGAAGTGGATAAGGAGGAAAATGATGATCAATTTGGATGTGGACGGGATTCGGTGATTTGTTCGTCGTCGAAATTGGTGATTACAGGTGGGCTAGGCTTTTAATGATAACGGAATTCTTGTGGGTTTTTGCGTTTAGATTCGATTAATTGATTCTGTCAAGTATTTGATCTGTTACAATACTTGGCAAGTAAATCGTTGTCTTTTTTCTTCTTCTTTTTTTTAGTAGAGTTTTCTTTTATTCTTTGATAATGGTATGTGATTTATTATTATTATTATTTTTTAGCATTTGTCCATCTCTTTAATTACTGTATAACAAAAGGAAATTACTTTCATGATGTTATATAAAATCAAATTAGATTCTTTACTGCGAACCTAGCTTGGATAGCAAGTAGTTTGCTTTCCTGGTTTTTATCTCATTTTTTAATTCAATGTAAATTAAGGAAAAAGAAATTTTTTATTACATTTATCTAAAATTCAATCTAAAAAGGATTTTAATTTTGGTATGTGATTTCTTTAACTATTATGTGGAAATAATGTAAAGTTAGATTGAAGGTTAAGAAAAATAAAGTTCTTTCTTTCCTGGAGAGTAAATAAGAATGAGAGACTGATTATAGTTTTTTTTTTTTTTTTTTTTTGCGTGGCAGATCTAAATAAGTTCAGAATTCTTAACTTTGTTAGAAATAATTAAATTCGTGATCTCTTAATTATTACAGAAAAACCACTACCGCTTGAGGTAAAAGCAGATTAATACATTCTGCATAACACTCTCGTGTCAATATATTTTATATATGTTTATTTTCGAATGCATTTAAGGCTAGGGTATAAAAGAGAGGAATTATGAACTGCGATTTTTGAATAATTTTCTTCAATTATATTTTTTCCGTGTGGATTCCATTATTTTCAAAGGATTTAATCAAGAGCCATACGTACCAAGATGCGCTGGCACGTACGAGGATAACTTCAAGACTACAAAATCTATATCCGCGGGGGGATGATAGAAAGAGGATAAACAATTGTGAATTTATAAACCAGACTCAGAATTTAATTCTTATAATTACTTTTTTAATAATTAAAATGGTGTGTTTAAGAGTTTTTTTTATAGTTATATTTAAAAATAAATTGGTCTCGAAATATATAAAAATTAACCTAGAGATACCTTTACTATTTAACCTGAAAAAACAAAATTCGCTGATAGGTTTTTGTAGTCCTTTCTTGAAAACGCAGAAGTCATTCCAGTTTTTTTTTTTTCCTATCAATCTTTGTTGATCACGAAGTCGTTACAATTTGCTGAGTGGGTGTCTTTACCTACCCAACAATTCATCAAGATGTTATGTTTCCTTACAGATAATTTATTCGAAGCGGCACATGTATGTTGCAACCTTCGACGTTTCAACTATTCATGAAATTTAATTTCTCGAAACCTACTAATGTCATGTGGTGATCTTATGAAATGGTCTAAGGTGGTAAAACTCCATAATTGGTACGTACTATTGCGCAACTTTTATCATATAGCTCAAAAAGTTTTTTAATTATCAAGAGGTGTCTAAATATTTTTTATTTTCATAATGGAGTATCTTAATTATAATCTTTATCGATTGAATTGTTTATTTGTTATGAACCACGTAATCAAGTACATCAATGGATGTCTTTTTAAGAATTTGCTAGTGTATTTATTCATTAAATAATGACATGGATACAAAAAATCTTGTAAGAAAATTAGGACTGATACGTGTCATCAATTAATTAAATAAATAAATACGCATGCAGGATTCATATTGCATATTCAAAGACATGCCTCAAGTAAGAACCTTTTAAATTCAGTAAAATAAAACTCATACTTCATATATGCACTCGTAACATTAGCAAAAAAAAAAAAAAAAATCAGGGTTTGGCTCATTTGATCTAAAAAAACTCAAAGATCAATTAAAAGATAAATATGTTTTGTCATTGATTTAACTTAAAAAATAATAAATTTAACTCCGATTGATGTAAAAATTAATCTGAAAATATTACATTACTTATAAATATATATATAAAAAAACATTTGTTATTTTTACTATAAAATTTGACTTTCATGTCCATCATGTAAGGAAACTTAGTGATAGATTATTATGTGGTTATTAACATATATGAAATTTAAAAGATAAAATTAAAATTAAAACATTTAGTTATAATTTTTTTTAAAAAAAAACTCAGACACTTAATATAATCCTTTTTATATCGATTACTAACAATACATCAACATGTGCTGGTATTTTTGTTAAATCGGGGTGGAGGTATCCAAAACATGGTAGTAACATAAAAACGCCTACACACTGGATTACATAATTCAAGAAATGACATGGAAAGCATTGGGATTTTGCAAGGAAGCAGCATTTCGACCTTGGCGATCGGGACCAAGTCACCATGCAACTTGATGAAACGGAAGATTAAATAAAAAGCACACACGGTCACTGCCTTGAATGGAAATTGACGTGAGCTTACGTCAGCGCTAATCACCCAATAACTGACCCGTGACCTGGCTGTTCCTCTCCTCTCCCTTCTTCCCCCTTTAATTATTTGAAATCGATTGATCGGTTACACAGACGAGTCAAGGCCCAAACTTATCCACAAAAAAAGAAGAAGAAGAAAGTCAAAGTTCCATCTAAAATCACTGTGGAAGGCTTCATTAACAAATTAGAAAAACCAGATTATGATAAGCTGTTATATATGCTTAAACCGTTTAGGATGATGATAATGATGTTTTTGTACAAAAAGTCGGTTAATTGTCCATTGTCAATAGTGCTTTGCTGATGATAAATCACGGTCATTCCTCAGTCCTCGCTTCTCCACCAATTCTTGGTCTTCAGCCTTCACACGAGAGCATCTCCACGCAAGAAATTAAACTTGTAGAAATTAATAATAAAAACATGACAAGTAAATTATACTGAACGATACACCAATATTGGACAATATTTTTTCATATCTTTCGCATGAACAACGTGTGACTATAGTACGAAAAGGGCAGTCGTCCTTTCTTTAATTATTTTGATTTCTTTAATTATTTTGATCGAATCTCTTAATCGAGATTTAACAAAGTAAGAGTAATCAGGAATTACAAAAATTCAAAAAGAAAACATCTTCATGGTTAAAAGTGGAGATTATAGTATAAGCTGGTTACTGGAATTTTCCTATTTTGAGACGAGAATGCTGAAAGTTACCGGATAGTCCTTTTTCTTTTTCCACAAATCTTTCAAGAGGAGCCGATTAAGAAAACCACTAAAAAAGAGAAAAAACGAAAGAAGGTTGCCAGGAACTGCACAAAGACGGGGTCCACACGCTCGCAGCAGTATCTGTCTCTTTAAAGAGATTAGGACACTTGCCAATTCTGGTATTGATCTTAGGCTAACCATTGACCAACCCCACTAAAGCTTTAAAAAGCTGTTCGGCCAATTAAGACCCAGCAAGAATCCTATGAGGTTTGCTCTTTGAACTCTGCTCTGGACCACTCTCGTTTTCGTTCACGTGGGAAGAGAACCATTTTAGGTGAGAGAAGACAAATGGTTGAACATAAAAGATCTCTACGTTGGGTTCGGTGTTAGGCTGCTGTCAACTGATAACTTGAACTAATTTGTTGGTAAGAGTACCTCTGGAAGCCTTGTTTGCCGCGGGCGCGGGGTGGTGGGGGTGGGGGTGGTTGGTCCGGACTCCGGATAACGGAGTTATTCAAGACTTGTTTGTTCGTAACATACTGCAATGTGTTTCTGTTATTCCAAACATTTAACTCAACATGCATCAAAAACACAAAAGAAGAGAAGTTTCCGCTCGGTTTGGATTCAATCTGGCCGAATTTATTGGTGGTACCAAATTAAAAAATAAAGAAAGAACTCAATTTCCCGATATTGAGGTGCCATTGTTCGCTGTACTGCTGGTATAGTTTTTGTTAGCTTGTAAGTTTCTTTCTTTTATCGAGTAAACTATAAATTAATTCCTTTTGTTTTAAAAAACAAATTAATTAGTATTTTTTATTTTTAAAAATAAAAACAGCAAAAAATAATTAAAAATTATGGAAGGGCTGTTGGGAAAAAAATGACGCTTTATAAATAAAATAATATTAAATAAAAAATGGTCAATATTGGTTTAAAAAAAATAATTAATTTTTAAAACAAGGAAGACTAATTAATATATTTTTTCTAAAATAAGAGGACAAATTTATAATTTACTCTCATCTGATCATCCCTTTGTTTTTTTTTTAAAAAAAAACTATCGGCATTGATCAAAGCAACCTGAGATCAAATTTCAATCAACTAGAATGAAAATGTATTTACAGAGTAGGTGGTTTACAATCCTAGATTTAATGTCTCCTACTCCAGTTTTATCATCATGTATCGTCTTGCAAGCTTATGCTTTTCTTTCTTTTCTTTCAGTGGCCATTTGCAAGCTCATGTTAACTCCATATATCCAAGAAAAACAATATCTATCTGATGCACCAACTAGTGAACCTATACATGCATGTACGAAAACGTATGATTTATAGTTGATATTTACCCTAATTACATTGTGCCATTCATATGGAGGTTAGCCATCAATAAAACGGCACTAGTCTGTCATGATAATGAACCTAAACATCGACGTTTTTGTGACAACCTTAATGATCCTCGACTAGTATCTATATGTGTAGGTTCTCTATTATATAGTTGGTAGTCTATAATATACTTATATTGTAATATTCCACATTGTATTATTATTTCCAACCCTACATGTATAAATAAAAGTTATAGTCTAACTAAAATGGTTATCCAATTTCCTCAAAAATAATTCCTTCTCTGAACTTACACGTATACCGTCATAAATCATAATATGTCACAAGGCAAGGATATCTGTAGTTCTTGAATTATTAAGATACATGTGTATCTATAACTTAAGGTCAAGACAAACCACACCTGCACATAAAAAAAGGGATCCATTATGCAACTAGCACCATAGCTTATTAAATTTCCTCAAAAACTTAATTGCTCAATCTGAGCATCTGCTGTTCCTTGCCAGGCGATGGCCTCTGGACCCATTTTTAAGGTCAAGCGTTAAAAAAGTTTTATGTTCTGAAAAAGTGATTCTGCCATTATTTTATGACAGATGAGCATCATTTTCAAACTCCACCAATTCATAATATGTTTAGCCTAGTATTGTGGTTAGAAATATTAACGAGTCAATCAGTTTCATACACGTTTATCACTAGAATCATCCATTTCTCCAAGCATTGGAAGCATACCCTGCAATAAGGTTTCAATTGTGCAATAAAAAATTCTCTTCTTGCCTCTTCTCTATATGGGAATCTAATCATCGCTAAACGGGGGACCTTTAAGAAGAATCTAATCATGGTTTAATTAAAAACTAGAAAAAAGAACAAAGGAATCTAATAATTGGCAAAACAATGGCGAAAAGGATAATAAATCACAACTCAGGCTATTATTATCTATTGCACTAATATCTGATCGTGCTCTATCATCAATATATACTTCATCGATTAACAACAAATTTTATTGGTACGGGTTTGACGCAAAGCGAAAACAGTCCAATCACCAATAGCCATAGTCAACTTCCAATCACAGCACCTCATGGTTAGAAACACTAGAGCCATTCATCATTTACTTCAGCAATCTTTTCTGGATCCTAATTGAAGTCATTTAGAAGTCGGTCTCCCTTAAAAATAACCGAAAGGCTGGGCTTCCAGTGCATTATACCCTTCAAACAGCATACTAGAAACTCTAATGCAGAACCATGCCATATATTCTCCCTCCCCGACAAGAAAACCTAACTAAAGACTTAAAAAATTTTAGATTCTCCCTCTAATTTAAGAATAATTTTCCAAGAGAAAATAATGATGACTGCTCTCTATTCCCATCCACATTCCAGGTCCAAGGTTCTGATTCCACGCAAGTTGTATACTTTTCAAAAGATAAGCCCTGTTGGTGGATGTCGGGCATCCAGGAGGACCACGACCTTGTCCATCATATAGCTTGTAATTGGTATGCTTAACTGACGATAAACGCAAGGACTTACAGCATATAGAACCACCGCATATGCAAACAAGCACTGGTTTAATTGTCCCACAGGCCATAACTCAGCTGGGACACTGGGCATGCCCTGCTTCTTTCTACTTGGGCCTTAGGGAGTATCATGGCAAATCTCTATCCATTTAAAATTCAATCTCTTTATTGTTTTGAGGTGCATTTTGCGGATAATTGACAGATATTATTGTTAAAAGAAAAGGAGAGACGCTTCAGACCTGTTTCTTTTTTTCATTAATGATTCTGGTTTAGAAGATATAATTTACCTAGGATGCGCAGTCACCAAACAAAAGTTTAGAAGAGGAAAAAGTGAAGTTGTGTCTAGGAATAAAATACAGCAAAATATAAGGCAGATACATAGATGTATATGACAGCAATTAACACTTATTGCCTCCTAACCGGTAGCGAGCACAGATTTTTTGTAGCATATGTAGATAAGAAAGCAATGATCATGGAAAACAATTTGTCTTGTGAAATGCGATCAAGATTTCCTAGAAAAAGAGCTTTTTCTACAAAAAAAAAAAAAAATGCATTTTCATGAATAACAAACATCTGCTTTCAAACATTTAGACTACTTTTCTAAACTTTTTTTGCGCACAAAAAATAGTAAACATGTCCTCTCAAATTAAGCTTAGAAATCAATTCAAAATATGGCCCCTCTTTCCAGGAAATGCTTGACTAGAATAAAACCAGATAGCATTCAGGCAACACTGTCAGATAATCTAGAAGTCCACTATTAAAACCACAATCAGTCATTGCAAGACCCGTGGTTGTTCGAGAATACAGGACAAAATCATAACAATTCACAACATATGAAAATTTATCCTTACACCCACTCAGTCAGACTCTAGATTCAGTTATGTCTAATATGCTATCTAGATAGAAAACTAAAAATTATGACCATATTTAGCATGACAAGTTTGAGTAGGGGAGCATGCAATCCTAATTTAAACATCCTAATATGCATCTGAGTCATCTCTATCAAGCCTACCTTCTCACATTTTCACTGCAATGTCTGATCTCTGACAAATGTAGTTATTTTCATCTAAACATCGAGATATTTACATCCCAGAAAAATAATTTTAACACATTACCACTTAGTATTGCCTTATACAAAGGCATACAAGTGAACTAAGATCCAGAAATGTCACTCCATCCAAAGTTTGACAAATACATTTTTGGACAGATGCAAACATGGAGCAAGACTGATGGATTCCACATGTCAAGGAACCTTCACATAGTATTGTGCATGATAAGATAAGGACAATTATCTTATACATATAGTGCTGAAAAGGGATCCACACAAAGTCTACTGTTATTTAATCACTACAATAAGCATGGGACATGAATTCTTTTTTTTTTTTTTCCATAAAGGTCACAGAAGCTGAAATACCTTATGTGGCCATGTGATCACCTACAAAATGTGCTCTTTTCAGGTTGAGATAGGAAGGGAATCCAAGTAGATGATGACTTCTTATCGAGGCTTCAAATTTCGCTGCATGACAAGAAAATTAGTTAAATAAAGGAAACCTAGGCCAGTGGCATAGCACTCTTAAAACCATATTCCACCAATTCTTTTTTCACCGTTAAATGATTTTTGATGTCAATAATTAGGAGGTAAAGAGTGAATAAGCACTGAGCATTGCAGAAACCGCTGGACCATCATTTACCACTGCACTAATACATTTCTCTATCTAATAATAATAAAATAAAAGGAACACATGCATCTGCCCATGCACAAACATATAAATCCAACATTAAGAAGTATCATACTTTTGGCCTGTCAGTAGGTATTTGTGGCTGTTTATCCAGCGTTCTATCAGTATCTGATGTTTGCTGTTCATTATCATGCTTATAAAATGCCTGCAGAGCTCTCCCAGAAAATGCACGAATTATATTGACCTCCATTGCAGACATATTTTTCCACTGCAATATCAAATTCAAGAGATCACTTCACAGAACAGCAGAATGTAAGATAATTAAGAGTAAGAATGAATCTAAATCCAACAACTAACATTTAGCTTTCCGATAATCCTGCTAAAACACAAACGCAAAAGCTCACAACATTTGCTAAAGCCAACAAGTAGACAAGAATGTCTCTGTTATCAGTGTCTCCCTGTGCCTATATTCTGATTGAAGTTCCTAAGAACAATCCCTCCTTTCTAGAAAGGAAATAAGATATTGTTGTACAATAAGTTAATAGTGTCAACATCTACTCAGCTATGAAGTTTGGTTGCTGGTCCCGTGTGAGCAGCAAGGAGGCTACTCAAGCATGTGAGACAGCAGCATCAATTTTCATTGCAAGACAATTCTTACATCCATACGTTGCCTTAACTGGAAAAGGTTCGGTACTTTTCTCCCTTATCATTTCTTTGGTTAAATAGGTGATCTTATCAGAACACTGAAAACTGAAATAAGAGGGGTGACAAGTAAAGATTGTTTATCCCTGATTTCACAATCTATATTTCTTCTGAGTCTTGCATTTAAATTAATTTCTTGATGCATCCACCCTTATTCAGTTAGATCCAGTGGTTTAGCTCACATTCATGTTGTTAGAAACCAAATAATAGTAGCAGACCTTATTGGAAGTTTCATATTAACAATCTATTTCAGTAAAAGAAATTTTTAATGGATGGGATAACTAGAACACTCTTCAATTTTGCCCAACATAAGCCAGATCATCCTCTCCAATATGAAAAGATTTTACAAAGGGTACAAGGTGAATCCAACAGTGATTGGCATCAACGAATTGGTAAGGAGGCAGAAGCATACCGTCACTGTAGATGCAGTAAACTTTTCCAAATTAGTCTCCACTTTATGAAATCTTACATCTCTGATATCCTCGATAAGCGACCTCACCTGTGAACAGGTAAACATGAAATTTATGCCAAAAACACAAAAACATAACTGAAAGAGATGAAGAAATCATCAAGGCTCACCATATACATGTCAGGAATGTCCTCACGTGCACTGTATTCACAAAATTAGAATTGACATTCAATATTGTCAGCACTGAAGTGTGGAATAAAATAAGAATGTTTCAGTGCTTACTGGTCGAAAATAAGTCTTGAGATTTCCACGTAATGAAAGGGTAAAGGCTGAAATGCATGAAAATCCCGTTCTGCTTCCAAAACCTGAGTTAAATTTTCTAGTCCACAATGCCAATAAAACAATGAGAGAGTGCAATCTACAATTTACTTTCTGATAGAAATACATCAAGAACAGTTAAATCCCTAGCCTGAAATAACTGGAGTAAAAAGCGGCAGCTGACTGAAAGATGAACAGGAATCTAATACTCCCTTTGTCCCAAAGAAATTGTCTTATTTGACTTTCCACATAGATTAAGAAAGTTATTAATTGTTATGTCATACTTAACTAAAATACTTGTTTGTAAGAAATGTTTTTGGACAATTTTTTACAAAATGGACTTTAATTAGGAGTATTTTAGGCAAGCACATCTCTTAAAATTTTGACCAAACAAATATTTTGAAACAGATAAAAATAGAAGCTAGACAATCTTTTTGGGATAGGGGGAGTAACATCAAGGTCCGAAACTCACCAATTGACATCCATTGAGGAGGCCTAATTGTGCATTTCCCCTCTTCTTCAAAGCCAGAGCTAACCAAAGCGGCACTTGAGCTGCCAATTGTGGATAAAATGGACCGTAATCCCCCTGCCATTACACCAATCAATAAATTACAAAAAAAAAAAAAAAATCAAATTAAACTAAACTAAAACACGCATATACACATTTCTGTGCGTGTAAGAGATGGGGGAGAGAGGCATTACGCAAAGAAAATTGAGAGAATCCATCCTCAAATTCGGAACAATCTCCACTAGTTCATCTTCTGCCATAAATTCAATCTGTGCAACAAAACAGGCATAAACAACCACGCGTAAATCTGGAATTCGTGTATAGAGAGAAGGAAAGGGACCTCTTCAGGAGAAAATAGGGACATCATGGAGTCCGATTGACCGGCCATTTCTGCGACTGTGGACGGATCTAGGGTTTAGTTAGATTCTGATTTGGTGCAATTGCAGATTAGGAGATGCAACGGTGGTGATGTGGAAGGAGAGAGTGTGTGAAAGCGTGAACCCTAACTCAGGAGGTGTTTTATTTAACTTTTTTCTGCCTGGGCGCTGGGTTTAAACTTTAAAATTGGCGGGTATTAGGAAGTTTGGACTTCGTTGGCCCAGTTGGCGTTGTTTTCGAACAACTATGTTAGAGACAAGTACATTATACGAGCCCGTTTGGTGTCTTAGTTCTTTTAAAAAAAAAAAAATTGTTTACGCTTAGAAAGGAAAAATAAAATGACATTATAAAAAAAAATTGTCAACAAACAAAGATAAAATTTGCGACAACCTTATCTTGTCTATCCCACATATTTTGCAGTTCAAAATTATAAAACAAGAACTAGAGCCTAGATGTAACAACACTAGGCGCTCTCTCTCTCTCTCTCTAAAATAATAAATTCAGCTTAAACCTTATTTTGACACTTATATGTATATTTATATGCCAAATTTTAAAACAAAATAAAGATTACGTGAGTAAATTATAAATTAGTTTCTTTATTTTTTGAAAAACAAATTAATTACTTTTTTATTTTAAAAATTAATTATTTAAATTTTTAATCAATTTTAATCTTATGCGATTTGATATTATTTTATTTAAAAATATATTTTTTTTCATCAATCATTACGTGATGTTTACTTCTTCTTTTTTCTCTATTTCTTAAAGCAAACAAAATAAATTAAAAAATAGTAGAAACTATTATTTAAAAATATAGAAATTAAATAATTAATTTTAAAATAAGAAAGATTAATTAATTTTTTTTTATCAAAACTAAAAAAAATAATTTATAATCTACTCATAAAAGTGGGATTGTTATTTGAAACATTTTTATAAGAGAAGGGAATGCAATTCTTGATATACCTTAATAATTTTTCGACCAAAATCATGCATCCCAGCATCCAATTAGATACTAAAAGTCGCCAACCAATCAACATCTTTATTACCTTCTCTATAAGTGTGATGAACATTCACTTCCTAATCCCTCTATAAAAAATCAAGAATCTGTTTAAAGAGAGGATCATTAGATAGAGTTCTAGTTTGACCTTTCATGCCATTTACAAGAAACAAAGAATCCAATTCAAACTTAACCATCCCGTGCCCTTTCTCTCATGCTAGTTGAAGACCCAAGAGATCTCCACAGAACTCTGCTGCTTGAACTAATTGCAAACCCCAATATTGGCAGAAAATCCATCAAACCAAACGCCTCTATAGCCATAAATGATAGCACGCGCTCCATCAGAATTTAACAAAATTTCTATTAATCTAACAGTGCTGTAAAACAGAGAAATATGTATAACTACAATCAAATTTCATACCGTACTTGATGATGGTAATAGATAGAAAAGACGCCTACGGAAATCATTAGTGAACGTCGCATTTTCTTGATTTACCAAGCATATTCCCAGTGGTTGAATTTGAAGAAAATTCAATCTCCAAACCTTTACAAGAAGCTCTTATCCACTCCGCTGCACTTCCAAATGTACTCGGTGCATAAAACAGCAGTTTCACATTGAAACTCACGAATCCATGTTCCTTATCAGCTGCAATGGCATTTGCAACAGAATTCGAAATGTTCCTCGACGAGGCAACGACCTTGGCTTGCAACAATTCTTGATGATAGGAATCAATTTTTAAGGGCCCAATATTTGTCATCGAAAGAAGCTCCTTGTTGTAGTATAAAGAAACATCTATGCTATCATAGTAGCCTATCCATGAATCGGCGATAAGAAAATCGAAGTTCCATTCTGCAGTGATTTGATTGTCGGAGACATTCAGTGGCGATAAAGAGATGGAATCTACGTTAACAGCTGGTAAACGCTCGTATCTAGTATAAGCTGAGATTAGAAGTAAACCTCCAAAAACTATAAAAGCAAAGCTAATGAAACCCAACTTTAGACAAGGAGTGCAGGGTGAGAGTGAATCGTCATCTGTTAGTGGAACTTGCACAGAAGAACGATATGCCTCGACATAGTTGCTGCTGCCGTTGTTGTTGGTAGTGTTGGGTTGCGTTGAACCATAACTTGACCGCATGCCTTGTAGGCTGAAGGATTGATCAGACATGTCGATTAAGGATTGATTATTCGATTCCATCGAAACATTGTCAGTGTATCGATACACAGGGCAGCCAATCACATATTCTGTTGAACGGATTGTACCATCTGCAGATTCTGCACCCATGTCCTGTTGGTAGTGCTGGTCATTCGATTGTCTTGTGCTATTCCCAATATTCCATTGATTACATACAGGGTAACCTATCACATATTCTGTTGAGCGACTTATATCGCCTACCGGAGATGAAGGACCCATCATCGTCGTGGATCAGAGAGAAGCAAAGAACTTCAATAATAAGGATTATTATAGTAATTAAGGTTTTGATGCACGACATTTGTTTCTCGTATAAATACTAATCCGCCCAGCGTACGATTTGTTTTTATCGCAGTCCCGTCAGGACTCGAACTCCCTAAAAGGAATGGAAACCACTCTTTTACGATCTTAAAATTCAATTATCAAAATAAGTTATTTTAGTTCTTAAAATTAATATTTTTTTATAATTTGATCCTTTATTTATAAGTTCTTTTCATCCTCAAAGTTTTTATAATAAACATTTTTGTTTTTATTTTATAAAATTTATGTGATTAAATCCTATATGTTTAATTAGTAAGCATTAATGAGGTATAAAATGAGTATCCCTGCCTGAAAACTATATTAGTGGAAGCATATTTTTTGTTTTTATTAGCCTCAATGCTCATTATGTAATTTTAATAGATATTTATTAAATTAGATAGAATAAATAACTATTTCACATTCATTCTGTTGTTGTCGTCTTTGTTTTTGAATCAACTAAGTCCAAACAAATTAAAATATATTAAAACGCTTTTTAAAACTATAAATAAGTAACAAGGTGTGATGGTTGTACTCGCGGAAAGCCTAATTAAGCCTATTTTGGTTAGTTCTGGCAATAAATTTTTTTGTATGATTTTTGCCAAATAATTTAATTTATTTTTTTACTTTTGACTCCACAAAAAAGTATAAATATATTTAGTTAGAAATAATTTTTTGTTTGAATGAAAATTTTGTTTTAAAATTAAATCAAAATTTTGTTTTAACCTTTTGATTTGTGAATTTTAACCTATACTTCCTCTTTTATTTTAAAAAGTTGCTCTTAATTTTATTTTCACCCAACATGCTTTTGACTTGATTCATTTTTGTTATAAGTTTTTATTGAAAGGAAAACTTTAAAATCTATGATAGCTTGAGTACATGATAAATTTGACGTCACCTAAAATATGATTATTTTAACATATCAAACATGTTACTTGCTTATAAAGGGGACATGATATATGAAAGAGGTCAAAATGATAAAAGTTGTGATAAAGAGAATAAAATAAATGAGAGAGTTAAATCAATTTGAATCTTGTTTTTCATATAACTATGGTATGATAAGAAAAAAATGAAATTACCAAGTGAGAATTAAAGTTGGTAGGATTTAAAGATTTCTTTAAGAAACTCGAACCTCTAAAGTTTTATCATATTTTTTAATTAAACAATATATTTTGTAATGATTTTTTGTTTTTGATTTTTGTTAACTTTGATTACTTTCTTTTTCTTTTTCCTTTTTGGATGATATTAATATATTATATAAACCCAAGAACGAAATTGAAATTTATACGAGTTAACAAAAATGGTTAGAAGGAGAAAATTAGAATAAAAGCAAAAGATGTGGTAACCGATTGGAATAAAAATAAAAGATGAAGTCTAATTGAAACAAATCAAAGATTTTAGATGAAATGGAAGAAAGAAATATCTAAGAGGGGAAAATTAAAATTTTTCGTTAAAAGAATTATTAAGTAGTCATATGAATTTCACACCATTTATATATATTACATATAACCGTAGATTTATTAAAATTCTCCTCATCTTATGATATAACATATTTTTGTTATTTATATAATCCGGTCTATCATATGAGTTTCAAGTTATCCGAAGTAAGGATTTCAAAAAATTTAATGTGATATTTAATGATAAAAGAAAAATCATATGAATTTCATATGACTACTTAACAATTTTATTAACAAAAATTGATAAAAAGATTTGATTAAAGATCCAATTATACATCGGGGATCGGATCGGTAGGATAAATTGATTAGGGACCTAATCAATATCACTCTTATAGGTTGAGTACTTTTACTAAATTTATCCATAATCACTATAACGTAGAGCTAAAAAAAAGTGTCACTTAAGAGAAATGAGAATTTTTGTGCTTGATTATATATACATATATTCCCCGCTTGTGAGTAAGTAGGAAATTATTGTACGGATCCTAATTATTGTTGCTCGTTGAATTTAATTTTAAAACGGAGTATATTAATGCAATAAAACTTTAATTAGTGATTAAGTCCTTCACGATGAAATATTATGAGGTTCGGTTTCACCTAGCAAGCCACTAGGACTTTTCGTGGATACTTAGTTTAAAGACAGAGTAATAAAGTATAAAGAATTTTATTAATCGGAAGAGAAAAATTCATTAAAAGAATGTAAATATCATAAATTGAAAAATATGATGCTTACATCATTAGCCATCGAGATGTTCGATGCCATTATAACAGATCAACGCTTCCTAAGTTATAAAGATGAAATTGTTGAAAGCCTTAAAAAACTATCGCACTACTTGTAAAAAAGTAGGAACTAACTATCATAGGGTAAACTAAGACAATTGAATAAACTTGTGTAAGAGTCTCGTGTTGTTGATTGTGTGCGATTCCGTTGGTCTTCCTTTCCTTAAATAGCTCCCGATTGACCACTCGCTTTTTATTTAAATTTAAGTGCGAATAGTTATTTAGTAACTCGTTTCTTTGTTTACTTTATGCATATTGTCTTTGTCGAAACTGGCTGATTGCAGTAACCAATATGCATCATTTTATTTAAATCTCATGATTTCATTGAAACCTAGCTGGTTATACTACCAAACGCACCATTTCATTAAAGACTTAAGGCTCCGTCGAAACCTAGTTAGTGACGTAAACAAACGCATCGTTTCATTAAAACCGTAAGGTTTCATCAAAACTTGATTGGTTATAAGACCAAACGTATCGTTTCATTAAAGACTCGAGGCTTCATTGAAACTTGGTTGGTTCATAAGACCAAACGCACCATTCCACTTATACTTTACTCGTTTTGTCAATAAGAAGACTTGATTAACATATGACCTTAAATTTTGAAGTGCCAATACTAATAATAATTTATTTATATTTTTATGTGCTAATGGGATAATTGTTTTGTGTTCTGCTTCATTAAAAAAATTACAAGAGGTTTAAGGTGGCATCATGTTTAATTTTCTCTCTATTATCCTTGTATGCTTGCTTTTAATATTGAGTACTCGTTTTAAGATTATTGGTGTAACTCGCAAAGAACTTGTAGCACAACCTCTTGTGAAAAATAACATTTTATTCCATGATAGTAGATCTTATTTATATCTTTATCTTATTATTGTGTCATCATCTTTTAAGTGTGGAGTTTAAATATAAAAAAATACAAAGTGTATTTAACTCAACAAATCAACACTATATAGTAACATTGATGAAATCAAATTTGGCATTTGTGTTAAATCTTCACCCATTACCGTCATCAATCAAAAGTTGTATCCTTAACATTAATTAAATGAACAAATTATTTATTTTGCATTAAGTAAAAACAAGAATCTTTTTTTTTACAATGAAAAACAAGACAAACAACCTAATAGCTTAGTAAAAAAAATATCAATAGCATTTCTAACGATGACATCAATAAGATCCGGAGGTGGTTGATGCCAAACCTAGAAGAGAGTGTCACCAAAAGAATCCATTCCGGAAAAAAGTTAGTTCTACGATTTCTCTATCTTAGAACATGGTTAAAAGAGATAACTCATTAGTGTTAACATAAGTAATGAATATCAATGATGAAGTCATAACAAGGGTGAGCACGAAAGATTTTATTATTAATGACATGAACTATTTCTCAAGATTTGATCTTTATAATTACCTTTATATACCTACAATCTCAAGTAAAGGTGAGTCATTGTCTAACATGCTCCAGCTTAGCCATTATTATAGAGGAGTGGCTAATATAACCTAAAAAATTAATCTTTCAAGCACCGTAACTATTGCAAAAAAAGGTCGCCTATCTTTGTACGATCGGACAAACTAAAAAACCTATTGTCGGTATTAAATTTAACCGAGTCCAATGTAGAAGCCACCTAAGAAATTCAACACTAAAAAGTTAAAAGTTCAAGTAGAAAAAAGAGTGTCAAAATTTAACACACAACCATGAATGAGCAAGTTTATCAATTATAACTAACGACTATATATAATAACGAGAGATCTAGATAACCTCTTGATTTCTAACACACTAAATGGACCAACATGAGAGGATAAAAAACGACATTAGTTCCCAAAAATATTAGTGCAAAAGGCATTGTTGTGAAATCATTCTTTCCATGAATCAAAAGAAAGAAAACTAGTAGTTGAACATAGGTGTGGGGCTACCGCCAAATAACCTTAGTCCATATGCAACCACGAAGAATGTGCATCATTGTCTCCTAAGGCTTGCTACATCTTTAACACATAAGAAAAACGACCATCCCTTTATGGAATTGGAGTACATTGCTAGGAAGACACTACCACTCCAATTGCTAGAGAAATAAGTAATGTTTCGTGCAAAATTCATTTTTTAGATACTATTCCAATGACAATTTAACTCCATCGTATATGAGATTTTAGTAATGAAGTCATGCCCGGATTTGGTTGCGTGACACCCTCGACTATTTTTTCCTAAGCAAATCAATCATTTATGAAGTATATCTTGGTAAGAGGAGTGGTCGACATTGAGCCAAGGATATTAGATGGAAGAGTGGTACAAAAAAAGTGAGATATCCTAACTATTAAACTCATAAATGACGTCGCCTACCAACGAGCCTCTCTTTAATAACAATATTAGATTTTTGGTAACATAATTGAATAAAGACATCCATTTATCAAACCAAAGTGAAATATGTTGGCCAATGCCAACTCTCTAAATGTAACATCCTTTAAATATGAAAATGACTTACAAATAGCATTTCAAATCGAAGAAAAAAACTATTTGAAAAGGATGATGAATCATAAGTGAAACACCATGTAAATACTTATGGCATAACACACGAACTCAAAGCTTATCCATCTCTTGAATAATATCCAAGCCTAACTTGCCCAAGTATATTAATATTATTGTATTTTGCCATTCAAAATCCCAATCCTCAACTATTTCTAGGTGTAGTAACAATTTCTCAATTCATAAAATGAATTCGTGTGCTTTCATCCAAAGATCCTCGTAAAAAAACTCCTAGAAAGTCTATAAACCTTGTGACATAAAGCGGATGGTAACCATATACATTGCATGGTGTAGAAATGGATAGTAAATATTGTTGATCGAACTAAAGTATATCGATTGGCCTTAGTGAAAAGTTTTAATTTTCAGCATGTTACATGATCATGAATCTTCTTAATAATATGCTTGAAGGAGGTATTGCTTCTCTCCACGAACAAAGAAACACCCGGGTAATGTCCAAAATCTAAAGTAAAGGAAAAATTCAAATGTCTCCTTCATACGAGGTGCGAGGAGAGATGTAAACATGCATTTTGAGATCATTGACCGGTATCTCTAAACCAAGTATAAAAGTGATCTATAGTATTCAAAACGATAAGACAATGTTTATGAAAAACGTTAGAGAATAAAATCACATAATCAATAAATAAAAGGTGAGAAAAAGCTAAATTGTCATGTGAATCAAAAATAGGTTTTCATAACATAGCCAACACTTTACAGACCAACTAGGAGTGATCATTTTTCCATACATAACACAAACATATAAGGAGAAACAGAATCACCTAAAGGAAGACCCCACATAGGGTGAAAGCTTGGCAATTTGGCACCATTATAACCGAGAGAGATGAATTAGTAACACAAGACATGATAGGGTGAATATATTTAAGAGGAAAAAATCAACCAAATTTGTCGAAGAAATTGCCAAGTCAACCTTATCATGAGCCTTAGTCGAGTCAATCTTTAAAGCAAGAGAGCATAATTTCTTTCAAGACCGTCGAATAATGTGCATTAGATCTTAAGCTAGTACTAGCATTGTGTTATGAGTTCCAATGCGGTTAGAGATGAAAGCACTTTGAAAATGACTAATTAACTTATCTAGCAAAGGGGAAATTCTCTTAACAATTTTTTTATGAGAATCTTGTAATATAAAGTGTTACTAAAACTAATAAATTAAAACTACTTTATGCTCGATTGGATATTTAATCTTAGGAACGAGAACAATTCATGTTTTGAGTAACCGAGTAGGACATACACTAATAGTGAAAACATTTTAAACCATCCGTAAAACCGAATCTCTAATAATATATCAAAACTTCGATAAAAAATTGGTTAAAACCCATCCGGACTAGTAGCTTTATATAATCTAAGTAGTAGCATAACTTTCTTTTCAATATAGATTGAACCCCTTCCACAACTCTCATGGCCGGTGATATTCCAAATCAAGTACTTAAAACTAAAAACTTGAAATTTAAGCATTTGTTATCGCCTTCAAGTTTTCTAATTTTCACGAGAACAATTTGACTATCTTAAATGGTGTGATGGTATCATACTCCATCACCAACTCGTTCAAAATTACAATGTCTTTACAAACTCTTACCGTGCGAGTATATGTAATTAGATCATGTTAGAACCGCATCTTCTCGCTTTATTTTTTTGCACTTGGAGCGTATGGTATTTTAATAAGTCAATCTTCGTACATCTAAGACAAACCTAAGATCATTCCCACCGACACATTAACTAAATAAACTAAAACAAAACGTCGATTTATCGTTCCAAACACTCGTTCACACACTCATAATTCACTATTTATTGGTTTTTTACACTTTGGCCCCCGATCTTTGTCAACTAATCTTTCGATCCACATGTTCATTTGCTCATCCATTTTAGTCCCTATACGAGAGAGAAAGGAGGAGGGAAGAGAGAGACGAAGGAGAGAGAAAATCATCGCCCAAGCTTATTTAGGCCGCTTTGGCCGACGAACATCCACTAGATTTGTTGATCTCCGAGAGATGAGTTTATCTATGGTTGTTTCAAGTTATTAAACCAACGAGAGGAGGTAGATCGTAGCCAAAAAAGGAAACAAAGTTCTGTTTTGATTGTGTAATTTGTTTTTGTTTTTCTATGCATTAAAATGATTTTTAAGGTTTTAGATATGTTTATTGGCTTTATTCCGATCATTTAGAGGTGTTTGGGGGAAAAAATGATGTTGGAATTCAATTTCTAGGAGTCCGAAACTTGAACCTCGACTTTCCGGCGACCTCGATCGTTGGAAGTCGCAACCTATTTTTTTTTATTTTTTTTACAGCGAAACTTGTGCTTGGCTATTTTTTTTTCTTTTCTTCCCTACCGTTTCGGCATATGAAATTGTTATTTATTTTGGTCCCTTCATTCTTTTTTTTTTTTAAATTTTGGTCATTCAACTTTTCTAATCTTTGATTTTTATCCCTATCAAAAATATTAAAATTTTATTATATGTGATTTTAATCCTTATAATCAAAATTTTTTTAACTTTTAGTAAAAATTTATGTTTTTTTCTATTTTTTAATATGTTTTTATTTTAGTTATGAACATTTTTTCATATTTAATTTTTATCATTACTATGCTAAAACTAAATAAAATTTACTATCTTGAGGTTTTTTTTTTTTTATTGAAATTTTCTTTCTATTCTAATTTCTGTTTTGTTATTTTTTCTTTCTTTTCGTCATTAAATTTAGTAAAAAAAAAAATTTAGTCTTTGTTTTGTAATTATTTTTTATTTTGATAATTATTTTTTTCCTACAAGGAACTATTTTTTACTTTTAATAAATTTTTTTTTATATTTTGGTTTTTGTTTTATGATCTTTCATTTATTTTGATAATTAAACTTTTATTATATTAAATTATTAATCATTTTACATTAAAATTAAATACATTTTAAATATCCTAAGTTTTTTTTTTATTTTTAGTGAAAAATTTTATATTTTGATTCTTATGTTATTAATTTTTTTATTTTAGTCGTTAAAATTCTATAATGTTTATTTTTGTTCCCGCCTTGTGCATAATGAAATTTTTTTAGTCTTATTATTTATAAGTATTTTTTGTATGCTTTTAGTGAAAGTTTTATTTATTTATTTTTATCCTTTTATAATCTTTACTTTTTTTAATCATTTAATTTTTATCATGTGTAATTTTATCTCTATTTTCTTTGTCAAGTTCTCGATTTGACAGAGCTTTTTTATCCTTTTGTTTTAAGTGGTCTCTCTGTCTCATTAATAAATTACGGATGAATAATATATGGTAAAAATTAATCATCAAAAATTCAAAAAACTATTACATTATTATTTTAATTATCAACTATTAATAAAATACATGTTTATATAAAAAATATCTAATTAGCAATATTATATTACTCAACTTTACAGATTTTTCATTAGCTAACCCTATAGCAAATTATGAAATATATGTTTTAGTTTTTTCTTTAATTATTTTCGCATGATATTGACAAATAATAATTTGTTAATGTTAAATTTTATATTAATGAATGCATAAGAATGGTATATAATTCATCCCGTGACAATGCATAAGATATATGCTAGTCGCTTCTACACTTAATGTAAATTTACACCATTTTTGGAGCTGGAGAAGTCAATAGTAAATAAAAACCAGAAAATTCTACAACGCTTCTGAAATATTCCACAAACATTATCTATGCATTTTTTTTAATCGATCTATTTCAGAGTTTTTTAAACAGAAGTACCATTTTTTTTAAAAAATAGCTCAATTAGATGTTGTGATATTCAATAGGAGTGGTTCTGGATCATCAATGAATTTTATAAACAGCCGATTAAGTTATAATAAAATCCTATCTTAGTTGAGAACGGGGGAGGTGTCCTTCTTTTCTTTTGTTTGTTTGTTTTTTTTTTTTTTCTTTTTTCTGTCCGTTTTTTAGGCATCACAGAACAGAACAAACCAAATGTGCCCTAATCAAAATAGTGTAGAAGTATAAAAAGCTATGGACCCGCATGAGAAATGACTCATCAAAGCACTAACTAAACATTTTGAGTGGTCAAAAAAAGCAAGATGACCCAATCCCTATGCACACCAGCCACTCCCTTACCTTACCATGACGCATCAATCCACGGGCCCCTGGCCGTAAGTATCGCAAAACTGCCAAGCTCTCGTTAATCCTAACGGCTCCTACCCTTCAACTCCCCAAACCACCCTCATCAAAACCATCGAATTTCAAAGCATATTCGGGATAGATTCGAGGCTAAAATGGTAAATCAATTAACCACAGATTTATGGCACAAAGTATGTGATCCATCGCCATAAAAACTCCGAAAATATCAAACAAAAACCCCGAAACTGAAAACGAAAACTAAAATCAAAATCAGTCTCTCTGCTTCAATCAGAACTCCGCGATCTACAATGGGCAGGACGTTTTTCGTTGGCGGCAATTGGAAATGCGTGAGTCTCATTTTCATACTTGATATTCTGTTATTGATGTGGAAATCTGAATCAAGCCAGTCACTTGAATTGGTAAGTGATTTATTTATTTTTGGATGCAGAATGGAACCAGTGAAGAAGTGAAGAAGATAGTGTCAACACTCAATGATGCTCAAGTGCCTCCATCTGATGTTGTTGGTAAGTGTGTCTTCTTTACCGTCTGTTTAGTTTTCGTTGATTCGATTTGTTCAATTCAAGTGTTGCTGTTAATCTAATTCTTATAACTGCAAGGTAATTACACAAATCGGACTTGTAAAATCACTTGAATCACATGAATTGATATTTTTTATCATGATCTGTTTTTTCAATCTGTTGATGTATTGAAAACTGGTTTGATCTTCTTCAGAGGTTGTTGTAAGCCCTCCATATGTGTTTCTTCCTTTGGTGAAAAGTTTGTTGAGGCCTGATTTTCATGTTGCGGCTCAAAATTGTTGGGTTAAGAAGGGAGGTGCTTTCACCGGTGAAGTGAGGTATGCTTAGGCTTGATGCTAATAATTTTTATTAGTTGGTGGCATTTTGTTTGTACTGACTATTACATAAATGAAATTCATGAATACTAGTTGTTTGCTGCTGGATTTGTATGTCCAAATGCTGAAGTTGATGTCTTCGTTATGTGCAGTGCTGAGATGCTTGTGAATTTGGAAATTCCTTGGGTCATTCTTGGTCATTCCGAAAGGAGAAGTCTACTAAATGAATCAAATGAGGTAAGTTGTGTTACACGGCATGGTATCTGTGGTTAATTACTACTGAGAATTCTTCAAAATTATTTTTGTCACAACTAGTTAAGGTTCCCATCATGTAATAATCTCCCTTTCTGGGTGCATTTCCTTTAGTTTGTGGGCGAAAAGGTTGCATATGCACTTTCTCAAGGGTTGAAGGTAATAGCTTGTGTTGGTGAGACTCTTGAGCAGCGGGAAGCAGGTTCTACCATGGAGGTTGTTGCTGCACAAACCAAAGCAATTGCTGGTATGCTATTGATAGTATTTATCGACAATACTTTTTTGGTTTATGATGTTGTGCATGATTGTTTAAATTTTATGTATATAAGAAGTTTTGGTCTTTATATGGTGGTGGAACATTGTTGATTAAGTTAATTTGTTGTTAGTTGGGTATGCAGAATCATTGTTTTCTTTTTAATTTAAACATCATCCTCTCGTTTACAGTGATGAAATTTTCTTTGTTTTAAGGGAGGTAGTTGATCACATGCTTACGCATTTTAGATGAGCTTGAAATCGACGCTGCCTATTTCTCCTGGTTGCAGATTTTGAAATGCACCTTCAAATGAATGTTTAGAAAACTTTTGTATTTGTCATTCGTTTAATTGGATTTTGATCATATCAAGGGTCTCCATATATGCATACCTTCATTATTTCAGTAGATGTGGCCATAAATTTGGAACATACTATTATGTTGATTTATTTATTTGTCTCGCAATATTCACAATAGCCTAACTGCAACGAGTTTCAAGTAGCGTCAATGATTGTTTAAAACTTTGCTTTTATTGCAGAGCGAGTATCAAACTGGGCTAATGTTGTCTTGGCATATGAGCCTGTGTGGGCTATTGGAACAGGGAAGGTGGCAACTCCTGCTCAAGCACAGGACGTAAGTCCAAACTTTGCTTTTTTTCAAGTTATGCTCATTATATGCCCTGTGATTTCCACAAGAAGAAAGAAGAATAGCATTAAACACCCATTGTTTATTTCCTGTACTACGAACACTTAATTTATTCAGGTTGCGGTTTTGATCTGCACGTTCTGAGCTTTATGTTTTCTGAGAACTCAAAATCTTTTATGCTTCTATGAACTTTCTATCTCATAGTATTAGCTCATTTATAGCAGACAAATGGTGCTTTTGCCATCTATCTGTTAAGTTTCTTAACTGCCTGCTTTCTCAGGTTTTTTCCTGCATGTTAAACACCAGTTAATCTGCTATCGTGTCTAGTCTGTTGGTTTCCCATGGTTAATATTTTGAAATTTTGGGTTTTAAATATAATGGGTGGTTATGCTCGTTATAAGCCCTGTGCTTTCAACGAAGAAACAAGAATAGCATTAAACGACCATTGTTTATTTCCTGTACTACGAACACCTAATTGATTCAGGTTGTGCTTTTGATAAGAACATTCTGAGCTTTATGTTTTCTTAGAACTCAAAATCTTTTATGCATCTATGAACTTTCTATCTCATAGTATTAGCTCATTTATAGCAGACAAATGGTGCTTTTGCCCTTTAGCTGTTAAGTTTTTTCTTAACTGCCTGCTTTCTCAGGTTATTTCCTGCATGTTAAACACCAGTTAATCTGCTATTGTGTCTAGCCTGTTGGTTTCCCATGATTAATATTTTGAAATTTTGGGTTTTAAATATGATAGGTGCATTTTGAACTGAGGAAATGGCTTCACGCAAATACCAGCCCTGAAGTTGCTGCAACAACCAGGATTATTTATGGAGGTATCTTCATATTTTTATGCTACTTCCAATCTGTCTATTTTCTCGATAGCTCTGTTCATTTGTTGTAGACCTATATGATAAATAGATTGATAAAAATTCTTCATTTCTTTTTTGTTTTGTATTGTTCATTTTTTGGGGACCCAGTTTTACACATTAAACAATGCATTCTGTAACGTTAGGTAGATGCTTGCATAAACTACTGAGTAGAGAATGTGCTATGACCTCATGTTTCTTCAACACAAACTCATTGAAACATGCTTGGTGAATAGGCGAGTTCAGAAAAGACCTGTGAATCTGAAATCCGAGCCAAACCTTATGAACCACACTTGAAAAGCCGGTCTAGGTTTGGTTTGAACCGAACCTATAAATTCAGGTTCTAGGTTCAGGTTCCTGATTTGCAAACCTAGGTTAAACCTATCGAATCGAACCTATAATAGATTAACTAAACCGAACCTGATTTGCATGTTTAGGTTCGGTTAACCAAAACGAAGCTGTTGCCTTACACACACAGACACACATTTTTTATTTTCTTTGTAAACTTCTCAATACTAAATAGAAATGTTAGACATAAACAATATGTTTATATGTATTCCAATTCTAGTTAATAAATTATTAAAAAAGGTTTATAACCTATTAATTACACTAGTTATGTATATGTAGAATATAGAAACAATACAAAATCTTCAAGACGGACAATCATATTTCCATTTGCTACTCTTTTATTAGTTCATCATATAAAATAAAATCTTAAAATTTCTTCTAATCATACAAATTTTGAATTAGATTATCTCACATTTCAGAAAATTGTTATAGCTAGTAATTATGCAAACACAACTATAAACTAAGTTCTTTCCTTCATCGAGTCTTTATTAAAGATCTCTATTTCATGTTTAATACTACATAATTAAATCACATATTTTATTGTTATATGAATAACCTAATACAGAGTGAATAATTAGTGTATATGGATATACAAACTAACTTATTTTATTAAAATTATCTCAGTATTACGACATCAAATATGTAGTAACTAAAAAAAGTAAAAGAGATTTTGAATGGATAGATTATGAGAATATGCTAATTACTCAATTAGTAGAATGATATTTGATGCCATGATCTTAATTTCTTAATCACATTTACTATTATTAAATTAAGAATTTACTGTCAATTAAATATAAAAATAGATATTTGTTACATAGAATTTGGTACTTAGTTCATATAATGTGCTACACATGTTAATGATACGTTATTCCACTGATTATACAATCATATGTTATCCCATTAGTCATGTAAAAAATTATGATAAATTCAAGTGTGTATAAATTAACTAGAAATATTATATTGTGTGACTTAGTTCATATAATGTCCTATACACATGCTAATGATACATTATTCCACTGATTATACAATCATATATTATTTCATTAGTCAGGTAAAAAATATGATAAATTCAAGTGTGAATAAATTAAGTATTATTTTGTGTGAAAAATAAAAATATATATTAAATTGTGATATTTATGGGATTTGAACCTTTAATAGAAGATTATAAAAGTTGGAACTTATTGCTTACAGGTACTTAACTTGAAAGTTGTTTTTTGAAGGATTGCAAGTGTTTAGGAATAGGTTTAGGTTAACCTGAAAACCAAACCTACCTATAGGTTCTTTTGTTGTTAGGTTCAGGTTCGCAAAAGTGTCAGAATCTGATTTTTAGATTCAGGTTCAGTTTATTGGATAATGATTTAGGGTACTGCACTGTGAATACCCCTATTGGTGAAGCGTAAAAGATTGTATCATGCTTGGTCCAGATGGATCAATATGCTTCCTTGATCTATCTATTCATAGCATGGGCACCATTACAATACTCAGGGAACTGATTGAACCTGAAGCTTATTGCAAATTAGACTGTGCCTTGTTTACATCTAGAGATAGAAGATACTGTAGTATTGCTAACCAATATCTGAAAAGCTAGTGTGCTTTTTCTTGTGCTGCTGGCTCATATTTGCTTTCGTTCTGGTTTCTTAAAGGGGTGGTGAGGGAGATAATAGAATGTTGTTTAATTTTCTTTACATTTTCCCTCCATGGTTTCTTAATTTAATGCTTGCTTCAGGGTCTGTTAATGGTGCAAACTGCAAGGAATTGGCAGCAAAACCTGATGTTGATGGCTTTTTGGTTGGTGGTGCCTCCTTAAAGGTAGTGAAAATTCCAAATTATTTCATTTCACTTTAATTGTTCTTTCCATGCCGGCTGATTTTCCTGACGTTTCCCTTTCATTTTGCCATCATCATCAGCCGGAGTTCATTGACATTATCAAGGCTGCTGAAGTCAAGAAAAGTGCCTGAGCTTGGAACTGGGCACGAGTGGTGGTGACTCTATGATGCTTATGTTTGGGGAGGTATAGAATCCATCATGTGCAATTTTAGACATGTTTTTGAGGAAATAAGGTTTCACTCTTCTGTAATGGCATAAGCAAGTTAAGTGGCTTTATATTTGAATAAAGCCAACTATTTCCTTCTCAATACCATTTGCATTTCGTGTTCTTGGTTACTTCGCCTTTGATATGTTTGCCTGAATGCAATCCATTTGTATGTTTTATGTCCGGCCCTTTCATCTCTTTTGAAGTTGCTTGGGTTGTAAATGATGAGAAGTGGCTTAGGTTGTAAATGATGGGAATACTCGACAAGGCTGACGTGGGAAAACCATCACAGCCAAAAGCAGATGTTCCAGTAAACTACCACTACATATTGTCTAACCATTTATATTGCTTAATAAACCAAAATATAGCTGTAGCGGTACTGGAAAAGTAATTCCTCTCAAATCTTCTTCCCACCACCTCCCTTTCCTCAATGGAAAAGTAAGTCCTTTTCTTCCAACCTCATCAGTTTCTGCAATGGTCAGTTTTTTCAATGCAAGTTTTTGATGCAAGAACCTTTTGCCACTTGCCACACTATCATCTCATGGATCATTTTTCACTCTTTCTTTTCAAGACAGGCTGTGTTTTTCCTAGGTCTAGACACTAGACAGGCTCGAGTTTCTCATGTCTTTTCTTGGCATTCATGAGGCCTGATCTTTTCCTCTGTAAAGGAGTGGTTTCTCATGTCTTTTCTCGGCATTACCGAGTCCTGATCTTTTCCTCTATCAAGGATCTATCAAGGAGTGTGGCGGATCTTTCCTCCATCAAGGAAAGAGGCCTGATCTTTTCCTCTATCAAGGAGTGGGTTTCTCATGTCCTTTCTTCATCTTTTTCCCCTACCCAATCAAGGAATGGGTATGTTGTTTCTTAACACAACCGTCATGGGAGTAGTTCAGAATTTCAAGTTCTAGTAGCGGTCACATCATTAATGATATCCGCAAGTCGGCTGGAAGTCGTTCGATTGAAAAAACGGGATATGGGAATTTAAGGAGCGGACTCTTATTGTTTATTGGTGAGTTGATCATGAAGGGTTCGTTTTCTTATCTTTCGCTGACAAGATTGAAAAATGAAAAATGAAAATTTGTTATATATATATATATATATATATATATATATATATATATATGTTATTCGATTCTTAAGCTTCCTCGACTTCAAAAACTTAAAATTAATTTATTGTTCAATCATACTTAGAAGATGAATATAATTATATATAAAGATCCTAAGGTATTTGAAGTTTAAAAACTCAAACTATATTTAAATAATTAGATATAATTATATATAGAGACCTTAAGGTATCTGAAGTTTAAAAACTCAAACTATATTTAAATAATTAGAGTTTTTTTTTACGTAAAGTCAACTTTTGTAAATTACATTTATAATTTTTTTTTCGTTTTTCTCAAGTTGAGCTTTAACATGATATGACACTAATTTCATTTGATTATTGTCTCATGCCGCATAGGATAATATTTCTCCAGGCCGTTCAAATAGGGAGATTCAATCGCTGACTGAATTAAAAACAAAAAGCGGATAGCAGTTGATGAGCTTAACTACCAAACGACAGGGAAGAAGAGTCATTGTGCATGTTATGTTTGACCTTTATATCAGAATTATTTAATTGGCGATCTCTTTGCATGTTATGACCTCACGCGTGAGGTCTTTTTTCCATGCTTTTTAGGGTGATGGTGGCAGTTGGCACCCTCAACTTTGAGAGATTTTACATTTTAGTTCCAAAAATTTGAAATCTTTTAATTGTATCTTCAATTTGAGACAAATTTAATACGAAATACATATTTTGCACCCCTAAATTCTCTCTTAGTTGTTTTTATTTATAAGCCTTGCCTTGATTTATTTCAAATTGGCCGCTTTAATAAAAAAATTATAACTCCATCCTTGATCACAATAGCATAGGTTCAATGAAAATCCATTTAAATGTGTGTAAATGTAATAGGTACAAAGTGTCCTATCAAGAGTTTGGATTACCCTACTGGTCTTCCATGCATTTTTGGAAACACTAAATTTACCTTTCTCATTTGAGGTGATAGCATTTCCCTGAAAACGTTAAGCTTGTGATTGCCTTGATGCGAATGAATTTATCTACTGCTGGTTGGGAACAGGGGAAACCAATTTGCTGAAGGTGGGATTCTCGTGCAATGCTTTATTGAATGGGCGAGTGTGTACAATGTACATGTCCTTCGTCAATTAACTTCTAGAAAAGGGCTTAAAGAAATTTCAAAGAGCCGGGGAAAAAAAACAAAGAAGAAGAATTTCTGTACTCCACGGGGGAAAAATATTACTAGATGAGGATAGAGGGTCAATATATACCAAACAACTGGAGATGCGTACGTGAATCTTATAATCGCAATCATGAAGAAAAACTGGTTCTCTTTTCCTTTTTTCTCTCTCTGCAAAAAGTCAACAGCAAAATTTGGCCAGAGGCACAACAGTCACGGGTTTGTCTGTTTCTTTTTTCTTCCACATTCAATCCCCGTTCGTTATAATATTTATAAATTGTACAGCAAAAAGCTAGTAGAACGCCTATTCTATTTGCTTTTGACTAAAAGATATTTAAAAGGAAGCCAATAAAAGTCTCGTTGCTTTTTCCAAATCTTGGTGATAATGTCCGAACTGTCTCTTTTAGATGCTGATTGCACTTCTCCTCCCGCTGGAAGATGTTCGTTGTCGGGATATATAAAATGAAAGTCAATTGTCACTCAGGGTGGATGTTGATTTTTTTATCTATTTTTTATCATTTGGACCATGTATTGAATCCTTTTCTAGTTGGTATTAAACATCCTATTTATTTCCGAATTTATATATTTATCAAAACTCCCTTGTGGAATCTTTCTCTGAAATTTCAACCTTGAATAACAAACAAAGATCAAAATAGTCACGAAGGCAAGGAGCCACAAAGATAAAAAAATATGTCTTCTTTTGCACGACAACTCATTTTATGAATAAAAAAAAAAAACAAAAAAAACAAAACCTTACATTTTAACAGAGCTAAAACTTTATTATAGGTCGAAGATTCTAATAAAGTTATAAAATACAATTAAATGAATAAGATCATTTATACGATGTTATTAAAAATAAAACATATTGGATGTTATTTATGTTAAACATTGACAAAAAAATTATATGAGAAAAATCTTATTCAATCTCCTTTTTTATTAGTCATCCTACGTATCTAATTTGTATTTGACATTTTTTTGTTGTACAAAACTCATCAATTTTGTAATCAATATTAAAAAAAAAAAAATTAAGAATCACTTTTTCAACAAGCTCATCCATAGTTGACTTAATTTTTTTTTTCTATTATGCCAATTATCTGAAATTTTCATCTTTTGTAATTTAGGATGTTGTCAAGATTCATATAAAATCTATATATAAAATTTATTCAAAAAATATTATCAGCTGGTGTATATAGTTAGGAATATTTTTTTCTTTCGAGAAGCTCGTTATTTTTTTATTTGATAAGAAGAAATGCCTTTGAATTAGTTTGTATGAGGATTGATATTAAATATATATTTTTATTTGATAGGAGAAAGCTATGTTCACGGCATCTTTTTCCATGTAATGTCTCATTGATCTTTAATTCTATTGATATGAGAAATCTCGCGTGTGAATTATATATATATATATATATATATATATTAATGAGTTGCAAGTTGTTGAACGTTGATTTTCTCAAACAGGGTCCTACCAAGGCAGATCCAGAAGCTCGCTTGACCGCCCATCATTCTTGCTGGGAAATAATAAATACTCTACGCAACTTGATCATAATAAACCAATACCCGGATGGCTTTACTTATTGTTCGATAGGAAATATGGATGCTAATCCAATGGCCAAAAACAATTGAAACCAGGCATGTCTGTCCTTTTTGTAAACTGGGACAGAATTTTTGACCAATCAAGAGAGAAAGAAGCCAACCATAATCAATGCCATTTTCTAATTAATCTCCCTCTTCGATTTTTATCATCACTTTAACATAGGAGAGGTTTGAACTCTCATATCATCAACTTTTTTACCATTTCTATTATCACTTGCTTATGTAAATTAGATCATAAAATACCACTACTACTAGATTCTTGCCTCAGAGAAAATTAAAATTACATCCATCAGCAAAAGATTAAGAAAATATTATTAGAATTAATTTATGTTAACGAGTTCTTCTCCACTTGTAGATAAAAAAACCTTTTTTTTTTTTTTTTTTTGGTTTCATTAATTTCCATAAGTAGATAAAAGGAAAAGCACATGTAGGCCAAGGCAACACATTCACTCTTGTCCTCGGCGAAGGTTAATAAATAGAACTTTCCCATAAGCCAAACAAAACAGAAAAAAAGCACCAAAATCTAACGATCTTTGCCTCTTACTCATTCTTGTTTAACTTCCTGACACTCTTTTTTTAATCAGTCAAAGTTTGCTATTGGTTGGTCATGATCGCGGGTGACAGCTAACCTTTTTAACATATAAAGCTCTTCGTTTCACACTTGATTTGTTTCTCTCTTTGTTCCCTGTCTCGAGCTCCTCTCTGCCTTGTTTCTATCAAAGTTATCTTGAGCTGGGTTTCAATAATTATTCAATCTCTAGCAGCTGAACTCGTGACCAAAGTGAAGGGTTTTTGAGGTCTGTGTGTTAATGGGGTCGTGCTTTAGTGCAAGAATTAAAGCTGAGAGTCCTCCTCGTAACGGTATGTTCGCCAATTCACACGCTTGTTGATGAATATTTGTTATGACTGTTTGCCAAAGATAGTAATTATTGTTCATTCATTTTTTGATCTTTCGTTAATAAAGGAATTTTTAGTTTTTGCTTTTGCTTTCTCCTTCCAGAAAGTAGCTTTATTTTGGATTCTTGATGCTTTCTCTCTTACGATGTCGACGTCTGTTTGATTGACTAGAAAAGGAAGAGTAAATAGGGAATCCAGAATCTTGATTCTTCTATCTTTACTTCAATTCTAAGATCAATCATGCTTCTAATTATGATGTACTAATATTCACTGCGTTGCACGATTCTTTCTTCTATCTGAAACTTTTAGCTTATACCATCAAAGAAGATCGCAAAATTCATCCATCTAGTTACGTTCCATTGGGCTAATTAGGATACTTGATTTAGCGAAAGAAAAATAAGAAAACAAAATACTCTACGCAATTAAAAAATTAAAAAATTCGTGGTTTACATATATGGGGCTTCGTTACCGAAAAAAGATAAAACATAACCATTTGAAAGTTTAACCTGTAGTAATTTTTCTTATTTTCTTAGCAAATTTACCATTGTGCAGGAACTTTTTCCTTTTCTTTTCCTAGTCGTTTTGGAAGTAGACTGTTCACTTCTTGTTTTGCATCTTAGACGTCTAGATGACTTAATAAGATATAAAATGACTATTCAGGGGTGAACACAAAATACGGGAATGATAGGAGTGGGTCAAGCAGCAAGGTCTCATCTTCCACAGTGCCTTCAACTCCTCGGACACAGGGTGAGATCTTGCAGTCCTCCAATTTGAAGAGCTTTTCCTTTGGTGAATTAAAAGCAGCGACTAGGAACTTCCGTCCAGATAGCGTGCTGGGCGAAGGTGGTTTTGGTTGTGTCTTCAAAGGGTGGATTGATGAGCATTCATTGACAGCTGCCAAGCCTGGAACAGGCGTGGTTATTGCCGTAAAGAGGCTTCACCAAGAGAGTTCCCAGGGTCATCAGGAATGGTTGGTCAGTATCCCTTTGCTATTCATCCCTTGACTGCCTATTTCTAAAGCTTTTTCTTGAATTTTGTATAAACCTCTATAAATGTCCAGAGACAAGTCAAGATACAATCAATCATCCAATATGAACTGGTAGTCAATGCTTTGGAAATGCTTGCAAAGAGTTGCATTAACCAAGTTAGAATTGCAACAGATTCATTAGAACATCTTTAATGATTGGGCTATTGGTAGTTCCTGTACATAGACGATAATTTTTAAAGATAGTATGATTCATAGACTTTGTGCTGCTTCTTGGACTGCAGGCAGAAATCAACTACCTTGGCCAGCTGTATCATCCGAATCTAGTAAAATTGATCGGCTATTGCTTAGAAGATGACCACCGACTTCTGGTTTATGAGTTTATGCCCAAGGGAAGCTTGGAGAATCATCTATTCAGAAGTGAGCAGTTGATATCCTCCTATATTTAACCATTTCAACTGAACTAGTAGTATTTTCTATGACCTCGAATATCGTGGATAAAAGTAATTAAAATAGGTTCTTTTTGTTGGAAATAGGGGCTTCTTATTTTCAACCACTCTCATGGAATCTCCGCATGAAGGTTGCCCTTGATGCTGCCAAGGGTCTAGCATATCTTCACAGTGACAAGGCAAAAGTTATATATAGAGACTTTAAGGCCTCTAATATCCTGCTTGACTCGGTATGTGAAAATGTTCAGTTTTAGAATTTTGCTTCATGAGGATTTACCCTACTTGCACCTCTCTAACACATTTTTTGTGCATTTTAAAATGACAGAATTATATGGCCAAACTCTCTGATTTTGGGTTGGCCAAGGATGGGCCAACAGGCAGTAAAAGCCATGTATCTACAAGGGTCATGGGTACCTATGGTTACGCAGCTCCTGAATATATGGCAACAGGTATCTTTCAAATCATCACTTTGGTCATGTTCACTCTGCTTCTTGTGAAAAAACTCAATCCTATGCTATATGCTCAAACTGTTATTCTGCTGAAAGAAATGCTTATTTTATACGCTTATAGTATTCTATTGCTTTCATCTCACTTCTTTTTGTCTTTATGAAGGTCATCTAACTACGAAAAGTGACGTATACAGTTTTGGGGTTGTTCTTCTAGAAATGTTATCTGGCAGACGAGCAATAGACAAAAACAGGCCCTCCAAGGAACAAAATTTAGTTGAATGGGCAAGGCCTTACCTAAGTAGCAAGCGCAGAATTTTCCAAGTTATGGATGCTCGCATCCAAGGCCAGTATTCAACGAGTGATGCTGTTAAAGCAGCAAACCTTGCAATCCAATGCCTATCAGCAGAACCAAAGTATAGGCCACACATTGAAGAAGTGGTAAAAGCATTGGAACAACTTCAGAATTCCAATGACAATAATGGATCCAGGGGCTCTCGTGGTGAAAACCTTCAACGAGTCAATCGAAGTTCAAGCAATGGTCCTAAATATCACAGGAAAAATGTTAATGAAGTTTCCAATGGAAAACCTGCCTCTTATGCTGGGCCATATGGTTCACCTCTTCGTACATAGAAGAGGAATAATATTCAGTGCATGCTTTACATTGTATATTGATTCCATGAAACTACAATCTAGAGGTTTATTTTGATGAGTGTTATATCCTGTAAAGCGTGGAACGCAAAACACCATAGTTATTGTACAGTTCTTCAATTCCACATCCGAACATGACAGCTTTTTTGTCACATTTTGTTTACCGGGTGATAAGGAACGCAAGTGACTGTCAACAAGCTCAGGTGACTGTGCATACTGCATACCCCTTTTGGTTAAAAACATGACGATGTTATAAACGTGGATGCAGTTTTTGCCTCTTGGCTCTTAAGTTTCCTGATTTTGTAATTACTGGATGAACAAAATGTCCAAGGGTAGAGCGGGAACCAGTCCGGTTCATGCAATGTCTCCCGTCAATATGGAATGGATAAGAAACTAGCTGGTTTCGTAGCGCTATGATGTGAGTCTGACATAATAAAATTATTTCAAAATTTTATAATTTTATAATTTAATTAATTAGATTATTTTTTTCATAAATTTCTTCTTTGAAAAAAATATCATTTATTCTTCTTTATGTATTGATTCTTGAATAAAAATTTATAATAATTTAAAGTAAAATATTAATCAAGAATTAAAAAAATAAATACTTTAAAAATATATTTTTTCATAAGAATATATCAAAAAATAAAGCTACAATTAATATATAAAATTATATAAAAATTAATTAATAAAAAACATAATTTTTTACTCTTATCTAATGCTAATGAGAAGATTATTTCTTGAAAATATATGCGTTTGATCTATATATATTTATTTAAAAAATAATTAACAATGCTAGCATAAAAACTTGTATTTAAATAACTCGGGTGGTTCCATTAATTTTTTTAATTCTTTTATTTCAAAGAATCTGATTCAATAATGTTAGTAAAAATATTCATAGCAAATAGTTGAAGTTATGTATGAAGATATATTTAATTAATTCTTAATATAATCGATGATTGAATAGTTTTTTTTTTTTTTATCGTCTTGACCATATTTACTAGATTGAGACAAATTATTTGAAATACATTTTTAACATTTTAGATTAAAATAATAATTATTTATATATATGTAATTATCATTTTAAAAATTATAAGAATCAATGACATTTTATATCAATTTATTTTATATATTTTATATCAATTGTCATTTAAAAATAATAATTATTTTAAAATTAAAATATAGAGAAAAACAAACTATATTTATTAGCAAATAAAATTTTATAAGAAAATATTAATTGGATAGAGATTTTCATAAAAAATAACAAATTCAAAGAATAAATTTTAAATAATAAGAGTAATATAATTTAAAATATATTTTAGTTTTAAAATATAAAAGTATATTATGTATATTTTATCCTCACCACACTATATGATAACACAAATAATAACGGTAGTTGTTCTATAATTTTTGCATAAAAATTCATAGTTAAAAAAATAAAAAAACAAGGTGCAGTCGTTTAGGGCTAGAGCACCTGGGTAAAATTAAATAATTATACGGATTTAATTTTTATTTTTCATTAGATATTAACTATCATATGTTAATTGTAAATATAAAAAATTATGGTTTTTATTTGTTTATTGATGGAGAATCCCAACAAAGTCAACCCAAATCCAATTCTTTCTATCCTAAACTCGATTAACATGGGACAAAAAAAAAAAAGGTGCCACTAACTCCAAATCCATTCCATTACCATCCCATTTCAGCCCCTCAAACAGGTATTAACCAGGTGAACAAAAAATAAAATTTGAACAAATGCAAATAACAAAGCACTATTCATTAATGCGGGGGCATTAAATGGTGCAGGCAAGAAGGAAAGTGACAATAAAAACATGTCAAGGAAAAAAAATAGAAGAATAGTTGGAGGGAACAGAAGTAAAAGAACAAAACCAAACAATGACAAAACAGAAAATAAGCCAAAAAGAAGGAAAAAAAAAAAAGGGCACGAAACACATTACTTCCGAGACCAAAACAAATGAAGACCCACATCGAAATAAAAAAAATGACAAACGAACGGGCGAGATCCGAGGAACCAAACGGCAAGGCAAAGGGACAGATGATCGGACGGTCGAGACCAAGTGAAGAGGCAGCACAGTGCAGAGTCACACTCTAAAATGACCATGAGTGTAGGAAAACAATATATGAATAGTGAATATATTAGTTATTTTAGTTTTTTTTTTTAATGGTTCAATCATTTTTCTCTGGTTACGTTAACAACCTCACATACTGTCAGTTGACAATTATAAAGCCAACAACATTACCTAACAGATCTTACTATGTTTAGCATTGGAAGACAGTAAATCATAGTATTTTTTTTCTTTTAAGATAAGAGTAGTACTCAGTTTATCCCAAGTCGCAGAAGTTTTTAGTTCAGAAGGGATCATTATATTGCTTTCGAAGCTATCAGGACTAGAATGTAATAACATTATTAAAACACAAAGGCCTTAAAGGTAAATTACTATCAGGACTATTATCGTCTTTTCACATAAAGGCTGAGGTTTTAGATATCCAAAAACTGAGGTTTTGGTTAGCCTTCGATTTTTAGCTCAAACGGAGACAACGAACCGGGACCGACGACGATGATTGCCACTTCAATATCTCTGCTCCAGCACGTGTGTTCCGTGCCAATCGCACGTGCCATGCGACCTCGTTCCCTCACCATCGTATCTTCTCTCAGCCTCTCCACCACCACCTCTTCCTCCTCCACTCCATCACGTGCCTCTCACGTGGACCCTCACGTACTTCTCGGCATGTCTGAGCCCGAGCTTCAGCAACTCGCCGTCGACCTCGGCCAGGTAATTAACAAAGCAGAAAGTTTCTTGTTTTCTGTTTGGTTCCTGATAAAATGGATGAAAAGAAAGTAATAGTTGTGAAACTTCAGTAATTGAAGAGAAAATTAACAGAATTTTAGTTATTTATTTTTATTTTTAAATGCTTATATTTGCAATTTCTTTGTTTTCTTCTTCTATTTAAATTATATAAATAGCAAAGCTATAGAGGAAAGCAGCTCCATCATCTCATATACCAGAGAAAAGTAAAAGAAATCCATGATTTTAGTCAATGTAAGTAGTAATGTACTCATAAATTAATTTAGGGCTCCTTTTTTTTTTTCAGTACAATTTTTGGTATTCTTGGAAGATATGCTAGTTTTATTTGTGTCCCCGCCTTTTTTTTTTCCTTGGGATTTAGTGCCTCAGGTATTTAGAAATGCTCTTCAAGAAGCTGGATGGAAAGTCGGCCGGTCATCAATCTTTGGTACCGTAACTGCAGCTGATGGCACGGTCAAGGTTGATTACTGTTATGTTTGATTTGTAATTTGGCGTTCTGTGCTGTTATTGATTTTATGCCAAAATTAGCTCTGTTGATTGAGGTTGTTTTAACATTGCTACATGATTTTTGCAAATGAAAGGTATATTCAGTGCTAGTTTACTGCTGCTGTCTCTCATATGATAGAGTTGTGTGAAGTTTTATTTGCTAGTTTTGAAGAAGATATAAAATTTATCAATGATGTATATTAACAAATTCTGTGTTTTGCTCATTCAATGAAATTATAGGTTTTGGAAAGCAAATACTTGCGCGCATCTCTTATAGTATCATTTACTTAAGCTTGCTAATAATCTTGCAGTTACTGATAAAACTGGAAGATAACAGATTGATTGAAACTGTTGGTATTCCTGTTGGAGATGAGAAAGGTTCAATGCGGCTTACTGCCTGTGTCTCGTCTCAGGTAACTTTCCATATTAAGGATTAGCTTTAGTAAAAAGTTTCTAGCTAGTGGTGTTTTGACGGGCTTGCTGATAATTTTCTTGTGGTTCCTTTGTACTTTAATTTTTCAGGTAGGTTGTCCTCTGCGCTGCTCATTTTGTGCCACTGGAAAGGGTGGCTTTTCAAGGAATCTTCAAAGGCATGAAATTGTTGAGCAGGTCAGTGGTGCATGTCTTCGTCAATTGCTCTTCAAACTCAATTATCAAGTGGGACTAATGAGAGTGTTTTACTGTTTGTATACCTGAGAGATATAGACTTGGCAATTCTGAAGCTACCTCAACCAATTCAGTATTATGCTTAATGTTTTATACATACAGGTTTTGGCTATTGAGGAGATCTTCAAGCGCAGGGTGACAAATGTAGTGTTCATGGGAATGGGTGAACCAATGTTGAACTTGAAGTCAGTTCTTGAAGCACACCGATGCTTGAATAAGGTGCATTTTTTATTTTTTTGTCAACAATTATCCTTTTGCTTCTTATCTATCATTTTTTAATTATTATGTTCGTCTTGAATAATTTTTCTCTGTAAGCATAGTTGGAAGTGGGAATGGTGAGCTAAAAGTGGGATCAGTTTTGCCTGGAACTAGTCCATTGACATTGATTTAGCTAGTTCAAAGATGTTTGGAGATGAGACCTACATAGATGCTAATAGACGCCTACATCAAGGCTTTGCCTTTTTTAAATGCAATTTACTTCTGAAACAACCAGCCTCCTGTTTATTGTAAATTTTCAACAGATCTCTGTACATGGGTTTCGAGTGTCATAAGTTCATGTATAATTGATTTTTCTTTTTTCATCAGGATGTACAAATTGGGCAAAGAATGATCACAATATCAACTGTGGGGGTTCCGAACACAATTAAAAAGCTGGCTTCTCATAAACTTCAGTCAACATTGGCTCTCAGGTACTGTGCGGAAACAGAGAATATATGGTTGAATAATTCTTTGGCACTGTAAAAGTTGTCATCTGTCTCTGAGTATATTGGATAACTTACAGTGATTTGCATGTCCTGATGCATTTCATCGTCATGGATCCCTTTGATGCCAAAAGTTTATGTTAGTCTGTGATGACATTTTCTCATTCTTTGTATGCATCAGCTTACATGCTCCAAACCAGAAACTTAGAGAAACAATTGTTCCAAGTGCGAAATCTTACCCTCTAGAAGCAATTATGAAAGATTGCAAGGAGTACTTCCTTGAAACCAGTCGACGAGTATCCTTTGAGTATGCACTTTTAGGTACTGAAATTTCATTTAATAATTCTTTACTTCACTTGAAGCTTGACCGATGAAAACTGATAAGACTGTTCTATCCCGTAACATGGATTTATAATTGTTTGGGCAGCTGGGGTTAACGATAGAGTAGAGCATGCAATAGAGCTTGCTGAGCTACTTCATCAGTGGGGACGCGGTCATCATGTGAATCTCATACCATTCAATCCAATTGAAGGTTCTGATTTTAAGCGTCCCCACAAAAAGGCGGTATGCACATCAGTCATGAACACACTGTTTTTTTCCCTACTGCCATTAAGAATACACAAGTATTCAAATCATGCGTTAACTCTTCCATTTGGCAGGTACAAGCCTTTGCAGCTGCTCTAGAAACTCGTAAAATAGCTGTAAGCGTTCGCCAAACAAGGGGCCTGGATGCAAGCGCTGCTTGTGGTCAGCTAAGAAATGAATTCCAAAAAGTCCTTTAGTCATGAATTCTGACAGCTTGCAATCTCAACCAGAGAATGTTTCAGTTGCATGCTGATGCTACAAGATCTCTGACTCCCTTTAGTCATGAATTCTGACAGCTTGCAATCTCAACCAGAGAATGTTGCAGTTGCATGCTGATGCCACAAGATCTCTGACTCTCTGGTTGGTTGCTTCTCTAATGGCATTTTACACTTGATTCTCTTCCTCAGTCTGCAAGAACCTTGCTGCTGTAAGACCGGGCTAGTTGGTGTCTCCAAACATGCTTGATATCGCGTAATCTAGAATTTGTATCTGCCTCAGGGCTGCAGAAGTCAAAGTTCGTTTCATACATGATGCAAAAAATGAGGGTTCAATGAATGGACTCATTTTGCTGATTTTGGGTTGTGAGTAGCCTGAAAACGCATGAGATGAAGGATTTCATGCTTTTCCCAATGATATTGTACGAAGGAGAGAGGGACCATGATTATAAGAGTGTTAGCTATATATAGTTTGAAAAGATGTAATCTGCTCCCATCTTTTTTTCTTTTTTTTTTTCAAATAACATTCTTCCATCTTTGGTCATAAAGAGAAATGAATTATGCACGTATAGGCAGGACCATGAGTCAGGCTCCCAAAAAAAAAAAAAAAAAATTATTCTATATAACCGTTGTAAGTTTATGGTATTCTGTGTCTTTTTTTTTTTTTTTTTTCCTTTTTTAATGAATTCCTGTTTGTTAGAACACAATCTTTTCCTTTAGTTTTTTCATTCAGTTTTTAGTAATCATGGGTGCAAATGCAAAAATAAATAAATGTACACCATGACAAAAGGAAATTTGTGTAACAAGATTTCTGTTGTAGGTACGTGCTCTTCCTTCTTGGACCAATTATCATCAACTAAAGTTGCATTCTTTCTTCTTTAAGATAGATTAACTTTTGGAGCCTCCATTCCAACACTTTAAACTTAGTCTTTTGTGTTAAGAGGTTTTTTGAGCATTACCTATACGATATGGATATTTCGTTTCTATTCATAACATCTCGCATTTTCTCATCCGAGCTAAATTTACCATACTACCTTATCATGCAATTTTATCAGTCCCGATGGCACTTACATCATTATTTTTTTTCACTTTAATACTTTGAACATGGCTCAGATATTAAAAGAGTTTGCTCCCACATCGTTATCTATTCGAATCCGAAAATACATAGAAAAAGAAATTTTCATCAATTCATCATTCTAAGGGTGAACAGCCAATTTAATTTCGGGATGGGACTGGGAAGAACCAAGAGATAACTATAAAAAGAAAGAAATTCTTTTGTGGATGGATGATTTATACCAGCCCAATGGGCCCTGATTAGCTCTTATTAACGACCTACCGAAGAGCCCATCTCAAAATCAAAGCCCCAAAGCGGGATGTTTCATACACCTTCCGAGTCCTATTAAAAACTGGATTAACCCGCCGCAGTCCCGGTCCATCTAGGGTTTATAAAAATCCCTCACCGATTCACTTTAGAAGTAAAAGCCTGACAAAAGTTAAAAGAGGAGATCGTCGGACTTCACTACGGTAAGCCCCTTCAGATCTAAGTTAAGCTTTTCTTCTGTCCCCTCTTCGTAAAAGTTATCATTGCACAGGTATTGACCTAGTCTTTTCTTTCTTCTTCTTTTTTTAACTTCCCCCAAATCTAACTAAATAAAGCTGAAAACCCTACTTCTCAATTAAGCTGTTTAAATCAAAATTGAAGCTGAAATAGTCTTTATAATTGGGGTTTTTAGTTGATCTTGTGGAAAGTGAAAATCGATTGCTTTTTCTGATTGGTAAAGTTCGGTTCTTTATATTATTTAATCAAGTCAACGGAGTCAACTAGCGCAGTTAGCTTCAATTAATTGTGGGAATCGCAGAAAACAGTAGGGGAATTTGGGTTTTGAAATCGTGTTTTGAAGTTTGATTTTTTTTTTTTTTTGTACTTTTATTTTGTAAATACACAATTTAGTGGCTTAATTTTTACTTTACTAATAGAAGAATATTTAATGGGGTTAGGAGTTTTTGTTATTTTTGTTAAAAAGATGCAATTTATGTGTTAGAGTGACATAAATGATAATGTTATTGAATTGATAGGTTGTATAATGAGGAGATATAGTCCCCCATACTACAGTCCTCCGAGGAGAGGATACGGAGGGCGAGGAAGAAGCCCGCCAAGAAGAGGATATGGAGGAGGAGGTGGTGGTGGGTATGGGAGGCGCAAGGAGCAAAATAGTGGAAGCCTTTTGGTTCGGAACATTCCTCTTGATTGCAGGTGTTTGGAACTTCACGCGTGTTTGGTTTGGTGAATTGGGTTTTTGCTAATAGAAAACCCTTTTGAGGACTTCTGTTTATTGTGGTTACAGACCAGAAGAACTTCGAGGACCATTTGAGAGGTTTGGAGTTGTAAGAGATGTCTATATCCCTAAGGACTATTACACAGGGTGAGTTTTTTTCCTAGGGGGAATTGTTTAAGTCTGTAATGAAATATTGCTGCCGTTTTAGTCAAGTATTTTCTGTATCTGTCTATGTTACATATAGTGCAGGTTATATATTTTTTTGTTAATGACTTTACTTTGCTTTTTGAACTTCTTTTTTAATAAAAATTTAACTAATTCATTCCATTCATGCAACGTCTACCATAGCTATCTGCAAGGCTGTTTGAGTCAAACATGCTTGAGAATAAGCATGGTCAGTAGTGGTTTGACTGGTGAAATGAATTTGGTTAGGATGAGTGGTCAATAGGAGTACAAATGGTGTGTGTGACTTTCAATAAAGTTTTTTTGATCTAGTCACTATTAATTTTTTAAGATTAAGGCTTTGTTCTATTTTTCAGTTGATGGTAATGTGAGGAGAAATCTTTGGAGTGATTAGTTGAAGTGTAAATTAGTAGCCCTCTTTTTTTACCAGAAAGGGAAGAAAAAGTTGTTCTTTTGGACTTTACCTGCTGATTCTATGTTCTTAGTTTCATGTTAGCTACTTCAGTTACAATCTATAAATGGTGATGAGAAAACATATCTGAATTGCATTCTACACTATTTATCAGGGTATTCTTTTTTCTTTTTCATAGTGAATTAAATTTTGAACTGGTTTGTCAGGGGTTTTGTTGGTTTGAAGTTAAAAATCAAGACCAAGCCCCACAATTGATGAAGACCTACTGTTTATCATTCCTTAACTTATTGGTTTCAAGAGTAATGTTCAATGAAGAATGTTTCCTTTATGAAGAGAAATTAAAAAAAAAATACACAATCACTAGAAGTTTGATGAGGAAGAAGATTGATTCTTGACAATTGAAGACAACTTGAGGAGAATTTAAGTTTCGGAACGTTGAATTGAAGTGCATCTTATATTTACAAGCTTGAGAAGAATTTTCAAGTGACTTGGCTCTTTTGAAGTTGCCTTTCATACTTGACTGTTAAAGAAAAGGTCAGCCACTAAGCCTGCTTTGTGTAAAATCATGTCCACGTATGTGTAAGTGCTCTGGAGCTAGATTGTAGATTTGTAAGGAAAGGTACTAGGTAGTGATATTATGGCAATCCCTAGGCAAGCTGTTTTAGTAAGTCACTCTTCTCAGAAAGTCAGTATTTGCTAATACACAACTCTTCATACTTTGATTGATGCTTTGGTGTGTCTTATATGCAGGGAACCTCGTGGGTTTGCATTTGTGCAGTTTGTTGATCCATATGAAGCTATGGAAGCTCAGCATCGTATGAATGGGCAGATATTTGCTGGGAGGCAGATATCTGTGGTGTTAGCAGCAGAGACAAGAAAAAGACCTGAGGAGATGCGCCACAGAGCTAGGGTTAGGTAATTTCTCTTCCATGTGCACAAACCATGTGACTTTAGTGTTACAATTCTTACTTTTCTTGGATTTCTTACATTTACTTTTTACATTCCACAGAGGACCATCAGGTTATGGAGGACGATCATCCTATTATGGTAAGCCATTACTTATTATGCTTTTATTTTTCTGTACCATGGTTTATTGAAGTTGTTGCCCACATTTTTGTTGTTCCCGATTGAGACTGTGTTCATCTCAGCTGATTAAATTGATAGTGACCCTGTGCACGACATGTTTCTTGCATTGCTTGAAGAACTACCTTTTTTTTTTTTTGGTTGGTGTATGGTTCTAGCAGCTGGACATGTTTCCAAAGTAAATCACTTATTCTTTGACAAAATTGAGGTCTTTGAAATAATGGTGATTGTGATATTGTAGCTATGGATCATCAATGATTCTCATAATGTGGATTTAGTGCTATTTTCATAGGATGGTGATTGTCTTAGCCTTAATTTGAGTGTTAAAATTTTCCTAGCCTGAATCATGTTTGCTTTTTTCAGAAAAGTGGCATTGATTTTTTATTTTTTTGAAAAAGAAAAAACAAATTGTTGAATTTTTTGCTCTATGGGGAAAGAAATTGTGGTCAGATCATCCTAGAAAATATCCTTGTAGGGAGGTCGAAGTTGAGTTATCAAGGTTTATTAATATCTTTCCAGATGAAATGAGACTTGAAAAATTTCGTTTATCAATCAAACTACTGCATTGGGATTAATCTTTGCGTCCCTTCTTTTCCCACTGTTGTAATCTTGAATTGGTTTGCCACAAAATTAATCACTGCTGTGTATCAAATATGCTATAGGACGTTCTCATTCTCGTTCATTATCCCGGTCCCCTCGCCATTATCCTGGTTCTAGGTCTCGATACCGCTCGAGGTAAGCTTCCATGGTTAAAATTTCCCATAATATTGACCTAATTTACATCTGAAAGAGGTTGATACATGTGCATTTTAACTTTGGCAGGTCATACTCTCCTGTCCTGAGAAGGCGAGATTACTCTGCTTCCCCAGATAGAAGGCATGCAGACCATCCAAGATCTTCTAGAGGTCCTCCGCCAGAGCGAGATGGTGACCACAGCCGCAGGTCGTATTCTCCAGGTTATGGCCATGGCGATGATCTTGATGAAAACGGCAATGTGTTTGGCGAGTAAGTTGAGATTTCTCTTCTCTACTGTTGTCTTCAATGTATTTCATTCATTCCATGCCCTTGTAGTGGGCTGGCATGCAGAAGTGATTGATTGGGCGCAAGCCATGAAAAGGATGGGTTTTTTTTTAGTTGATTTCATGACAGCAAATTTCTCATTATTTATGAGAATTGCGATATGAAACTGGTAATGATAGTAACACTGTTTCATTGTTTTGCACCGTGTTAGAAAACCAAGCAGTTAATATGTTATTTGTCAGTTCAAAGTTCATTTAGTACAGGATGAATGCCTCTGAAATTTATTTGTGTATATAAGTTGACTCAAATTTCTTATTTGCTACATGCATTTAAGTGATTCGAGAAAACGTGTTGATTGCAGGAAATCGGCATATGATTTTGAGGAAGCACGAGCTTGGAGGCCATCACTTGGTAGAGCATCAAGGTCACCTTCTGGCTCAAGATCTAGGTCGGCTGACTTGTCACCAAGGCATACTAGATAAGGCAAATGAAGTAGAATATAGTCTCTGTGCCAGGATTAACAGGGTTTTCTGCATGCATCAGCAGCAGATGGTAGTAGTCCTGTGTTGCCTAATGTGGATGAATTAGAGTATCTAAAAAATTTCCAAAACCCGCATACACTCATGGTTTGATTTCATCAGTTGGGTACTTCAACTGACTTAATGCGATGCAGCATTCCAGATTTTATCTCCATATTTCATGATTATGATCTTAATATTTCAATGCATCTGTTGTGCTGGACATGTCCAGTGTGTTTATTAAGGCCTATGGGTCATGCTTGCTGCCCTTCCATTTAAACTTCTTCCATTTTTCTCAAGTTGTTGGCGAGATTTATGACACCATTTAAAACTATATCGTAAATAAAACTCTCATTAATCTCTTTCAACTTCTTAACCCTGAAATGTCGTTAAAGCCATGCAAATTTGCACAGTTGCCTCCGCAGTTTTTTCTGATCTACCCACCTAAAACAATTTGGCAAATCTCGTGGACAGGTAAGAGTATACTCGACTGCATCAACTTCTAAAACAATTTGGCAAATCTCGTGAACAAGTAAGAGTATACCCGACTGCATCAACATGGTCCATTGATATTTGAGACCCAAGCCATCCAGGCCAGTCTAACTAAAAACTCGACAGTCTATACTTCAACACAACCAGTAGAGACAATTGGTCGAATATGCATAAAAAAACATCGAACACAAGCAAATTCAAATCATTTCTTAGGCAGTCGATGATCAACTGACCTAAAATGAAAGGAAAGAGCTTTTATCTTTTTGGAGGAATGGAGATTTTTTTCTTTTTGGAGGAATGGAGATTTTTTTCAAGAAGTTAAAATTATAAAAGAAAATTGAGGAGTTTATATATATATATATATATATATATATTGAGTTGGTTTTTGATTTATTATTGGATAAACTGGGAATTGATGGCTTCTTGCGCCAGAGGAGTGCTCCTTTTATCCATGGTATCGCTGCTCTCTTTAATGATGCATACATTGAAGTATTGTTACAAACAAACACACGTGGTAATTAATTACCGTTTTAATCGATGAAATCATTTATTACTATTGAAATTTATACTATACGCTATACCATTAATCAGTTAGACACATCAATATTATTGTATATGTCATCAGTGCCTTCAAATTATACTGGGGACAGCAACTGGTCAAGCAACCTTTAGCTGAACGACGATTGCTTTCCATACCTGCTCTAAATTAAGAACTCGAAGGGCGGCTGCATTCGCAGTCCCAGTGAGAGTAAAGAATGGTGCATTAAAAAAGTAATGCAGTAGTAGTTTGAAGGGAGTTCAAGTTGCACGCTATAAAATGATATGAAATCTCTCAAGTTGCACACTATAAAAAGCTCGTAAAAAGAGCTCTAGGTAAAAGCCATCGATCATAAGATTCGTGATTATCAGGAAGTCAAAGTGATGTCAGTTTTCATGGCACGTAATTAATGAACAAGTAATATTCATTAAATACACCGCGGAAGCCACTGATGATACGTAATAAAGAATATTATCGATGAAGAACTTGACGCGAAAGTACTTTGAATTAGCTTACAAAATCTAGGCTTGTTGATAAGTTCTATGGCAGACAGGAAACGAGTTTGATGACCAGAAAAGTCTATGCTTTCTCATGCCATGAAGGCAGCCGTCATGAAGAACTCGTCTTTGTTGACCTTCATTTTCCATTTTTATTGTTGTCTTTTCCCCCTTAATGCTTAATTAATGTTTTATCTTTAAAATAAGGGGTTTTTTTTTTTTTTTTGTACTTCAACTTAATATGACTTTATGAAGGTTGTTTTAATTTCTTGCTTAAGCTATTAATTACTAGATGGAGTTACAAACGTTAAAATTTGAGCAATTTAATGTAAGCTATAATGACAGGATATTGATTTGCATCAACTGGAACTCAAGTAGCTAGTAGACAGATAAAAACAACATTTCATATTTCTCAATTGGCCACTATTTGTCTTTCTCATTGTTTTCGACAAAAAGGGCATTAGCCACTTAATATATAGTTTAGTTTAAACTTGACCGTGTGATTAAGAATGAGACAAGGATCAAAACAAAAACTATATTCTTTCGTAGAAATACCCAGGAACCATTTGACCGAAGACTGCCAATATATGGTCCTTAGTTCTTAATTAAAACAGCACGTCATCGTATCAACTATATATATACGTCCATGCATTATGGATTCTTTCAATAGAAACCACACTTAAACATAGCCATTGCTGAAGACACTGAAATTTAATCTTGTTGAACCTCAAGCCAGAGAGAAACAAGGAGATGGCCGTTGGAATATTGGAAGTGAAGCTGGTGAAGGCAAAAGGCCTTGGAAACCCAGATTTCTTTGGGTTATCATGTTACTGCCCTTCTACGAGTATGTATCTTGTTCGTTTTTCCAAATTCATCTTCAATAGTTTCTGATTTCATTTCGTTCATCATTTCATTTCCTTGATCTTCTTTGCTTTTTTCTAGCAAGATAACTCCTCCTCCTCCTTTTTCTTGACTGTTTCAATAAATGAAATTCAATGCCCATTTGCATATCTACTCTCAACAACTCCAATTCAAATTGAGATCGTTTTGTAAGTTTATTAAATGGGCTGGCACTAGGCACACCATTACATGCATGGACATGGATCAAGAGCAATTGTATTAATGAAATATTAGATGTACAACGTATGCCTACGTAGACTTGTGGAGGGATGTAGATTTCAGCCATGTAAAGTCACTAGGCATGAGTTGCAAGTCCGAGACAATGAGATTACTGGTTTATATTAGATAAATTTATAGAATTTCTTTTAATTACCAATCACTTCAACAATCTCCAACATTTTAACAGGCTAAAAAAAGACTTCAATTTTGCATATGCTAGTTCTTCTAAAATGATTTGGAAAATGAAACATTGAGAAATTGAAATGCAATGTGAACTGAATATTTTGTTATGATGTGATCATGGCAGCTAATATGGACCCATATGTTCTAGTACAATACAAAAGCCAAGAGCGCAAGAGCAAGGTAGCTAGAGGTTAGCTCTTTACTTACACAAACTGATGTGTATCTTATAACATCTTAGCTCCACAAGAACATCAAATTAAGAAGAAAAAAAAGCGTAATCTGATCTTATTATATGCTTCTCTCTTGATGGCTCTAGCTAGTCTCTAGTCTTTATATATATATATATATATATATATCTATATGCATTAGATCAACTGCAAATCACGAAAGTTCCTTATGCATGTCAGATGTTGACTAATCAATGTAGACATTTTCCCAGTAATTTACTTGCGTCTGTTTAGCCGGTCAAATTTGTAGCCATCTTCTGAAGGAATACAATTCTTCACTTTTTAGTAGAAAAAAATGCAATTGGTCATTAATCTTTGTAAACGGATTACAAAAGAATCTCCATAATTGCAAACAGGAAGTAAAGAATAAATGTACTTAAAATTTCGTTATTGGCAAAAAGGATGTAAGCAGTGTTGAAATCACAATCGATCTTGTTGCTAATTAATAAGTTGGTTCGTTAGTATATACTTTGGTTTGTTTTAACAGAAAAATATTACCAACCATTATAATTAAGTGAAGGCAATGCAATGTTATTTTGGGTAACCCACTATTTGCAGAATTTATATTTATAAATTCATCAAATAAATCAATTAAACACATGTATTTTCAATTTCAGCTAATTAAGTAATATGATTTTACAAAATTGATAATTTTTATTGTTTAAATTCAAATAAAAAATAAAATAATTGTATAGAATAGGACCGACATGTAGTATTATACACGTATATATTATATTTTTATTTAATTTAATGTATAAAAATTATCATTTTTTCGAAATTGTATTAAAATGGCTAAAATTAAAAATAGACGTGTTTAATTGATTCACTAAATTGAACGTATATTATCTTATTTGATGGATTTATGAAAACTCAAGATGCAAATAAGAGGTTTAATTAAGGATGTTCATTCTACTGTAGTTTTTCACGTGTTCAAATGCAATACTCAAAAACCCGTAATTGATTTTACAGCCGAAGTGCTTTCTTTAATTAACTTCATATCAATGGTACAGGTCAAGGCGGGAGACCGGTCTGGAATGAGAGACTCACATTCAAGGTAGATTATCCAGGTCAAGGTGGCAACTATAAGATCATTCTTAAAGTCATGGACAGGGACACCCTCTCTGCTGATGACTTTGTCGGCGAAGCCACGTAAGACATTGTTATATTTGGCGAATATATATAATTATTTTACTAATTAAAAATTCCAGTTTCAGATTTTTTTGATTGCCATGCTATAAAGCTTATCACTGAGGCAACCATTTTGGGTTGGTTGCAAATGACAAGCACAGCATTAATTGAGAATATGGAGGAACATGTACATGAATTTGTAGGAGCTAGACCTCAGTAATGCTTGTCATTAAATTGATTTAGCTGAGAAATTGCCTGAAACCACGCCAGAGTTTGATACTAACAAATTAATAAAGAAGTATGAAAAACTCATTCAATAACATGACTTAATTTGAGGAATGGGATAGCCCACGAGCAAAATAAATCCAATAGCAGCTTTAATTTGTTCTTATATTTTTAGAGATATTGTCAAATAAAATTATGAATCTTGTTAAATTTAGTTCAAATTTTTTATATATGTTTTATGTAGGATCTACGTGAAAGATTTGTTGGCATTAGGAGTGGAGAAAGGGACTGCTGAAATGCAAACTCAGAGGTATAGGGTGGTTAATGCTCACAAATCATATCGTGGAGAGATTCAAGTTGGTGTCACTTTTACCCTCAAGGTACTTTATACTTCTGATGACTATATGATCAATGGATGGTCGGATTTTTGTTTTGAATCTATTTCTCTTTGTTTTCGCACTTTTCTTTGATACCAATGGTGGGGGATGAAAAGGGCAAAAAAATGATACTACTGGTGATTTTAAAAGCATCATACATAAATTTTACCCCCAAGTGCTGCATGCAGTTGAAGCAGTTGATTAGCCATATTGACAATAAAATCAATTGGATCGGTACTAAAATTAGAATAAAAAAATAAACTGCAACTTTTTGTTTTGTTGGATTCTGCAGGCAGGAGAGGAAGATGCTGGAGAAAAGTATGGTGGATGGGAGCAAAGCTCTGTTTAGTTTGAATTTATTGCCACTTTGTTCAGAGATGAATTCCCATGCTTTGCGAGAGTTTCTAATTTGTAATTTTTTTTATTCGTTTATTCTTTATTTTGTTATCTCAAATTGGATAGATTTTATTTTTCTCTGTGAGTGTTCATTTTTCCTCGTAATTAAGTGTTTATTATTGTACAGTTTTTTTGGGCATTATATCTTGACACTCATATTAAGGTTTTTTGTCTGAATTATCTCAGATGGTTATATTGTTGGGAGAATTTATTAGATATTTTAATTTTTTTTCTCACATAAAGGTATTTATGAATCTTATTTTTATGTAAAAAAGAAAAGAAAAGAAACATAATTTCTAGTATACTGGATATTTTATTGTATAGTGGATATCAAATGGATTCAGAAGCGGCAGTCGAGAATGATTTGGAGGGATGAATTATTTTTAGTCTAAAAAAAAAAAGTAACAACAATTTGGATAGTTGCACAAGCAATCTCCCTTTGTAAGGGAATGAATGAAGGAAATTGAGATAAATACATATCTGCAATCTCCTTTCCAAACCAATTTTCACTTGGCATTCAAGTCGAATTTTCACTTGATATACTACTAATGTAACTATTTGCAATTTTAATTTTTTTATTTAAGTATACAATTTTTTTCAAAATTTCAAATCAGATAGTTTCATCCACTTCCTTTTAATTGTTCTATTATTGTATGACGTTTCGTTGAACCTTAATCTATTATTGGTGTATAAACTTTATTTTATCTCAATTAAGTATATAAATTTTAATCTTTCTTATTTTGGTGTGCCAATTTTTTTTTTATTGTGTCACTCAAATATTTTAGTCATTTTTTATTTTTTAATATGTTTTTTTAGTAAGAGTATCCTTCAAAATAATATTATAGTTAATGAACAAAAATATTTAAAATAAAATAAACACTTTTAAAAAAATCTTTTTAATTAATGACAAGCTACTTACATTCTACACAAAGGTTAAAAATTATTAAAACTAACAAATAATTTATCAATAAAAGATAAAATATTTATTATTAACTAAAGAAATAGATATCATGTGATTGCAAAATTAAGAAAAAAAAATAGAAGTATTCGATTGGTACAAATAAAAAAATTTAAAATTTATGTACTTGATTAAGAAAATTTAACGTTGGTGTACAAACACTATATTTTTCCTTTAGTGAAGTTGAAACGACAGGTAAGTAGAAAATAGAACAATTAGTAGAAGGTGGACGGAAATATTTAATTGGAAGTTTTTTAAAAAGGATGTATTTAAATAAAAAAATATAAAATTAATGTAATAATAATGCCATTATCTCTTAAAATTGCAATCCAGGCTATACATCCCGGAACATGCTGAAAAAAAAATCATGTAAAACATGGTAATTGTAATACATGGGCTAGAAGGATCAAACATCTCCCAAACTTTAGTTTATTTAAAAATAATTTTCGAGACCTTTAATATGTGTTTTGACCTCTTAAACTTTATTTTTATTATAAATTTAGTTCATTTTTTATTTTATTTTTGTCATTTATTTCAAAAATAACAAATGCATAAATATTTACATGATAAAAATTATTCAGTAAGATTTATTTAGAACTTTTAAAAAAATTTGGAATCATTTTAGTTTTTTTTTTAATTTTTTATATTTTCAATGTTAAAAAATAAACAAATATGATTTTTTATTTTAAAAAATTCTAGAATTTTTTTAGAAAATGGATTGGATTTTTCTTAACATATATGCAAAACTTAAGATCAAAATACCAAGAATTAAATTTTAACAAAGAAGAAGGATGATATCTGGAAAAAATCGTAAGATAGACTAAATTAAAAAAAAAAGTCTAAAATAGTTAAAACACAAATTAAAAATTCGAGACTGATCTTAAAGAACTAAAATTCTGGTTGGACCTTTTTAGCCCAATACATACTTTCAGCCCAGGAGTCCTTTGTGTTCTCCACTTCAAAATTTGAATATCTGAAGACAAATGCGGCAGCCCAAACAATTCACATGTAAATGTAAAAGGCATTACGACTTACGAGAGAACTTTCCCTACATCTATTTTTCTAGTTATACAGGATTCTACGTAATTTGTGAAACAACTTTGTATTATGAACAAAGTATATTCATACGATTAAATACGTACCTCCAAAGAAAAATATTCATGAAAACGAGCAATTAAATTAATGATGCAACGACAACCATGTCGATTTTACGCCTTGACCTGGGAAATTTTGAACAGGTCTACGAAGTCCAGCTTGTAATAACCACTCCGTATTAAGCAAGTTAAAGGCCAAGGGCACGCATTGACCAGAAAAGCTGAGCTTTTCCACACGTTTAAAGGCAGCCATCGTATAGAGCATTTCTTTTGCATTGTTTTTTTTTTTCACCGAAAGAGAGGGTTTTTATATGAAAATCAAAGGCCCGATCAAACGTCCGTTCATGGTCATGATTAGAAAGCATGCAGCCATTGCAAACGATTGGAGATAGTAGGACGGCGCCATCCAAGTTCTTGTAGATCCTTCCCTGCTAGGGAACATCGATGTTCATAACCGGTTTTAATAACTATTCAGAATAATCATAGAAATTTCTAAGAGCTATTACGGAGAAGACATTTTTTTTCTTTTAATGCATATTTTAGATATCTACTATTAAATTGGATCTTTGGGATGAACCAATAAAATTTTTCTTATTAAATGCAATAGATAGCGTTGTATATTTAGAGACGTCTCATATTTAGGATGCTGCTGGCGTGTCTCTTTCGAAGCATTAATTAGTTTTTCTTTTTTCCTTATTCATTGTACAAAAAGGAACAATACATTTTAATTTGTGCAATTTCATATTGTAAACCATAGCCACAAGCAATTCATCCTTTTTTTTTAAACAATTTGAGCTTAGGTAGCAATGCAAGTAAAAACGACATTTCTTATTTTCTATCTGTCACTCTTTTCTTTAATTGTAATTAATAATTTAGGCCTATAAATGAATAAAGAACTACCATGTTAAAGAGTAATTTAAAATTATTTTAAAAATCTTATTCAATAATTTAAATTTTTAGATTGATACGATTTTGTTAAAAATTTCATCACTTTTATTTTTTTTTAATTAAACATAAAACAATAATAGATTTATGTAAGTTTTAAGTTCAAAATATTTTTATTTAAAAAAAATATTAGAAAGTAATATAATTTTTTTTAATATCTCTTAATAATTTAAATTTTGAAGTGTGTTAGAATGTCACCTAATAAATGTTTTTAGATTATTCTGTAGCATGGCATGTGAAAAAGAATGAAAAAAAAAAAGGAATTTTCTTGGAACTGCGCAAGTGGGAGGTTGAATATGATTGAATGAATTATTTCAACTCCAGTTTCCACCAGTACAGCCGCCACTTAACATAAGTATATTTGGAGCTATCAACCATCATTCATTTGGAAAATAAAATAAAATAAAAAGTAGCTATTGGGAAAAAAAAATGAAATGATTTGACCGAAGACTGTCTGCCAATAGTTTGGTCATTCTTGAATCTTCACAGTCCAACATTGGATCAACTGCTATATTTACGTCCATAATGGACTCCTTCGATAAAAACTAGGCTTAAACCAAGTCATTGCGAAAGACCTTTGAATCGGAATCTTATTGAATCCTAGCTCAAACCCAGAGAGAGAAACAAAGAGATGGCTGTTGGAATATTGGAAGTGCTGCTGGTGAATGCAAAAGGCCTTGGAGACACTGATTTCTTCGGTACGACTGCATGTTTTTGCATTTCTATATGTGTGTTTCTTTTAGAGTTCGAAGTTATGTCGAAGATCATGTCTGTTTTACCCTGCGGTTCTGGTTACTGAAATGCCTGCATGATTGACTTATTCTGATTTTATTTCGTTCATCTCTCTGTTTTTCTTGGTTTTTTTTTTTTTTTTCGCTCCTTTTTTGGCTAGAAATTTCGTTTCTCTCATTGAATTGCCATTTTTATGTCTAATTTCAACGCCAATTCTGATATAGATCGTTTTGTAGTTTTGTTAAATGAGCTGCAACCTGATAGGCCATGGTAGTGAAATAATGAACAATGGTATTCATAACCGTGGATCATGAACAATTAGACATGTATTAGTGAAATAACGTGATGATAGACATAATATGCCTTTTGGTAGACTTGGGGAGGGACATAGATACACGCCAGTTACAAGGGAGAATGATCAACCCCCTCTCTGTATCGAGAACATTGGGATAATTATACTATAACTATATTAATTTTTATTTTTTTCTCAATCAAATATATAAATTTTAACTTTTTTTTTAATATATCAATTTTTTTAAACTTATCAATTAAGTATTTTTGTCAATTTTTTTACGTGTTTGTTATCTCAAAATATTAAATTATAATTTTATCTTTTTTTCAATTAAATATATAAATTTTATTTTTTTTTTCGTTTGAGTATATCAATTTTTTTAAAAATATCAATCAAATATTTTCATCGATTTTTTCGTTAACCGATGACGTATATTTTTTTGTTGAAGAAAACTTTATTTTCAGATTATTTTATCATTTTAAAATTTGACAAATAATTAAAAAATATTATTTTATATCTATAAAATTCCAAACTATAGAATAATTTGAGGAGCTTTCTTTACAACAAGAAAGTATATATAGATATATAATTTGATATTCAAATACGTCATCAATTATTAATGAAAAAATGGAAAGAAGTATTTTATTGATAATTTAAAAAAAAGTTAATGTATTCTATCCGAAAAAATTAAAATTCATGAACTATACTGAGAAAAATGGATAAAATTATAATTTGATATTTTTTTGAAGACAACGAACACATCATAGTCAACAAAATAATTAACGAAAATACTTAATTGATAGTTTTAAAATTGATATGCTCAAATAACAAAAAAATTAAAATTTATATATTTGATTGAAAAAAAAAATTCGGTATACTTATAGTGTAATTATCGCTCAGACCATTACACATACACTCACGCAAAATGCAGAGACTTGTGCAGGGATGAATCCTCTCACTGGAAAATGAAATGCAACGAGAGATGAAGTATTTATTTATTTATTTTAAGGTTCTGAATGTAAACTGAAGATTTTAATTTCTCAATATTTGATATGATGGCAGGTGATATGGACCCATATGTTCTGGTACAATACAAAAGCCAAGAGCGCAAGAGCAGTGTAGCTAGAGGTAACTGGTGCTTTGCTTACGCAAAACTGATATGTAATAATTATCTTACTCTATTTTTCATATATATATATATATATATATATATGCACTTATTAGATTCAAAAGTCAAAACAATTCTCTCCTTAGACCAATTCCAATTCACAAAAGTTAGCTGGCCACTGATCAAGGTAGGCATTGTCCCAATAAGTTATGCCAACAAGGTGTTTTTTAAGCCAGTCAACCTCTGTATTGTAGCCTAAAGGGATGCAGTTCTTTATTTACCTTTAAAAGTGTATAACAGAGTAGAATTGTTCCATAATTACAGTAACTATTGCATGAACGAATTCCTTGCATTGACTAGTTAAAGTAAATGATTCATGATCACTTTGGTTAAGGGAGGTGAATGATTCATGATTCAGTAGGCAAGAAATGAAAACAAAACAATGAATGGAGAGTGTTTGGAGAAACCAAGGTCTATAATTAACCAATTTTCTAGCAACAAGGGTGTGTGTTTCAACAGTGCTTGCACTGCATTAGATATAATTATTATATTCCTTAGCATTGCCAGCATTTTTAGCTTTGTAAGCGAAGGGTTGCAATGTTAATTTTACCATATTTTTCCATTGTTCATTTCAATTTTATTCTAAGTTCACCTTTATTGATTTCAATGACTGCTCAACGGAAAAGCAATCCAGAATCTTAAACAATTATACAGGTAGAAAGAGGCGAGGCTAGAATTAATTATAGAGGGCATGCACGTATTTACAGCACAAATTTCCTCTAAATTAACTTTTGCTTTGTGAACATATCAACTGTGCAGGTCAAGGTGGTCATCCAGTTTGGAATGAGAGGCTTACATTCAAGGTAGAGTATCCAGGACAAGCTGGTGAATATAAGCTCAGTCTTAAAATCATGGACAAGGACACCTTCTCTTCTGATGACTTCATCGGTGAAGCCACGTAAGACATATTAGCAAATATTAGCTTACCAATTACAAGTCTGAATTTCAATATATATGTTCTTTTTCCCAACATATAAAGCTTACTGAAACAATCCATTTTGGGTTGTTTTACGCACTTGATCTGGCTTTTGAAATCCTTCATGTAATGGTTTGGCAAAATAGTGAATGCATGGCCTTCTTTGAGAAAAATGGAATGGAAGGTTGAGGCAGGTCATTAAATTGGTTCGGCAGTGAAATTGCCTCGAACCATGACAATACTAACAAATGTAAAACTTCAGGGCTGCTTCTTAGGTGTTATTATGCAATTTATGCTGTATGGGCAGACTTAGTTGGTGTACTTGGAATGATTATGTGTCTACAAGAAAAATGAAGTAGAAGAACCGGAACAGAGTTACAATTTTTATTTACAAACAAATCCAATAATATTTAGTGAGTTGTTGTATTTTAGGCATATTATTTTGTTGATTTCTCCATTTCTTTTTTTCATGCAGGATCTATGTGAAGGATTTGTTGACATTAGGAGTGGAAAATGGAACTGCTGAACTACATCCCCTCAAGTATAGAGTGATTAATGCGGGGCAATCATATCTTGGAGAGATTCAAGTTAGTGTCACTTTTACCCTCAAGGTATTTATATCTTTTATGCCTGTCTGAGGTTTTTACTTTTTGTTGGTTTCTCACTTCTCTTAGTTAGCGGAGGGCTGAAATGATTTTGGTTGATCGAGTGCTAGCATTGGTGTTTCCAAGACCGTTTGCTCCTTGACTAACGAATTTTCTAGAATCCTGTGGTGGTTTATAGTAGCTAACAGATGATTTTCGAAAAATAATACTGCTTTTGATGTTATAAGCACTATAAAAGTTTAGCTACCTGTAGTGATGCATGAAGCAACAATCAATGAGCATGTTGGCTATAAGTCTAAACAAAATCAAATCAAATCAGTGTTAAAATTTGAATGAAAGAAGTAAAATGCAAGTTGACCTGCCATAATTTATCCTGGTTGATTAATATTGTGGTTGTTTGTTGGATTCTGTAGGAGGAAAAGGATTATGATGGGGAAGAGTACGGTGGATGGAACGAAAGCAGTTTTTAGGTCTCTTGCTAATTTGTTTGAGATGAACATCATATGCTAGAACTAGCTTTTTGTGGTTTGTAAATTTTTGGAAGGCTATGCAACTCTGTAAACTGGGAACTCATTAATCTTGTTCCTCTTATGGTAGTAGCAGATGAGAGTCTCTCTAGCTCAAGGCTGCATGGCATTATAGTGTTTGTTTAAAAGTTTCCTATCTATTTCTTCTTTTTAAGATTGTTGTCATTTGTAGATATGTTCTGCTACCAAAATTGTCTGAAATCAATTATTTTTATTTTATTATTACAAATGAGAGATTCGAAGTTGTGCGAAGGATAAGAAACAGCAGGTACTAGTTGAGCTACAAACTTATTGGCATTGAATCTTTTATTTAATTACATGCCCATGCACGATAGATCAAAATATTAAGTATCGCCAATATTTTCACAACATGGATGGGTTAAAATTCACAGGGAAGCCAAGATTGTAAAGAAAAACTAATTTTTCTTTACAGTTGTTCCATTGCCACATTATCGTTTTTCTTTGCTATTGTTCCATTGCCACATTGTCTAAGTAATAATTTGGATAAATAATCTTTAAGAAAATTTGTTCGACTCTCTCCCCCCCCCCCCCCCCCTAATTTTTTTCGTTTTTCTTCTTCGTGTTACCCGGAGAAGTAGTAGAAGTTTAATTATATTGTCCTTTGACAACAAACATCAACGAAGCCGTCTTAGCTCAGCCGGTAGAGCGCATGGCTTTTAACCATGTGGTCGTGGGTTCGATTCCCACAGACGGCGATTATAATTTTCGTTGACTTTTATTGGAAGGTCAACTTGTAACTCTATTTTCTTTAAAACTCGAAAAAAATCTGAGGACCCTGTCTCTGCTAACAATACTCTTGTTCGACCTTTTCATTTTCAAGTCAATACTTGCAGCTTAGTTTTTTTTTTTTTATCCTCTGGTGATTTGAATTGGAAGTATGTTCTCTCTCTCTCTGCTTTTTTAATTATTATTATTGTTTGCTCTATTCGTTATTTTCTCAAAAAAGCAAATCAATACAGGGATTACTTAAAGTAGCTTATAAGGCAGGAAAATGAAAGGGAAAGGGAAAGGGAAACTTTAGGAAAAAGTGCGGGAAGTTCAAACTGTTCATGGGCTTCACGTCTGCCACTCCACCACTTAAAATTGGTCAAAATTAATGTGTGACCTGCATGTATGTAATAGGTTCATGGGATGGTCATGCACTTCACTAATAACAACTACTACTGCCGCCACCGCCAACCACAGCTAAAGATTCTTCCACCGCAGATTCTCACTATCCCTTTTTGCCATCCTCTATTCCTCTCCCATTTTTTCACTACCACTTCTGCATGTTTGATATCTTCTAACTTCCTTAATGGTACCCACGATTGTCTCTCTCTCTCTGCTTTAATTAATAAGCACCTTCGTCTTGTAAGTTCCTTTGCCACTGTTCTTAGATTGTAGACTTCTCTTCATTTTTTGGCCCGCATGAACAATGAAATTTGAAGACTACCTTGTGCAACAGAGTGATGAGAAACAGAAAAGAGTCAATCTCGAGGAGGAGGTGAACGCCTTATTCCTATCATTTCTCCACCTAGCCTTTTGTTCTGTATGCTAGTATATAGGAGTAGAGAAGAAAAAAATGTCATTAAAGGAATACTTATGGTGGTCTTGACTTGTAAACGTTGCAGGTTGAGAAATTGCAAGCAGAATTAGACGAGGAACAGGCAGTAAACAAGGTTTTGCACTTTGCACTCCATGGTTCAGTGTCATCACATCCATGTCTTGCCACGCTGCTTCCACCCCAAGTAAGAGCAATTAAGTGGGTAATCGTAATACTAATAGCTTTTCTGTGGAATTGGTGTCATAAAAAGGATTAGTGCATGTGCAGGTTCAGAGCCTCCTTGCAGAACTGGCAATGGTGGAGGAGGAGATCGTATGGCTAGAGAGAAAAGTTGATGAGCTGAAACTCAGCTTGTACCAGGAGAAGAAGCAGAACAAAGAATGGAAACGACAGCGACAAAAGCAAAACAAGCTGAAGCAACAAAATCAGTTACCACCAAGCGGACTGGGAAATCGATCCGTGCTGAAAGACGACTTCAATCAGCTATCCAGATCACAACATTACGAGGAATATAGAAAAGAGAAAATGAAATTCAGAAGAGCTTCTGTAGGTTCTGCAGCAGAAATGCTAAGCATTTTGTCTACAGGTTCTACTAGTAAGCTTGCATGAACATCCCTTGAGCCTTGAGCCTGGCTCAAGTTGTTGAGTCTTTTTACTTTCTAAGTTTTGTCAAAAAGAATATGAAAGAAAAACAAATACAAAAAGAAATTCAACTCTTTTTATTGTTTCCTCTGTTCTTGTTCTGCACAGACAATGAGAAACCAAGGAGGCATACAGGAAGAATACAAAATGAACACCATATCTGCAAAGAAATTTGTAATGAGAATCCAAATGAACTATCAGAAGAACTTGTCAAGTGCCTAATAGGAATATTCCTTGAGCTAAACCAGGCACCACAGGATAGAGAAGAAATGGCTATTGTTCCAAAACTTGGCCTATCCTGCATGAAACCAAAGGGCCCAAAGACCTTGTTCAACTGTAATGCATCTGTCTTTCCTTTCAATCACAATGAATCAAACCTCGATCCTTACCGCATTATGCCAGACTTAGATAGCACTATCAGGGACATTGGGCCATACAAAAACTTCATTCAGATAGCGAGAAACTCGTTGGATGTCAGTCGTTTATCAGAGTGTTTATCAATGGCCCGAAAATTGAGGTGCTTACTGATTTTTTTCAGCACATGATGATTGTTTAGAGTCTTTAGACACACCATGGTTCAAAGTTCCTCACATATTCTGTTTATGTACTTCTTTTCAGGGTTTTAATGCGTGAATTATGTAATGTTGACTTGACATTCTTGACCTACAAGCAGAAGCTAGCATTTTGGATCAATATCTACAACGCCTGCATAATGCATGTACAGTAAGAAATCTCAAGTTTCATCGAGCAAATCAGATGAATGCCTCAAATATTTAATGACATCCTGTTTTTCATAAAATTTCAGGGATTTCTAGAACATGGGCTGCCTTCGTCACAGGAGTATCTGCTGGCGATCATGAACAAGGTATGTCAATTCGTAAACTTTAAACAAATCGTGGAAGAAAGCCTCAAGCATAGCACTGCATGTCCAAATATTCGGCTACTCCAGCATTGGCACGACATCATGCTCAACTATGACCACCAGCCTCTCTCTCTTTTTTTTCCCCGGTTACAGTGACCATCAGTAATTTAATGGGCCTATTTTAATCCAGGCAGCAGTGAATGTGGGTGGGATAGTGCTGAATGCTTTAGCCATCGAACACTTTATTCTCAGGCATCCATGTGAACCAACCTATGTAAGTCCATAGTTATCTAATTATTATATTCTGTGCATGGACCTAGATTGATGGTTCCCTACGACATTTCAGAATTTTCAAAATTGCATGCCTCTTCCAAGCCATCAAAATTTTTTTATTTTTTATTTTTAATTGCGAAAGATCCAATAAACTTCAATTTTTGCATTTGCAAAATATATCATAAACTCACAACACCTTAAAGTTGAAATTGTAAGGCTTAGATTTTCCATCTCTAGCTCTCGGCTGCAACAGATGGATATCACATCCAAATTCCCCGCCATGATGCGCACTCAGGTCCTGCCTTCTCTTTATATAATAGCTTGATAACGTTATCTTTTCACTTGCAAGGGTCATGCGGATGAGAAAGAAATGCTACTACGCCATGCTTATGGCCTGGGGTATCCAGAACCCAATGTGACATTCGCTCTTTGCCGAGGCAGCTGGTCCTCGCCAGCAGTAAGTACATAATGCTTCTAATACTTCGCTAGGTCTTTAAAATCTATCTATTTCTAACCACAAGTATAAACCTCAATGTGTTTAACAAATTGAGATCTGATGTTCAGCTGAGGATCTATACCCCACAAGAAGTGGTAAATGAATTGGGAAGAGCAAAAGTGGAATATCTGGAAGCTTCAGTGGGAGTTACATGCAAGAGAAAGATTGTGGTGCCCAAGCTTTTGCAGTGGCACATGCGAGATTTTGCAGATGACATGGAATCACTAATAGAGTGGATTTATAGCCAATTGCCACGCTCAGGGTCATTGAAAAGACTGATGATGGAGTGCCTAAATGGAGAATCAAAATTTCCATTGACAAAGATGGTAGAAGTTCAGCCTTATGAATCTGAGTTTCGCTACCTACTGCCATTTTAAGAATCAGTGACAAAAAGTGAGAAGTCCTATCACAACTGCTAATGTCTGCATGTGAGAGATTACTGCCTAGTATCTCAAAGATCCAAAGAGCAAGAACATGCTGCAACTAGCTTGAAACCTAATCAGCTCACCACTATTTCAAGTATTTAGAATGACTCAACCAATACCAGACTTTTAGCAAAAGAATATCATTTCTGACAGCCTGAACTGATGTGAATTATATAAATTGGTATGTTCTCATGTAGGATTGTAGGAAAACAAAAAGGCTAGAGCCTTTATCAAATACTAAATAACAGCATAAGGTAATATGACCAAACAATTCTGAATGCTGAACGACCACCACCTATATGAATGCAACATTGTTCTACACAGAAGTAAAGCAGCACACTCATAACATTGAACTACTTGGGTTTCCCCAAGCAATTGATGTTTTTATCGAATTGGGAAAACAACAGGTTTGGCCTAATAGAGAAAATGAATCTCTCATCCATAAGAAACAAAAACAACAAATGAAATTCGAGGGGAAAACAACGGTATCATATCAAGAAGAAAAAGAAAACCTTCAACAATAACAGTGTAAGGGATCCAGGCGATTTCAAATTGCATTATGATTTCAAAGCCTATGTTTGTGTGCAATAAAAGAATTTGGAGGGAAATATTCTAAGTATCGAGAACAAGTACAAAAATTAGCAAATGCATTTATAGTTTAACAAAATGGCATCAATCAAATTCCCAATATTTCACCTTCTTTTCCAAACCCAATGATCAATGAATCCACTATTTTGATCACAATCAACAATTACAAGCAAATAAAAAGAGGACTCAACTAAGGAAACTAACAATCCTGTTCAACAGATTTAGGCCAAATACAGTTTCCTCACAGTTGACTTTTACTGACACGTTTAACGGTTCAGAGCATTTACCTTCAGCAGTAATGGTAATTAAGCAAGGCATTGAGTTGCTCAGAATTTCACCACTGAATCGTAAGCACAAACCGGAGACATCATCAAGTTTGGCAGAAATTGGCATATCGACAGACACGAGAGAAAAATTTGCATTGCTAAGCATCTTTAATGCTAGGCTTTCACAAACCAAGAGAAAATTGTCTTTCACTAACGCATTATTACCATTGTCCTTGTTGAGCTCCCCAATGTGGTCTATGAAGGTGAAACTAGTACATGAAAAACAAAAAATCCACTTTGGTTCAGAATAGTCAATGTAGGTTAAAAATGAAAATGAAGACAGAAACTCCTACTATAATTCGAAGAAAAAGATTTCCAAATAAAAAAGAATATCCTTTCTTCTCCATATGTATAAAGCCTTTTCTAATTGCTTCAGTTGATCAAGAGAAGTTAAGACGTGAAGCTATGTTGCAACATGTAATGACATTTTACAGCAGCTATCAGTATCAATGACATTGGACATTGTACATTTTCAAGTCTTATTCAGCAGCTATCAGTATCTTGGCTGTACTACATCAGGAAGGAGGTGATGAAATTTCATGGTAATGGAGGCCTCCTACTCCTATCATTTTACTGGAACAATCAGCAAACCCTCTAAGTCAAGGAAGAATAGACTATGTCTTACATCTTCCCAGCAAATGTGCAAGATAACCTTTTGGTTTACCAAATGAACTTAGGAGATATGTTTGATCTTTGAGAAACCCATCAATGTATATTCTAAATCCAAAAGTTCAAAGCAAAACAAAGTGTTCGCCAACGTTTTGGAAAACTTTTCTATACTCACAACCAGAAACAATTAGATCACCAATACATAAATGAAGCTATCACGACAAAGCATAAAAAGCATAACCAGATTTTCTGAAAATGAAATATACGTTATTCATTTCCTTCTCTCTCTAAATATCAATTAAGAAAAATAACAGTGTCAATAAAATGAGCTGACCTCCTGGTGTACTCAAACATTCCTGGGAGACGAGATTCCTTATCTGTGAAAGCTTCAATATCAATTGGAAGTGGTTTTACAAAATATCCAATGTCAGGCCGCATCTTAACGGAAAGCTTCTTGCCATTGCAATATAAAGCGAGTTTCAGAGGCAATAGATGGTGATGAAAACAAACATAGACAATCCTTTTTGCTGTCTGACCAGGTTCCAGTGAAGTAATTTCTTCCATAGGAACCAGTGTTGGCACATCCTTACGAGATAGTGAGCTGCAGTATTGAGACAAAAATAGGTATAAAACAGAAGGATATTTATATGGTCAAAGAAACCTTGGAGTTATGTCTGATGAGACAAACTTCAATTGGTTGCCTGAAGATCAAGGGGATTGGGTAACCCCGACACTGAAAACCAAGTGGTCTACTAAACAAAAAGACAAATCCAACAAAGAACATCCAGTTACAGCCAATAAACCACATTTAACAATAATAGGACATCAAAAAAACTCCTAGCTGAATGAATTTACCTGGAATAAAAAAATCAATCTGTGATTCAGGAATTACTGTAAATCTGATTATTAACACATTTTAGTTTGCTTGACTGAAGTGCAAAGCATTGTGCAGGAATCTGTGAAGAGTGAAACCAGAGCACAGGCTTTCCCAACCATGAATTTGCACTCAGATCATAGGAAAAATGTATGCGTATGTCAGGTATGGACCGTCTATGGGATCTCAACAAACAAATTAGAAAAAAAAATTGACTGAAAACTTAAATGCATAGGCATGTAATAGCTCAATAGAATCAACATCAATAGGTCCTCGGATGGAACTTCCCTTTCAACTGAATAGCTAGACCATTTGACCTGAATACACAAAATAAGAAAACTCTTTAGACAAGCAAAGATTAAAGTTACCTCTCAGAAGAATCTGAAGCTTTGCTAGATTCCTCGTCCACCAAAGTTACTTCTGAAATGGTCTCATCAGTACAGTTCTCAAAGGAAACCTGTACACTAACAAGTAAGGGTGATATGCTTGAAATTTTAGGTGAAAATGAATAATCCACCTTTAAGCCATTTCCATTAGCAGGATCTAAGAGTCTGTAGCTTTTAGGTTTAACTCGACTTCCGATATCCCTAATGGAGATTCTAGCAGAAGATTTACGGAGTTGACTTTGTTCCGATGTGCTCGGGTTTGACAAACCAGGCTGCTCATCCAACCATGTCTCTAGAGCTCTCTTTGACATCAGTTCCTCCAAATTAGTAGAAGTAGATTGAGGAACTTCATTCTGATTTTGGTTAGCATCACCAGCATCTGACAACTGAATCAATGGATCGGTGTTGTCAAACTCTCTTGTTGAACTATTCTCATCACTGCCAGCATCCCCACTAGAAACAGTCATAGAACGTTCAGAACTATAATCAGAAGCACTTTCCTCATATGATGATCCAGATGACGAGTCAGTACCATCTGCTTTCTCACTTAGTGTGTCCACACCACGAATCACATTTGTACCAAGCTCATGGTCAACAATACTACAAGGTTTTGGGAGAGGTTCATATCCTGGAGCTGCATGAAGGACTATCTGTGAGAGAGATCCAGGAAGATAGACCCGATAGTCCATGGTTTCAGACAGTTGTTTTGCTTGTCCCCGAAACATGCATTCTGCAAGTACTTGTAGCAGGTCCTTCTTGGGTGGACAGTCCGTATCTAGCTCAAGTTCTCCATGATCTAAACTGCACTGCAGAAGTTTCTTCAGAAAGCGAGCTCTGTCGCGAACATCGTAGTTCAAATCACACTCAGCAAGTTCGATCACATAGCTCCCTACTTTTCTGAATGTCAGCATTTCTTCCCCTTTTGCACCTGATAGCACCTACAGTAAAAGGTGACAACAGATTTAAGAGTATTAGAAATACAATAAGATGAAAATTAATCACGGGTCCTGGTTTGTATTGACATGGGGTATACCAAGCAACTTGTTACAAATATGCGAGAAGGGGTAGCTCACTACAGCAAACTAAAAAGCACAAGTCCATCGTAGTTTCCGAAAGAAGTACAAGAAAAGTATTTTGATATACCTTAACGGTGGTGTTAAGAATTTGAAGCTTTGTTTCCAATGCTTCTGAAGTAAAGCTCCAAGCAAGATACTTCAGTACAATAGTTAAAATCCTTGGGATTATCTCCCCTAAATTCCTGTACTCTCCTATCATCCAAATTATTGTTGCACGGGCTGCAGGCACTTTGATTGAATCCAAACTGTGGACCAACTGAATTACAACCTTGAAAAGTAAAAAGAAGTCACTTTAAAATTGTAAAAGAATATATCTAAAAAAACCTGTGATTCGAAAATATGTCATAACATCATGCAAGTGTAAAGTCATTGCTGAAGTGAAGAATCAGTTGAGGTAATTGATTGAGGAATGATACAGTTTGAATAAATTGACGATGCTTGGAAGGCATGAAGCAATAACCTGAAGGGTAGAAATTTTCAAATTTAAAGAGAAATTAGTTTACTTCAGCATAGATGGAAAAGTAAAGAATGGAGGGGAAACTAGAGTATAGAGGCCAACCACCCTTCCCCACCCAAATGGCAACAAAATCAACAGCAAGCAAATGAAAGAAGAAAAATAAAATCCACAGAAAACATGAACATAAAGTTTCCTGTAACAATCAGAATAAAATCATCCAAATCCAAACAAAACTTGGCATTAGCAACAAATTGAAAAAATTACAACATAGCTGCAACTGTTTATTTAACATCCATGAAGTCAGCAATCCATGACCGCAGTTGCGATCAAAACCACAATTGCAACAGAAGCTAGGCAAGAAAAAGAAAAGAGAAATATACCTTTTCATGAGAGGGGGATCTTGTGTAATGATTGATTTAATTGACATTATTGCTTGAATTAGAACACCAGCTTCTCCATTATTGGACTCAGAGTCACAGGTTGAAAAATCTGCAGACAGGCTGTTGCTTAAGAAAACAATAAATAGATTATCTTTTTCATTTGAACGATCTTTGCACTAGAAACTGACCCTGTCTAGTCAGAGCCAACAGCCCTTCCAAGCATGTGCTGGCCATATTGGGAAGTTGTTGTGCACATAAACCAATAGCAGCAACAGCGTCAGCTGCAAATCTCCTGTCTGGATCTCTAATGTAATCCTACCAATAAGCTATAGGATAAGTATCAACTCAAGCACTGAAAGCCCAAGTTGTTACACATGACACACAAAAAATTGCAAACGAAAGAAAAGGTAATGCATATAGGCCTAGGCATCCTACCACTTCTAATGTTTTTGTGCATAGATTTGCACATGTACATCATGAAACTCCCATTTGTTTTTTTTTTTTTTGTTTTGGTTGCTGAGGAATAAAGAATTTAGTATGTCAACAAAGTCCAACAAATATATTGCTGTTATTGTGATCACATTGGTTCCTTCTCAATCCTTTCAAAACATAATTCAAAGATTAAGATGCTATTTACCTCTACATTGTAATTAATTTCTGCTTTGATCACAAGTGATACAAGTTTTCTCACAACCCTGTACTAAATTTCATCTGATTTATTTGGCATTACTCCTATTCTGCAGATTCAAACCTCAACAACTAAACTACTATACAGAAATAACAAGATTTAAACAACTTGGCACTCACTTTAAAGACGCCTTAAAGCATCCCACAAATGTAAACATTAAGACAGTGGTAAATGGGAACAGAGTAAAGAGCCATTAGGAAAATACTACGCAAACGAACTGCATAGAATGGCAAACACCATGAGCAAACCTCCTTTCTCCCCAGAAACAAAAAGCTAAGTTATGTGAGAGAAAATTCCAAGACGAAGAGCAATTTATAGAGCATATGAAAAAAAAAAAGTGTGATTATCATTCTATCAACATATCAAGGGAGTGAAAAGTCAAATTGGCAATCTTCTGCCAGAAGATGCCTGACTACCAGACAAATAATAAAGTGGGGAAATACCTGAAACTCTTTGAATATGGATGAGATAGACGAATCGGTAGCAATAGAACAAAGAATCTCCAGCTTCAGAGCTTTTATCTGGTATGAATCGGAAGAAACTACAAAGAAGTCTTCAAAGTGCGAAGAAAAGAGGGAAGGCATCGCTCTAGCAAACACTTGAATGTTGCAAAGGACCTGCAAAGGTAAATCACTTTAATTATCCTTACCTTAAAGCTGAAAGATTAGCGAACACTTGACAAAATCATTTATGAACTATGAAGGCATTTAAATTCATGCATATCTTGAATGCTGAAGGATTGTCCAAGAAAATTATCTGGTATCATGGACTAGCAACTTGTAGCAAACATTAAATGACTTTGAAATATATGATCCATATCACTTATATGTGACACTATATTATGGATCACCCCAGACAGCAGTGCCACATAGAATCAACAGTCAGAAAACAAGACATGTCAAGAGCAGAATAGATGATTAAGATATTAAAGCAAAGAGCTCCCTCAGACAAGCACTCTACCTTCTGTAGAAGTGAATGTAAGTATTTTTGCTTAAATCCCAACATGTTGATTAGTAATCGCATCGAATCTATGCCAAATTAGCACAGGAAAAAAACATACAATTTACCATCCCACTTGGTTAACAGACAAAAATGCAGAAATTCTACACACTTTCTGGGTTTTACTCAAAGTTCTAATAAAATTCCCCCACTACTAATTGTGAAAGTCGTGAAACCCATTTCTTTCTAGTGAATCTCATTTTCCCAGAAACTCAATGTTCTCCCTTTGCTCTCTAACAAATTCACTGATTTTCACAGAGTCATCATAAGCAACCAAAGCACCTCATCACAACCTCAGCCCACACCTCATGAGTTACCTTCTTGAAGGTGATGACAAATAGGTGCGTTTTATGAGAAACAAAAGCAGAGAAGATTTAAATATCTCTTGCATGAAAGATATATATCAGCATGTACACATATCAAGTATCATTATAACATGCATAAAACAGATGGATACAGGAAATGGAAAGTACCACATATTTTGAGGTGTTAGATGATCTCAGCAAAAACAAAAGTGGTTTAACAATTCTTTTGACTTCCTCCCTTGGAGCCATGATCCAGTGTACACCAGCTGCTGCCACAACCACTGCACTATTGTTACTCCATAACAGAGGAGATGTGCACTGAAGTAGGATTTTCACCTCATCATTACTTTTGCCAGATGTAAATTTTGCTCCATTAAATTCAAGGGAAATCCTGTTAGCATAACTTGACCTTGACAAGTATTCATCAGGCCCTTCAATATAACATCTAGAGATCGTCCTTGCTAAATCAGAGTCATATTTTACATCATTTTTAAATGCAAAGTCATCATCTGAATCATCCTTTTCAGAATGGGAACTTTCTCTACCATGTAAAGAGAACATTATTGATTCTTTCACAAGACCACCCCTTGCTATAGCATACCGCAAAAGTATTCCAATCAAAACTATCTGACCCCACTCTTCCACGTCTGGAAGAATCTCACATAACTTTCTATATTTTCTTCCAATCAAAGAATAATTATTTGGACAAACAGAAGTAAATGCCGAAGCAGCAGCTCCAATTACTCCAGGTGAAATGTCACTTAACAATGTTCCAACAATCTGCATAAACCAGAAAATTGGGAATTCATCGACTAAAATAATGGTAATCGCTAGCACCTCCATGGCTAAGATGAATTACAAGCTCCCAATTTACAAATTAAAATGAATTTTTCCTACACATTTTACTACACAGATAATGAGCAATGTTATAACAGAATTTGAAATTAATAAAGCAAACCTCTTCAATTGTAGAGGAATGTTCCTCGAGGCGCAAATCATGAAACTTAGGAAGAGCATTGGCAGCACATTTTCTCACGTAAACAACCGGATCCTTTGCACATTTCCCCACAGCCACCAGAAGAAGTGGTGCAATTACATGTAAGCGGATTCCTGCCATAGTACGCAACGCCCACGCCCTCACCAATGGATTTGTATCTCCCAGATCCTTTTGGAAGGAATTGATTGATAGCAATGCTTCATTCGGACGCCTGACAATAAAATTGGAGAAAGTAAGCAATCTTCAAACATACCATCCACCTTACACAGTGGGGTATCGTTGCACAAAATCAATTTATATCTTCAAATGTGAGAAGTGCAATAGAAAAACATAATTGTTGAATTCAAACAGTATGCAGCTAACTCAGCATGCCAGAACCCTTCCCCCATCTAGAATTGTGATAGCTTATGATACGGCAATCATTTGGTTTAAAGAAAGGTACATTTTGCAGAAATCGATCGCTTACGTACTTCTCAGCATAGTGTAGAAGATACAAGTAAACCAGCTTCTTTACTTCCAATGATTGAGATGCCACATTTTTAACAACCTGAAATTCCCTTTGATTAAAAGGAGAGCAAATGAGATAAGATATATACTCCATTAATAGAGTATTGAAAAGGTAATTGAAATCCTCAAGCCAAAATTCAGTACTAATTACTCAGTTAATACACACTTCATTTTTTATTTTTTTCCTTTAGTTCTGGTTTATAATTGAATTAAAATAAGTATCTACATCTAGAATACGTAATTAATCTTGAAAATAGATTGCTAAGCAATTGAGTTTCTCGTTTCTTCTAAATCCAATGCAAATCATTGACTACTCATCAGTCATCAGTCGTCCAAGTAAAGTTAATCAACTGGAAATCCCAAAAGAACACGAAAAAAGATTCAACATCCAAATTCTCATTTCCAAACAGATACTAACATGTCGTATTTTTAAAATAAAAAATGAAAGCAGAATCAGTTCGTACCTAATTTTTGCAATTGCAAATTCAGTTCCAATTGCTTTTAGCAAATTTTAAACTAGAGAAAGAGAACAGATGTAATTTATATGGACCTGAGGGAAGAAATTGGAGACGTCAAAGCCTTGAGCAATAAGAGCGAGGAGGCGTTTAAGAGCTTCGCATTTCTCGGAGTCGAATTTGCTATCGAGTAAGGGTGCGATGTTCACGTCTTCTGGATCGTCGTATAAGTGAGCGTCCGTACCGATCCGAAACATGAGTGTTGATGCCTTGCTTAGTGTGTCTGCCGTGGCGCCAAATTGTGTGAACATTTTCGTCTTTTTTTCACTCTCTACGATTTTGCTTCAAATTTATGAATTGCATAAGAAGAGGAACATTGGTTCTGGTGCTTGTAGTGATGTAAAACTGGATTGTCAATGGAGATTGGAGAGTCCGTTTACAGGATTTTGGAGCTGGAGAAGTGGCCTGTTTGGATGAGCGGCTTGGTGGAGTCTTGTTTGAGAATATGTATCCTACCCGAGTACCTGTTTGGATTTGGGAATTGAACTGAATTCATTGCACAGATACTCCCGTCTACATGGGTGTTGCTTGGGCCTTGGGAACCTATTTGTGGGCCATAATGCTTCATCTCGGTGCCATTTGATGTAAACAGACTTGAATGTGAAGCCCGTCAAGGTTAAGAAATTAGTATGAAGAACGAAATTGTGCTAAACCTATTATTTGCATCCCAGAGTTTTCACTGATTCATAAATAAATAAACTCCTTTTGTCATTAGTTAAATCAATTGAAAAAATATTTTTTATTTTAATGAATTGAATATAATTTGTCTAAATTAAAAAGAAAACTTGTTTTAATAAAGAGGATGGAATTAGTAATGGTATTAATAAGAATGAAAATAATATTGACAAACAATCGTATATAGAAGTTTCCTCAAACCCGGGTAAGAATAAACCTAAGCCATCATCTTATTCTGGATACTGATTTCGAGATTCAAACTTTGCAAATTGAGAAAGAACAAATTTCATTGAACATCTGATACATTCTTTAAAATTCACATTTCTATTGACTTGTTTATTATCATGTAAGCAAACTTACGAAAATAGACAAACTGACGTGGCCGGCATTGACATTGTAGTGCTACAAAACCTACAATATCCATGGTTGTTATCTAACAAAGTTTTTTAATTCATCAAATGTAAATTTTATTACTCAAACACAACCATAAATTATAAGAGTAAAATAACCAATAAATTGTCCATTACAAGCTGTCAGATTATTTAATAAAAAAATCGGAAATATGTAGCATAATCCATATAATTACAACATAGTAACATGTTTATTTATTTATTTTTTCCTAGAAAAATTAGCTATCACACAAACACAATTGAGGCAATATAAAACGTTAAGCTTTTGGATTTTGGTGTGTAGATACGGGTTTTGCAACAAATAATAATGTTGAAATGAAATTATTAGACATGATATAACAAGTGAAATGACAAAATTCGAATAAATTTGAGCACAGCAATTGCAAATCCAAATCCTAACGGTCCCGAGGAAAAAGAGAGAGATAAAAATCCTAATACTACTGTTTGGAGGTCAAACTCGTTGTCCAAGATCATTCACGGTCCAGGTGAAAGACTCCTCCCTCGTTGCAGTCCAAGGAAATACGAACGCCTTTCGTTACTGTTTTTTATTGAAAAATGGTTGGTAACACCGTAGTGACATATAGATAAATTTAAAAAATAAAAATATTAAATAATATAATATTTATTAAAATAAAATATATTTTTTTATATTTTTTTAAAAAACACTATCGTTATAAAATTATGATGATTTTTTTTATACCATTATTGTCATGTAGCATTATTTTTTTATTTCCTGAGTTTACGGTGCCCCATGCGTCCGATAAATACAAGGCTGGCCAGTCCTCGAATACACTATCGGCCAGTGGCTCAGTGGTACTATGAGCTTTTTATTCTGATTTCTGCACCGAATTTTGTTTGCTTTCTGAGCCCTCTCTCTAGCTCTCTGTGAATTGCATTGACAGCATCACGTCCATTGTTGGTACTTGGTACTCATGCCGTTCCTTGCAGTTGTTGCCAAATTAACCTCGAGCTTTTCAAGCGCGTATTACCCATACAGTAAATGATGCTTTTAACATGAACGGTGAATAATTACTCATTTCGAATCCTGTTGTATGTGAATTATCTAATAATTCCTTTCTCAAATAAAAGGTGAATAAACTGCTAAGATAAATGTTATTGAATAAAGTGACACACAGAATCCAATATTCCCCAGAAAAATAATAAGATTTGTTATTGCAAAATGTTTTGAACAAATCAGTTTTACTTTTATGATGGAGTTGTAATTGTTCAAAAAGATAATAATAATTTGGATGGTGTACAAAAATATTCACTTAACACCAAGTTTCAAATTTGAGTCTTGATATTAGTTTTTTTAGAAATGCAGTATATTTACATCTGATTAACTCTATTTAGAAAAATATTTTAAATTTCAACCTTAATATTGGGACGATAGGTCTTTTTAAAAAGAAAAAAAAAAGCCAATTTAAAAACTTTAAAAACAATTAATTAATAAAAACAATTGAAAGAAAAAAAAGTTATTTCCAGTCCATTTTTTGTTATTTAATCCCACTATTTGCTATTGAGACCCATACCAACTTATCGAATGTGTTTTTTTATTTTAATTAATTTTCAAAATATTAAAACTAAAATAGTTTTGTTTTCTATTCTTTTAAAAAATATTGTATAAAAAAAGGTGTATGTGCCTGAATATTTATTAATTTGTTTCCTAAAATACAAGCGAGTTAAAAGATATTTTTTATTTATTTAAAACTCAAAAATAAGCTAGCAAATGTTCTAAATCGCTTGGATAAATCACTCGATCAACGATGACCCAGTATCTTTTTAAGACACCAAGAGTGAAACTTTGGATCATGATGTTGATACTGGCTTGAAATTGCCAAGTGGAGTTCATATTGACTCATTATTCAGCTGATATGGAAACTGATTGCTATGAGCCGATTGCCTGGTCTGAGGATCCTCCTGGCTCCTTGTGGATCGACTGCATTATTTTATTTTGGATGACATTACCATCACAGGGAAGGTCTCTCCTCGGTGCGCAAACACACACACACACACATATATATATATATGCATGTGTGTGTGTGAGAGAGAGAGATTCAATATTTTAATAGAAAATTGGATAAAATGTGTAGATATAATATTTTAGTGTGAAGGTGCATGAGAGCATCCACCATCATAGTTGATATTTTTCATTAAAAAAACATTATTTTATCATATTTGTTTTGTGGAAAAAACATCATTTTTTTAATATATTTTCAATTTTAATTTTCTTTAATTCTTACCTTTTGGATTATATTGAAATATTCTAAAACTTTTTTGATGAAATTAAAATTTACAAATAATGGAACAAAACTGAAAGATAAGAGGTTTAGTTAAAACAAATTAAAGAATTTTATGTGAAATTGAGAAAATACTTAAACTTTAAAAAGATAGATTGAAATTTACCGAGCCTTTGGCCGCTTTCTTTCTTCATATGTACACTGATACACACAACGACAGACGTTGTTAATTTTCATCAGTGTTTTTTTCTTGGAATGGAAAACCAAGACCGAACCACACGACCCAAGTCCCAAGGGGAATTGGTTAATGTTTTTTTTTTTTTTTGTCTTTTTTTCTCAACTTCATCATCAAGGGTATATGTTAGGAATTAAAATATGGCTATTGAGAAAGCAACTCTGGCTTGGCAATTTAGGCCTTTCAAAATACACTGATTAGGAAGAGGTGCATATTGTAAATCTGCAAGTGTAAAGTACAAAATTTGAACCAATCGAGACAAACCAAAGTGTTGAAACGGTAGTTTTTTTTTTTTTTTCCTTCCTGATCATCTGCTTTGTTGTTCTTCATAGAAAAATAAAAGGGTCTTGGAGTTATAGAGTTTTATGTAACTAGAAAACCGGTTAGGTGGATTATACTAATACAAAAAAACAATAATATTGGAACGGGAGTAATGATTCGTGGAGGGTTAATCCATAATATTAACAAGAAAACTAAAATATCGATAGTTAACTGTTAATTTTTTTCCTTTTTTTAGACACAACACGATTGTGCACACACACCAATCTTCCATGTGCGCCTCTTCGCTTTGCATATCGACCCTTCAATCGTTCTTACTCGCTGCCGGTTGTTCTTTGACCTTTGATTCTTTGTTTTTTTTATCAACTCATTACAGAAAACACTAAAATGGATGGTGATATTTTGATTCCTAGACTATTCAGCGTTCACATATACTCATATAGCTGTAGATTATCACTTAATTACATTGTTTAGCTTCTTTGCTTGAATCTTGATTGTTCGATTGGTGGTTTGCGTGACTCGCATTTGCTTGATGCATCATGATTCTCCACCTGCTCTTTCTAATATGTTTTAAAATATTAACATTCATTTGCTCTGCTTTTCATTTCTTTCTTAGATTTTGTGCCTGGCAAGTTGGCTCCTTTTTTTTTTTTCACCCTTATGTTTTGAGCCAATTTTCTTTGATGCTATTTGTTCTTATATCATATTACATACTTGCCCCTCTATCTGTTTCCTTCATTTCTATCCCTTTTGTTCCTTTTGGTAAGTTTCTTTTCTTTTTTTTTTTTCCATTGCATTTAATGCTCCATGATGATGGTAATGCAAATATTATGTTTTGGTTTCTTTTTTGCCTCCCCTCCAGCTTTTGATGTAGAGAATTGCCTGACCTAAGAGACCGGTGAATCATTGATCTTTGTGATCTATTGTCTGTATGGATGTATTTTAGTTTGCTTTGTCCATTGCTTCTCTAATATTTATATATATTTTTTTAAAAAAATCTTCTCGGGACTTCAAAAAAAATTATCTCTGAATATTTATAAAGATTTTTATATCAATTGTTATGTTATTTTTTGATACAATGTTATGAAAAAGATATTGAAATGTTTTTCAAATTTTAGATTAAATTTTTTATTTAAATTATTATAATTTTTTATTTAAAAAATATATATATAAGAAAGAAAAAATTGTGTTTTTTTACTACAAAATTTATAAAAATTAAATACCAGATTTTGATTAATTTTTTAAAAAATTTTGATTTTTTTATTTTTTATTTAATATATTTTAGTAAATTTATGATATAATGTAGACTATCAAATTAAAATAAAAATTTAAATTAATTTTATCCGTTTTGTCCGGTTCACAGCATAATCCGGCAATTACCTATTCACATTCTAAAAGAACAGGGCAAAAAGAAAAAAAAACAAACAAGCTATCCCATCCAACCAGCTTAAAGAAGCAAGTGTCACTCACTTGTGTTTGGTGCAATTGACTAGCTAGTAATTTGTAAATTACTAGCGAGTATTTGCTTACTGGTACCTAAAATTCATCATGTATTCGTGCATAAAATACAGTGATCAAAGTACATCAATCACCATTAAAATCTAAATACACCAATGGCAGTTAAAACTAGCATTTTTATTATTTTTTACCAGCAGACTCACCAAACAATTACCCGAGGTTGCCCAATTGCAAAATGGATTTTTCCAGACTTGATTTACTCGATCACGTAAGTAATATATGGAAATTTAAAAATACGAACCACTTTGATAACTTTTCAAATTCTACAATGTTAGATTAAAAGTAAACAAATCTATTCAAGTTTCTCAAAAAAATAAAAATAAAAATAAAAATGGCTTGTGATAAAAAATACATGAAATAAAGGGACGATACACCAGTACACCAAATGCATGATCCACTTGGTTATATTGCACTAGCATCACTTATGCACTGGCATTTTTTTATATATATAAATAATAAAGTATTTATTTTTATACACTTTCTATATTAAACTAATATCATAACATATTTAGTTTTTATTCGACTGCTGAGTAGTTTTTTAAGCCAAACCATAAAATAATAATTATAGATTCCGTATTAGCACTTATAATTCATCATTTATCCAAGCACAATCTAAATCCATTAATCCTAACTAAAATTTAAGAGGGCCAACAACGATTAGAACTGGGACTTCTCTTCTTACAATGTCAGAACTCAAAAACCAACAAGACATTTGTTTCTTTTTTCTCACCCAATCTCGAAGCAAACAATGATTTAACAATACTTCTACAATCGTAAAATGGAATCGTCCCCTCACTAACCCAACCGACTGTCTTATATTGCCACACGAGGGGGAAAAAAAACAATTATAAAATGGAGTTATCCACTTAATAACTCAACTATCTTATATCGTAAATCTAAGGTATCCACGTTATGGTGAAGAAGGATCATTCCATTTCATGACTTTTTCTCACACAATGATCAAGAAAATTAACTCCGTTTCATAATTTTTTTTTTTTTTGGCATTTTGTGACCAACATACAATAAGAATGTAGAAATTTATTAAAATTTTTGAATCATTATGCTTATACGAAATAGGTATGTCATTGTGTTAAAAAAATAATATAATTCATCAAACAGTTAAAATTTTTAAATTATTGACAAACAAACTGACTTTGGAACATTCTTATTATTAAAAGAAAAAAAATCTTATTTTGTATAGAAAAAAAGAAAAAAACTCATTATCCATTATCCGTCGTCATTGTGCCCTTTTTTCAACCGAGTATATTTTTTATTTATTTTTATTTAAGTATATCAATTTTTTTAAAACTATTAATCAATTTTTTTTGTCAATTTTTTCATTAATTAATAAGTATTTATCTAAAAAATATCAAATTATGATTTTATCTTTTTTTCTTAATAGAACACATGAACTTTAAATTTTTTCGATTGAGTATACTAATTTTTTTTAAATTACTAATCAAGTATTTTCGTCAATTTCTCCCTCAATTAACGACATATTCAAATTCTAAATTATTTTTTTCCTCTTTTGTTATAAGAAACTTTCTTCTTAAATTATTCTATCATTTTAAAATCCGACAAAGAATTAAAAAATTGTTTTTAGTTATAAAATTTCAAATTAAACTTAATTATATTTGTTGTTAAAAAAAAACAATTAGTTTTTGGGCATGAAAGTTAAAGGAAACACAAATGTGAGATTTTTAATGAAAAAATTCATTTATGTTTTTTTTTTTTTAATTTTCACGCTTAAACTTAACTGAGTTTTTTATTTAACAACAACCTAACTAAATTTAGTTTAAAATTTTATAACTATGAAATAATATTTTTTAATTATTTATCAAATTTTAAAATTGTGAAATAATTTGAGGAGAAAGTTTATTTCAACAAAAGGCAGTAAAATTATAATTTTGCATTAAAATACATCATCGAGTTAACAAAAAAATTAATGAAAGTATTTGATTAACAATTTATTAAAATTAGTGTACTCAATTAAAAAAATTTACACTAATTTTAAAAAATTAAAGTCCATGTATTATATTGAGAAACAATATAAGTTATAATTTAATATTTTAAAATTAATAGATACGTCATCAATTAATAAAAAAATTGATAGAAATACTCAATTGTAATTTTAAAAAAAATAATATACTTAAATAAAAAAAATTAAAATTTATATATTTGATTTAAAAAAATTAAAAATTAATTTAATTATAGTGTAATTATCCCTCACGCCCGTTAACCAAGAACCTCACACTATTAAAAATTTTATAATATTTAAAAAATAATTAATACCGTGTGTAATGATTATTTTATAAATTTATTATAAGATATTTTGAGAAGAGATAGACACGTAAAAGCAAAAATTATATACAAAGACATCAAAAGTGATAATTAACCAAAACACCCACTTGTCTTCTTCTTCTTGAAATGCCCCACTCAAAAACCCAATTTTCCTTCCATTAACCCTCATTCTTCATGGAATTTAACTAAAAACTTCACAAAATTTCACCATTTCGAGTTCTGATCTTGCATAGGTAATGAACTCTTCAGCTTTCATTTCTTTATATTTTTAGTGTTGACTTTGACTTAATTCTGTATTAATTTTCGACATGCACGATTAATGTATTATTATTTTGGTGTTTGATTTGGTTTTAGTGTTTACTAGTGGTGCTTTTTTTGTAATCCCAGTGTTTCTTTTCACTGATATGCTAATTCTCCGTCTTCTATGTTTTATTCACAGTGATTATTATATGGTTGTTAGATTTCCCGTGTTCTGAAAAAAATGTTGTAGTCGGTGTTGTTCTGCTCTGAGTTCCGTTTGGTTCTTGGGAAAGTTTATGTGTAAGGAAAAGCGTTTGGCATTTGAGAAAATAAAATGCATTTTTGCCCTTTTTTTCTATCCGTATCTATTTTTTTAATGCTTTAATTCATGTTTTCTTTTCCCTTTCCACATCTTCTTTCCCTTTGAAGCAAATGGAGTTTAATTACTAGTAATTTCTGTGATTATTTGACTTTTTCATTTTAAAAAAAGTTATTATAATGGTTTCTATGAGTGATGGTTTGCTTGTTTCAGAGTTGAGAATAATTTTATGATACTATATAATGTTTTGCATGTACAATTTTTTTTTACTCGTTTTACATGCGGACTTTTGAATTTCTGCTTGTGCATTTGCTGATGATTAATGCTATTGTTATGAATATGCATACAGCTTTCTGCCGTTAACAGTAAGAAAAAATGCTAATTACATTATGCGTCTTGCTTAACATTTCTTTCCACCTCAGGTACTCCTTTGATATATCTAAGTGCGGTGTTCAATGGATCACAGTTCAGATGAGGAGATAAATGCAAGCGGATCTGATTCTGAAATGGACGAGTATGAAAATGAAGCATATGAAGAACTGAAGAATGGGAACCTGCGTGTGAAAATTTCTGATGAGACTTTTGCTTGCCCCTTCTGCTCCCAGAAGAAAAGGCGTGATTACCTTTACAAGGATCTCCTGCAACATGCTTCAGGGGTAGGCAAGAGTTGCTCAGAGAAAAGAAGTGCTAAGGAGAAGGCTAATCACCTTGCACTGGTTAAGTATTTGGAAAAGGACATAACAGCTGCTGGTAGTACATCAAAACCTGTGGGTGAGACTGATCCTCATAGTGATTGTAGCCATGCGGAGGAAATGGATATAAGCCAATCTGAAATGGAGGAGTGTGAAGATAAATCTTATGAAGAACTGAAGAATGGAAATCATCAAGTGAAAATTTCAGATGAGACTTTTACTTGTCCGTACTGCCCTTCCAGGAAGAGAAAGCATGAGTACGTATACCAGGACCTCCTCCAGCATGCTACTGGGGTGGGCAAGAGTCTGTCAGAGAGAAGGACTGCCAAGGAGAAGGCAGATCACCTCGCATTAGTTAAGTACTTGGAAAAGGATCTAGCAGCTGCAGGCAGTTCATCTAAACCAGCAGGCGTGACTGACAATCTTAGCGGTTGCAGTCAAAACGATAAGTTTGTGTGGCCTTGGACAGGTATTGCGGTTAACCTTCCTACTACGAGGGCTGAGGATGGGCGATTTGTAGGGGAAAGCGGATCTAAGTTCAGGGATGCGTTGATAAGTAGAGGGTTTAACCCAACAAGAGTTCATCCGCTGTGGAACTTTCGAGGCCATTCAGGAACTGCTGCTGTGGAATTTAACAAAGACTGGCCTGGTTTGCACAATGCCCTTTCCTTTGAAAAGGCTTATGAGGCCGATCAACATGGGAAAAAGGAATGGTTTGCTAGTAATGGGGAAAAGTCTGGTATCTACTGTTGGGTTGCACGTGCTGATGACTATAATTCTAACAATATTATTGGAGAACACTTAAGAAAAATTGGTGACCTTAGAACAATTTCTGATCTCATAGAGGAAGAAGCCCGAAAGCAGGACAAACTTGTATCCAATCTCACAAATGTTATTGAAACAAAGAATAGGCACTTGAAAGAGATGGAGTTAAGATGTTCAGAGACTTCAGCCTCCCTCAACAAGTTGGTTCAAGAGAAAGAGAAGCTTCTTCATGCTTACAATGAAGGTGTGCTCGCATTTTTTTCTTTACCTTGTGAAAAGTAACACAACTTTTTCTTGAGTAATAATTTAGGTTTTCAGCTGTTCCACTCGTCAATGTACACAATTCTTAGGAAACAGTTGCTTATTTCTTTCTGGTACCATGCTGCTGGAAGAAATTGATTCGTGCTTGCATGTGCTCATGTGCAGAGATAAGAAAAATTCAAACGAGTGCAAGGGATCACTTTCAGAAGATATTGACTGACCATGAAAAGATTAAGTTGCAACTAGAATCTCAGAAAAAAGAGCTTGAGAGGCGTGGATCAGAATTGGAGAAGCGTGAGGCGAAAAATGAAAGCGACAGACGAATTCTTTCTGAAGAGATTGAAAAGGTGTGTACAAAGTGCTTTAGCGGAATGGCTCTTGTCCTAAATATACTTGTGCATATTCTCATGTTTTGGCATGAACATTGAAGAGGTGAAACCAATAGCTTAAATTCATAAATAGGAGGTAAGTGGTATCAACTATTTATTATCATGGACCTGATTTCATCGTTTCCTTGAAGGGGAAGAACATATAAAATGATTGTTCTTGCTTACACTGCATTTTGTTAATAATATTGTCAGAGCTTGAATGGAAAAGAAAAAAATCTTGTCACAGTGAACTAATGTCCTGGTCCCACCAATGAATCTGAAAACTAATCTTCCTTTTATACTAGAGTTCACTCCAACCTATTACTTTGCATGCAGTTTTCTTTTAGTGCTAATCAACTGAAGCATCCTTTCTAATGATTTTGTGCACATTGGAGTTGAAAGTGGTTAGATCCCTCAAGGGGCCATATGTTTGGGATTCCATGGTTTTATCCATTGTTTGTTCTCAACCAATGCTTTAGGGGAAAATAAATCCTTTCCTATCCACACACAAGGTATGATTTTCAAAAGATAGTTTTAAGTGACTCCACTAGATGGATCGAGTGCTTAGTGTTTCCCTATCTCTTGTTTGTTCAAGTGACACTCTGATTTTGTCAAACCGCTTAGATCCTTATCTTAGCTGTCCAATATTTTATGCATACTCGGGTGTAATTTGCTACAATAAGCTGTTTCATGCAATAACTATACAGCTATATTTGTTATTTTAGCATCAGTTGAAGTGTTCCTTATGATATTATCTGCTCAAGCATTTGACAAGTTTGCCATATCTGCTTTTTTTGTTGTTTTTTTTATTTTTTATTTTTGTTATTTTAGAATGCCGTTAGAAACAGCTCACTTGATTTGGCTGCTTTGGAGCAACAAAAGGCTGACGATGATGTCTTAAAACTGGCTGAAGATCAGAAGGTTGGTTTGTTCTTTTGTGTGCTTGAATAAATAGCAGAGCATTTCTTTATCAATGCTGAAAACATGACATGCTTAAGTTATGTCCTTGACTTTTTATGCCATTCAGAGACAAAAAGAGGAGCTTCACAATAGAATCATTAAATTGGAAAAGCAACTGGATGCAAAACAAGCACTGGAGCTGGAAATAGAGCGACTCCGAGGTGCATTAAATGTGATGAAGCACATGGAGGAGGATGGTGATGTAGAAGTTCTGAGAAAGATGGATGCAATAATAACAGATTTGAGAGAAAAGGAAGGAGAACTCAATGACTTAGAAGCTCTGAACCAAACTCTTATTGTAAGGGAACGCAAGAACAATGATGAGCTTCAGGATGCCCGCAAAGAACTAATTAATGTTAGTAGTTTCTACTTTTCCAAGCTTACCAAAGTCCACTCTATGATTTTTCCATTGTAATTGAGAAGACAAGCTATTTTCACAATCATGCATAGGATATTTTATTCTCATTTGTGAAAACATAATCTGATGTGGTCAATATTCCTTTTTATTATGATGCTACTCAGCCCAAATAGCTGTTTAGGGGTTCGTAGATGAAGAAATATTTTATTCTCAGTTGTGACCACATAAATAGCTGTTTAGGGGTTCGTAGATGAAGAAATATTTTATTCTCAGTTGTGACTACATAATCTAGTGTGGTCCATATTCCATTTTGTTATGATGATGTTACTCAACTTAAATAGCTGTTTAAAGGTCGTAGGCGAAGAAATGTCTTGGGATGGAACAGAGTGGTCAAGAGTATTCTTGTCTGCACTCGTGTGGTTTGGTAGTGCTTAGAATCCATAAACTATAGAGATGATGATGAATTATTTAATTATCAATTAATGATTAGAACCCTTTGGTTGCTTGCATCAGTTCTTTTCATTCTAAATTGAAATGATACAGTTAATCTCAAACTGCATCATCTGACAATGGACAATGTTACTCATCATGAGCAATTTCTATTTTCCAGCATGTTGAATACCCAATTTTACTCATTATTTAAATGCTCAGCAGATAATTTTTCAATCTATCTCGTTTATTGTACTTGTTCCTATATCCCCTTGCTTGTTAGATATCAACAATCCCCTTTTTGGCAGGGCTTGAAAGAGATAGCAAATCGTGCTCATATTGGTGTAAAGAGAATGGGAGAACTTGACAGTAAACCATTCCTTGAAGCAATGAAGAGAAACTATAACAATGAAGAAGCAGAGGAAAGAGCTTCAGAAATTTGCTCATTGTGGGAGGAATATCTTAAAGATCCAGATTGGCATCCTTTCAAAGTTGTTATGGTTGATGGGAAACATCAGGTGTGTCATCCTAATTGTCATTTATTGTGCTACATGTCATAGTTAGATGCATTTTATGTTTCCAATGCAAGAAACAAGCATAGCAAGCATAGTAGGATATTTTTGTTGTGGGCCTACAGTTTACATTCTCTACAACTTGGCACCATTTCCCTTTTGTATACATGAGTGTCTGTTATGTTGTCTTTTTGGTAACGTGATATCTGCTTTCTTTCTAAAAGGAAGCAGCCATGTCAACGTGTTAATTGGGTCAATTTGATTTGTTAAATTATTTTAAATATCAAGAAATCCTCGAACTGTTGAAAGGTTCCCTCATAGTATTTACATTTAAGAATTGAATGTATATACTAATTTATGATATGTTCTTTTTCCTTTTTCTTTCTTGTTTTTCCCGTCTCGTTGCCAAGTATGCTGCACCTTGATCTTTGCTTCCTTTCACAATGAATTGCTAAATTTTAATTTGTTGGTTCAGGAAATAATCGATGAAGAAGATGAAAAATTAAGCCGTCTGAGGGATGAGATGGGTGATGAAGCTTACCTGTCTGTGGCAGCATCCTTAATTCAGGTAAATGAATACAACCCCAGTGGCAGATACATAATCTCAGAGTTGTGGAACTACAAAGAAGGGAGAAAGGCATCTCTGGGAGAGGGAGTCTCATTTTTATTGAACAAATGGAAAGCACTTAAGCGCAAGAGGGAATGTTGAAGGTTTGTATATTCTGTTTCATGTTTCACTTCTGTCTCAACTGAATAATGTCCTTGTTGTCACATGTTGATTTGACTGTAATGCATCCTGGGGAAAAGAGGAAGCACTGGATTTATTTTGGCTGCTGTGTTTAGTGATACTTTTGGATTTGGCGTTTTGCGAGTGAAATGTTTTTTGAGAGCTCATCTTGGAGGAATGCACGCTGATCGAAAATCATCCATCTTTTTGTTCAAAATAAACTATAAGCAAAGAGGCGGAAAACCATGTAACCGGAATTCAAACCGGTTGTGCATGCTTCATTTGTCTCAGTTACCTTGCTTTAATGATTAGGCACCCCTATAGGTCATTTATAGAGTTTAAATGCTATGGTCTCGATACGTTACTTAGCTTACTATTTTGGCATTATTTTTACTTTAGAAACTTTGTTGGTATATACAGGAAACAACTAATCAACTGCCGAGATTGAGCGATGAGCCCAAAACTGGAAGACCTGTTATCAGGCAACCAGGAAATAAAGCAATATCAATTATCATCACTGATTGGCTGGTTTAAGTTTCAAGGTACCTATTTTGTGTGACATATTGAATTTCATGTTATTGAGGTTTTCTGCTCTCATTGGACAGCTTACTCGGAATAAACTGCGATATGCTAACATGCGGAATTCAGGGTGTCAGACAGTTTTCATAAAGATGTGGACAGAAGTCTGACCTCCTAGTCTTCAAAATGTAGAATGTGCGTTTTCGGTTATCCATTCCCTCAGTTTTTGTCGCAAGGCATACGCCTTATAGTTTTCTGAAGTAGGATGGTAGTGGTCACATTCTGCTAACATTGTATGTGCTTGTGAGTTAGATATCTGTTCCTGCGGATGCAGTAAAACAGCAGTCATCCTTTGATCTCCAAAATTGTATTTTATGAACTCTTTAATGAGCGATAATTTCTCAACAATAACGAGGACTAGCAATCATCTTTGAAAATTGTGCTTTCATCAATTTAGCCAATTTATAATGTTTTGAATCGTGATTTAGCTGAGATTATTCAAGTTTGAGTTTTATCTATCGTTTTATACACGAGATCAAACTCGGGCTCTGACAAGAACATATGTAGAAGGCTCAAAATATGCATGAGCCCAGAAATCTCAATAAGGGTATATCTGGATAACGACAAGTTACATGCAATTTTCATTGTATCTGTCAAATGCTCAAAGTTTTCATGAAGTTCATCTTAATTGAGAGCAGTAAACTATGAAAACAAATTCTTGTTTCTTGGTTACTGCCAGCTAGGCGAAAACTAATGTTGAGCATTATTAATGATGCATTGTTTTCTTGTTTTCCTTGGATGAAGAAGGAAAGAAAAATTAAATGGTATGTGATTTACATCTATAATATTAGTTAATTTCGGGATGCATATTACCATATCCGAAAACTGCTTCTTCTGTAAAAACCTGTAAATCGCTGTGAAAGGATCTCTCTCGTCAAAATTGTAACGTCAGTGTGCTCGGAGCTTGCCATTTTGCTTTTATTGTATACAGGTCATTTTCATGAGACGGTAAGTTATTCTCAGGGAAAATAAAATAAAAATAAAAAACCGAGGGTGTTTAGAGAACGAAAAGTAAAAATGTGCAAACTAGCATAGAGTATGTTTTTTTGAGTTAGCAGTCATTTCTTAAACTAAAAAAATTATTTGGGCAGCTATAGTTGCTTGGGCCTGGGGCTTTGGATTACCTTTGTTTACAATAAACATGAACAAGCATAAACTATATAGGATATTAGATTTGAAAAGACTCCACTTCAGCTTCTATAGTTTAAATTTTTCATTATCAATCTCATTTTTGGCATAAAGTTCCAATATGACTAGAGGTATGAAGTAGGGTGAGCCGGCCTCTTGACCGCACGAGCATAGTATGATATGGCTATGGGTCATGCTTGGCAGTTAGCACCATGGATCAGTCGAGGATGGTGTTAAATTCATTATAAAAATTGTTATTTGTATAACGTTTTTTTAAATGATTATTGCAATCTGTTCTTATTATATTAATGAATAATATATTTTAAGTTGTAACGTAATTGAATAAGATATGGTAGTTATTTTAAGAAGATATTGAATTTAGCATTAACCATCCATAAATTGAGCTTGGGTTGGGTTGAGGTTTTTGCAGGTCGTGGTCTCCGAGGGCACAACTCATAACTAGCTTATGCAAATTTTCGGCATCACATAATTTTTTACCAAAACAAACTTTGCTCATTTCAGTATAGTCTTAAAGAAGAAAAAAAAAAATCTCCCTTTTTATTTTTTCAATTAACTTACTGTTCATGAGTCTTTAAACCAAACCCATGCCGATAATAGCACAAATGCACATGTAATTTATCAATAAATATGAGATAGTCAAGTTACTTATTATTTTTAATCCATTTAATTAGAAGAAAAACATATATAATAAAATATTATGAAAGAAATGAGCATGGGCTAGCAGGTGGGCCAAATGGCATGATAATAGCCTATGAAACATAGGCTTAGACCAGTTTAGACCCAGAGGACATAAGAATACGGACTGACACGATGACACTAACATGTTTCGTAAAATGAAATACAACAACTAGGAATCGAATTGGCATGGTAAGACCATAAGACACACTTTATCCCTCTAAATATGATTCTTTGGGCAGAATTGCTAATATTAACTAAAAATTAAATACTCCATTAGCTTCTCTCTCTCTCTCTCTCTCTCTCTCTTTTCTGTTGTTAAGAACTTTTAGAAAACTATACAATCAATATTAGACTAGTCCAGTCCATATGAAATCATGAAAAACTATCAATGGCCAGATCAAATATAAAAACATTGCAAATGGGCTAAAAGTTATAGTTTACCCGTAAATCAAACACAGAAACGGAACCCCTACAGTCTGAACCGTACAAACGCCACGGAAAACTTAAACGACGATCGTCTCTCTCTCTACCGTTAAAAACCTTGAGTCCAGAAATGGAAAATGACATTGTAAAAGAGCTACAAAAAGCGCGAAAGCTTGCAGTGCATCTTGCTAGAGAGATTGATTTCAAGAACCAAAAGTTGTTAGAGACGGAGAAAAAGTGGGATTGCACTTCCCAAATGCTAAATGTGATGAGGGTTGAGAATCATAAACTGAAACAATCGGCCGATAAAAGTTTGTTTTTTCTAATTTTTATTAATCACTCACTACCAGCATTTAATTTTAAATTTCATGCTTAATTCGTTTATCTTAACGTATTTTGCTAGGCATGAAGCAGATTCAGTCAATTACCGCGCGTAATTTGGCACTGCAGCACAATTTGCAGTCTCAGAGAGATGAGTTTGAGCAGAAAATTAAGGAATTGGAGATGAAAGTGGCTCAAAATGATCGAGAGAGGAAAACTTTACTCCAAGAAAAGGAAATGATAACTTGTTTTTTTTCTGTACTTATTTGAACATTAGGGTTGACTTTGGATTCACATATTATACTAAAATATGAAAAATGTGAACTTTGGGTGTTGCAGTTGAAAGTTGGAAGCTTTGAGGCTGACGAGTTGAAAGAAGAATTGACAGAAAAAAAGAGGAATTGCAATGTATGGCAACGCTTAATCAAACTCTGATTCTTAAGGAACGTATGAGTAATATCGAATTACAAGGTGCTCGGAAAGAATTAATAGATGTAAGAATTTTAGAACTTTTGTTTTCCCATTATGTGGTTAACCAACTACGGAAATTCTTGGTTTTAGTTATACGTAATGATTATAGCTTTCTTTGTTAGAAGCAAGCTGCGTCCTCCATGGTAATTCTCATAGATATTGAAATGATGAGTGCGGTGGTGATTTTGCTTTTGAAATATAGGGTTTGCTAGATATTCTGGATAGCCAAAGTATTGGGATCAAAAGAATGGGAGAGGTTGATACAAAACCTTTTGAAGATGCCTGCTTGCAGAGGTTTGCTGGAGATTATGAGGAGAAATCAATGCTGATATGCTCGTTGTGGCAACATAACATTAGCAATCCAATGCCACATCCTTTCAAGAGAGAGTTTGTAGATGGGAAATTTCGAGTACTTTCTGATCCTTATTTCATTTAGGAATTGTTTTCCCTTTGTCAGTCTTACTAAGAAATTTCTGCAATTATAGATTCACTGTTGATGCTCACAAAGTTTCATCTTAAAGTAGTTTAATGCCATTCAGTAACTCTAGAAATATAGACAGCATGTAGATTTTGCATTAGGGAATACACGCCTCAAAATGCTTAATAAGTAGATATGGACATTGTCTCTTTTATTTATTTACTGGCATTTGAATGGACTAGTTAGCAGCATGTTACTTGAGCCTGTTTGTGGAAACTAATTGATACTACAAGTTGCTTTGGTTCTAAACCAATAAATGGAGTAATGGGAAAAGTGAAATGTTTGCTATCCCAAATATTTGTTTGATGATGTCTTACTTCGATCCTAACCAACTCTTGCTATTTTTCTTTTTCACCCAATAGCTGAGCTACAATTGCTTGAAACTGCAGGAAGTAATAGACAAAAATGACAGTAAGTTGGAGGAGTTGAGAAGTATGTGGGGTGAGGCAGCTTACAAAGCCATAGCGGATGCACTAATGGAATTGAATGAGTACAATCCTAGTGGGAGATATGTAGTTCCTGAACTCTGGAACTTCAAGGATGGCAGAAAAGCCAGTTTGCAAGAGGTGATCAAGTGCATGATTAAAGAATTGAAGACTTACAAATCTCTTAAACGTAAAAGGTAACAAAGCCACTGTTAGCCATCCAGTCTCGCGCAATCGATAATCCTCAATCAACCCAGTTCTGTAGAGCTAGATCTGGACTTGAAGAGCATATCCATTGTAGGAAGCTCCTAGAAGAAATTTTTTTGTTGCATTGTCCCAATATATGCATCTGTATTGAGACAAAAAGCAGACTGAATGTGCGAGTCCTCCACGGTCCACTCCCATCGTGATTCTCTCCTTGCTCTCGCTCTGTTAGTGTCCTTAAAGCTACTGTTTAGAAGGTTCTTGGTTGCCATGCCTTGGGGGAAAAAAAAAGAGAAGCTCAAAGGTAGAACAGAAGATGGCATCACAATTACATAGATGTCTGGGGGATGATGTATAAAAAAAAATGTCCTTGGAAGTCTCAGAACATTAATAGCAGTTTAACGACAAAAATTACCTTCAAAGTATTGAGTTATAACAATTTAAGACTCATACTATTAATTTAGATTCCAAACTATTATTTTTTTCCAAATATTATCTTTAATCCGCTATCTTTAATGACCAAAACGTTTACCTTTAACTTGTCTCAAACTATTAGAGTTGTGATAAAATAAAATTTTTATTATTAATTTGGATTTTTCAAACTCCAAATTATTAGTTTTTTGGCAAGTTTTTTTCGTTTTTCATTATCTTTTACGATCAAAATGTTGATCGTTAATTGAAATGCTTAAAATAATGTTGTTTTAAGCATTTCAATTTTTTAAAATTAAAACTAACTTTGAAAAAAATAATAATTAATGATTCAGTTTTCTTCATCTAGATGGATTCATTGCATGTCATTAACTATCAAATAGCAAAAGTAAGATTTATATGTAGTGAGATTTATATATATATATCACCTATCTTAAAGTAATTATTATTAAATATTTTTTAAAAATAAATTTAATTTTTAAAAAAATTAATAATCTAGTTTTTTTTCTTTTTTTCTTTTACTAGATGGGTTCATTACACATTATTAATTATCCAATAACAAAAGTCAAATCATAAATGATAAATTCATCTAACCTTTTTTAAAGCTAACTATTATTAAAAAAAAAATTGAAATTAATTTTGATTCTAAAAAAAAATGGTTAACAATTTGACTATTAGAAATAAAAAAGAGTGATAAAATTTATGTAAAAACTAATAGTTTATGATCTAAATAGTCCAAATTAATAGTATAAATCTTTTTTTTAATCACAATTACGATAGTTTGAGGGTAAATTTTGTTATTAAATCATAGTTAACGAGTTAACATTTTGATCGTTAGTGATAATGAAAAAAGAATAATGTATGCTAAAAAAATAATAGTTTAAGATCCAAAGAGACTAAATTAATGATACAAGGTTTTAATTACCAAAATCCAATAGTTTGTAAACAATTTTTGCTATTGAACCCAATAAGAACGGACTACTAGAATAGAACATAGAAAGCATGGGCACACTTTTGAATGTACAAAGTTTAGAATAATATAAATTTTAATTTGTTATCTTGAGATTTATGTGTTTTTTCAATCTTCATAAAAAAAACCTTCCATTTCGATTTGTTTTAATTAAATCTTGTATTTTTCATTTTTGTTCCAATCAACCACCACACTTTTTTTTATTTTATTCCAAGTAGCCTTCATATCTGTCATTTTTGTTATAATTTTCCTCCTTTGCCTATTATTGTGAGGTGCATAAATTTCAATTTCATCCCTGAATTGCTATATATATATATAAACTAATTGAAATCAACAAAAAAAAAAAAAAAAACAATAGAAAATATGTATTTTTTTAGTAAAAAAAAAAATACGATAGAATTTGATGGATTGATTTTTCAAGAAATTCTTAAATTTTACCAAATTCAATTCTCATTTAGCAAATATTATTTTGACATCACTTAGAGCATAATTATTTGCACATATAAAAAAGTACTATTTGATGACAACATCAAAGATAACTGAGAGAAATAAAAACGACAAAAGTTTTGATAAAAAATAAAATTAAAAGAGAGAGTCAAATTAATTTTAATTTTCATTTAACTAAGACATGGACAAAGAAAAAGATTGTCCTAACTCAAGCTACCATTCCATTCCCATAGGATTTCAATTTTTTTTTCTATAATTTTTGTTCAAGATTTTAATAGAAATTGGTTAAAAAAAATATATAGATATTATATGTTAAGTGATGTCAAAATTATCATATAATCAAACTATCATTCCATTAACATAGGATTTTAATTTTTTTCTTCAGAATTCTTGTTCACATTTTAATGAAAATTTGATAAAAAAAATATAGATATGATATGTGTGAGAGCGCACGAGAGGGAATGCCAGTGGTGGTTGATGCTTTTGATTATAAAATGTTTTTTCCATATATATATATATATATTTAGATTAATTTTATTCTTTTATTGCCAAAAAATTGTTAGACAGTGTTAATGAAAAAAAATTATTTTATCATATTTTTTTTATTGAAAAATATATTTTTTATTTTTTTTTCAATTTCAATTTTATTCATTTTAACTTTTTAGGTTATATTGAGATATTCCATAAATTTTAGAGATGAAATTTAAATTTGCACCAAGTGGAACAAGAAATTCAAATTTGTACCAAGTGGAACAAAACAGAAAAATATAAGATTTAATTGAAACAAATTAAGGATTTTAAGTGCAATTAATAAAATACATAAACTTTCGAGAGGATAAATTGAAATTTGCCTTTTAAAATAATATATTTTATTAAAAGGTTAGTTTTATTAACCATCTCAAAATTTTCGTTATTGTCTCAATCACTACTCACCAACAATAAAAACAAAAAAAATGTTGCCATTTACCTTATTAATCCACAAGAAAACATACGAAACACAAAGAACATGTTCTAGCAAAAGAAAAAAACAGAAAATCTAGCTATCCACATTTCAATTAGCATGATTTGTCATTTGAAATTACTATATAAAAAAAAAAATCTGAAATCACTAACACTGAAGTAATTCAAGTTCTTAATAGATAGAATGGTTAGGGGCGGCCCAGGCCCAGGCTCCAGCGAGTCCCTTCCTTTCATATTCGATCAGCAGAGAGCATGAACTGTAATTATGAAAACTACTGAAAAGTGGTTGCTTCTCCCCTCCAGTTATCAGAAACGCAAGTTCATGAAGTCCTTATGTAGATACATGACACCTCGCATTTAAAACAATCGAATGTTGGAGATTATGCCACATTAACACTGTAGTTTGTTCTTCATGGTTCGACCCACCCCACTTCTGCTTCTCCTCTTGCCACCTGCCAATCGCCATTTTTATTGCCAACTGATTTTTTTGAGAAATTTTATAATATCCAACAAATAATTAGTGGAAAGAGATAGAGATAAATGCATTAAAAAAATCATAAAAAAATATAAGAAGATTTTAAAATTGACTAAATTTTGTTTATAATTTTCTTCTCCTGTTTGTGTCTGTCACTGAGTAACTTATACCAGTTATTTCTGAACTTTTTTGTCTTCTCTTCCTTTTTTCTGCTGTACGTGACCAATTGATCACATTTTGTACATTTTCTTTTTCCCATGCATTTATAGTTCTCCTCACCCTTTTCAAGTCAAGCTCCATGTCTGCACTAAACTCAAGTTCTACGGTTAGTCCCTCCCTTTTTCTTCTTCTTTTTTTTTTTTGAAAATAAGCATTTGCTTTGTATTTTGATTAACGGGTCTGATTGAGAAGGATATTTAGCATTTCGTTCACGTTTTGATCTCATATTGTCGTTTGCTTTTTTTTTTTTTTCCCTCTAATCTGATTTTCAGTTTCCATGTTTGAAACCTTTATTACACTCTTCGTCCGTAAGATATTGCAATTGTTTCTTTCTTAAGAGCTGTACGTTCATGCTAAAAGTGGGATAAAAGACTAGGGTAATTACTTCTAGTGTAGGAAAAATGTGATGCTTAAACTTTTTGTTTTTAATTACTATCAAAATTGAATTGTTTTCTTGTATTTAGGAGGTTTTTTGTTTTTTTTTTTTAAAAAAAGAAAGAAATCCACTATAATTCTATGAGAAATGACGGCCGGAATAGTGAATTTCAGTGCAACTTTGGCATTTCACGAGTCCTTGAAGTTTTTGAGAGTAAATCCTATTCGTGTCAGAATGCAATCTAAAAAGTTAACTAAATGCTAAAAACTTTGGACTTAAATTTTCTTTTATATAGCAGCTTGCGCTCTTGATTGGGTGTTTGTTTCAATTAGATTTATGATATCAGTGATTTCCAATATTGTAAAAAAATCAATCACAATTGTTAAGATGATAAATGCGTTTTAACAGAGTGCTTAAACCCGCAAACTTGTTCATTTTATTCCAGGTGTATGCCTGTTCTTCCCTTAATCAATTTTATTCCAGGTGTGAATGATAGTCCTTAGTCTTGACAAGGACAGACTTCACTAATTAAGACTCAAGCTAGTTGACATGCCACTATTAATCAGACCTTTTCCAATGTCTATAAGAAGGTTAAGTTTGCCTTTTGCTGTAGGTATCTCAGTATCGTGCTCAAATGAGGAGCTGGAATGTTGATGAGGAGCTAAAGCAAGCACATAAGCTTATTAAGTGTCTCGTTGAAGAGATTGATTACAAAAATCATAAGTTGTCCATTATGCAGCTTAATTACGAGGAAACAATTGCAGATATACGCAAAGTTGTTATTAGACTTACACAGATGATTGATTCCAAAGACAGAAATTTGTTGGAATTGGAAGAGAGGTATCGGGAGAGTTCTGCAGCTGTGAGCTGGTTGATGAATGAGAAAGCCATGCAAGTTGAAGTATATACAAAAGGTATGTTACATGTAGTAATAGATGAGATTGAATGGAATTTTATGCTAGGAAAAAAATTCTTCAGCTGAGGACAACAAATGGTAACAAGGCTCTGTGAGAATGTGGAAACTGCTATTGAGCCTACAGGCCCCAGGACCCTCTGGGCATCAAATTAACCTTTGTTACCATACTTAGCCTTGAGTAGTGTATTTTGGGACAAATATTATAATTTTGAAAGAACGTTATCTCTTGAAACTTCCCCTGCTGTGCATAAATAGCCAATTTATGTGCAGAGTTTACCATATTTCTCCTTTTATGGTGAGCCAAATTTAGCCATTGTTTCAAACAGCACATGCATTTGTACAATAGGAAAAATTGTGGCCTGTGTATTGATTGAACATGCCTTTTGAACTTCTGATGCTGCATTTTTAGAGAAAGCTTCAATTTCTTGAATTAAACTGAAAGCATTACGGTCACTAAAAACTGAATATTGGGCACCTGCTACACCATTTCAAACAAGTTATAAGATTTTTACTTCTATGAAATTAATAGACTACTTGTGTTACATGTATATGTTTACACTACTCCTTTGATACTGCAGTTGGTATTGAATGCATCAAGTGACTGGGAACACAGAAAAGCAAGCCTTATTCTAATGAATTGAGCCTTGAATTATTAACTGCAGCCATAAGATGCTTCCTAAAATACACTCAAGAATGGAGTCTTAAGAAGTTGCTTATCTCCCTGAAGCAAATTCACTTTAGAACCATATTTTAGTCTCAAATTTTCTTGTTTTCATCCTGGTCATGCTTAAATCTTAATGCTTAGATTTATCCGCCCAGTGTGAGTAATGAGTGCAGAAAATATTTTCCTGACTTGTATATCCTTTACTTAACTTGTGATAATCCCAGAAACCAGAATATTAAAGTCCCCTGATGCTATGCTAAGGAATGACATCGAATGTCAAAAGAAAAATTTCAAGCCGCTAGCCAAAGAATTGGAGGAGTGCAAGGCACGGGATGATATGGAGGCAACTACTTTAGTGGATGAAATAGAAAGGAACAACATGGAATGTCAAGAAAATGTGTTCGAACAGCTAAACAAAGAGCTGCAGGAGTGCAAGGACCAGAATGATATGGAGAGAACGTTGGTGGATGAGATAAAGAAGAACAGCATTGAATGTCAAAAGAAAAAGCTCGAGCAACAAACCAAAGAACTGGATGATCACAAGGCCCAGAATGATATGGAGAGAGGAACTTCATTGGATGAGATAGATAGGAATAACATGGAATGTCAAAAGAGAGAGATTGAGCATCTAACCAAAGAACTGGATCAGTGTCAGTATAAAATGGAAAGTCAAAAGAGAGAGCTTGAGCAGCTAACCAAAGAACTGGAAGAATGCAAGGTCCAGAATGACCGGGAAAGGAAAATTTTATTGCATGATATAGAAAAGGTCAGTACACTATACTTGCCCATAAAGTACTTTAGAGGTGGTTAAATCCCTCATACTTTTCCTATTGTTGCTTTATTGCAAATCTCAATGAATTTTTTTTCTCTGACTTCATAATATTAATTGAACTATGACAATGCAGTTGAAAGGAACCCTGCAGAGTCAAAATTCAATAGAAAGTTCAAGTTATTCAAATGCTGAGATTGATGCTCTGAGAAATGATTTAAAGGAAAAGGAAGATGCATTGCAATACATGGAAAGCCTTAATCACACTTTGATAGCTAAGAAGTCTATGAGTAACAAAGAACTGCATGACGCTCGCAAAGAATCCATCAGTGTACCATGTTACATCTGTCTTTATTTCTCTGACTTATATTTGCCAATGTTAATAAGGCTGCAGATCTCTTTTGCTAACATCCTACGGCTAGCCATTACGAGCTCTTGAAATACAATGTTTCCTGATTTTGGCAATGTAGGTTTTGCAAGATATGTTGAACTGCAGAACAACGCTTGGAATCAAACGAATGGGGGAAGTTGATCGCAAAGCGTTTGAAGAGACATGCTTGCTTAAATTCCCTAATGAAGACGTGGAAGACGTATCTGCTAAACTATGTTCATTATGGGAAGAAAGTGTGAAAGATCCACACTGGCATCCTTTTAAGAAAGCAGTTGTCAAAGGCCAACTGCAAGTACATCTTTACACGCCGTGCTTATAATATTCAGTCTGTGTTCTGCTGGTTCTTTACTCTACTTAGAACAAATCAAAATGTAGAAAATATTCATATTAACTTTTTGTGTAACTTTATTTGGATATTGATTTCCGAGAAATGCAGGAAATATTAGATGATAATGATGAAAAGTTGAAAGGGCTGAGAAATGAATATGGCGAGGTTGTACATGAAGCTGTAACGAATGCATTACTGGAATTGAACGAGTACAATCCAAGTGGGAGGTATCCAGTCCCTTAAATCTGGAACTTAAAGGAGGGAAGGAGAGCCACTATGAAAGAAATCATTCAGTATGTGATCAAGCAATTGAAGAGTCATAAACGTAAAAGAAAGCATTGATGTTTGTTACCTGTTCCTCTGTTGTAAGCATACTTGGTTTCATATTTCAATCAACACATTTAATACTAAAGCATATCTACCATCTTGCTCATTGCGAAACTAATCAATAAGATCATCTTTTTAGATTCAAACACCGAGACAATGGATTAAACTGTTTGTTGCTTGTTTTCAATTGCGATTAACCAAAAATACACTGGTTCCTTTCAGTAATCCATCACTAATGAGTCGATGATGAATTGATACTGCATGCAGATGATGTTGCTAAAAGTTCTTTTGCGATGAGTGAAAGGTTAAACCAGCTGTGGATACGGTGGCTGCGTCAGCTGCTCGTTTGTTGGAGGTAATTCCATTTGCAGTAACGTCTGCTGTGGATAATATCTAAGATATCGACAGAATAAAAGTAAAGAAGTAGTAACTTTTTGTTTCATGTATTGTTAATACACTAAAGCAGACGGATTTGGGCACTAAAAAACAGCTTTGAAACTATTTAGTTGTGGAGCTCTCCGGTAAATTTGCAAATGTAGTAATACTTTTATAACTAAAGCCAGCTAAATCATCTGTATTCTAGTTGTGCTTCACATTTTCCTCCAGAATTCAGCATCATAGACCCCATGTTACCACATGATGGGATCCACATAGAAATCTGAAGAGAGAGATTGGGCATGTATCTTGGTTATTAGCTTCCCCCTTTTCCTTGCAGGTTTTGACTCTGAGAGTATGCTTATGTCATCTTTCTCACATTGAAAGTTGGAAACTGCAGTCTTCTTGATCAGGTTTTAGGTTAGCAATCCATATTCGCATGGATGCATTTCTGACAAAGTTTATGATGGAACCTGTCTTTGGATTGTAACTCAAGATTGTACTCATCTTCTTAACTTTTGCTCGTATTGAAATAATAACAACCAAATTAAACCAATACCTAACCCGTTTTACAATTATTTTACAAGAGCACCGATATGCAGCAAACCTGATTCCGAACTTGCTAATAAGCTTTACATTAAATTCATTAAGCGACTCATTAACCCTTTTTACAACTTACAAATCTAAATGAGCTGTGGTTCTTTTGTTCAAATCTTGCTCGTCATTAAACGTAAGCTCTACCGTCACAATTTTAAGTGAAGGCCTTCGGCAACCAACACGAGGTTGGATTTAGTTTAGTTGATGACGAAACTCCTACAATGGACCGAGTTTTGAAAAATTATCAGATACGTCTCTGCTGTATTGATCCGCTACTCACATAAAAACAACGATCCACCCTGATAACTATGCACAGATCTCACCTACTTATGCATAGGAGCAGAAGAGCATTACACCGAGAGCGCTAATAATTTTTGTTTCTAAGTGAGTAACGGATCAATACAGCAGGTAAATTGGGCCTTATGATTGTGGCTTATGCACAAAGTTCTCACGCTTACCAACTGCTCGAGTCATAAGGCCACAATCATCTGGATCATTTCCTCCTCCAAGAGTAGGTAAATTGGGCCTTAAGCCCAGATTACTCTACCTATAAAAATAAACAATGGGCTTTAAGATTTCCGAAACCCTAGGGACTGGACATGCGGCTATAAAATACTGAATTGCCTCTGCCATCTTCCACCTCCAGCCGCCTCCAAAAGCCACTGTAACAAAACCCTAGGGTTTAGAGTAACATTTTTTTTTTATTTATTGAATATCGCTTCTCTTATATTAAGCGTGTATATAAGCATATGTGGGTTATGATTACAAAGAGAGAGGGCTTAAGTGGGATCTTCAACGAGACCCATTTGGATTTGAAGGTTAAAAAAGATAGAAAGAAAGGCAAACACGAAAGAAGAAGAAGCCGCCGCTCAGAGAGTAAGGCTTGGTTTCTCTTCAGTTTGTCTCTTCTTTTTTTTCTTTTTTAACCATTCATTTCTTTTTGGGTTTTCCCACGATGACTGGCCTTTTAATTTTTACACTTGATATGAGCCCATATGTCAAATTTATGTAATATTTAAGCTTATGCATTGATTTCAATTTCGTTAAATTTTGTTTGATATGCATGTGTTGTTCTATTATGGGAAAACAATTTTTTGGTTTAGTTTCTCATTTAACAACTGTGCAATAGAGAAAGCCTAATTACGTTTCTTGTTTTTCAAGAGCAGAAAATTTTGTTTTTGGAAAATGGTTAGGTGATTAGGCAGCGGCCAGACAACCGTAGTGATGGTATCCACAGATGGCGGGTTGTTAATCCCGCTTTGTCTACTGATTCCATCTCACATTTGCTTTAACGTTTGCTCCTTACACTGATTATTTGTTGGTTTGAAGTCAAGATATTAATTATATCCATAGGTAAAATACTGCATTATAAAATATTTTGCTGAAACGACATTGTTTCTGTAAGGCTATTTTAGCTGCTTGACTATTTGCTTCCCGATGGTATACCATCTGCACTGAATTTAGCACATCCAATGGGTGTGCTGAATTCTATGGAAACAGAATGGTTGACGCAACTTGATTTCAGTGCATTAATTCGGTGTGTCGAATTTCATGCATGTAGATAGTTAAAAGAGAAGCTCTCTTTTGAAGAAATTGCTCAATTTGGTATCATTCTTAGCTCAATTTATGTAAGTTTTTTCTATCTGTGCATATGGCTTGTCTAAACAATATGAAATGGAGTTTTTTGCGTTGGTTAGATGAGTCTAGTTTTATATGAGACCCTTTAATTCGAAATGTCTCATTTTTTGAAAGAACCTGTTTTATTGGACACCATATGATGGATTTAACTCCTTTAAATCATCTCATATTTTGCTAATTGTGATTTGTTATAGCATGTCTTGGATTTTTCTGTAATACATCGTGTCTTGTGAGTATTCTGGAAATGGAAAATATGGCCCATTTGCCATTGAACACAGTTAATTTGTGTCTACGTCCCGCTTTGCTATGTCTGTTACGTCATTGCAGATTGGAACAAATACTATCAGATTGGATGCGTTTATAAGAATTGGTTTTGCACGTTTGATCTATTGATGGCATCGATGTACATAACTTCCGCATCCAATGGGATATTAAGTTTGCCTCGCCCAAATAATGAAAATTTATTTAGCAGAGTTTTTTTCTCAACTTGGGAGCTTCTGGGACAATAGATTCTTGTGGAGGTAGACTGGTACTTCTTGCAACAGTTCCTAAATCCTTATATGAACAATGGATGTTTCTCCATTTGCCATTGAACATATTGATGTTTCTTTGACACTACGGAAGTTGCTGTTAGATGAAAAGTCATGGAAAAATCTGCTTCCCACATCATGATTACTATACCAGCATGTGCATTGCACTTTTACGAAAGAGGAAGCTCACTTGTAAAGTATCAGTGAGTTCTGCTGAACAACCTTATATCAACTATGCTTTGGAAGATGCCTGGTGTTCTTTGTGTTGTGATTTGCGAACCTAGCGGGCTTACTTTTTCTGTAACACCTAGGCTTAGCTCATTGACGTTAATCTCTATTGTTATGATTTTAATACTGAGTTCAGTTGAGAAAACTGTAGCGTGCTTTTATGTTTTTGTTTAAAGAGCAATGGAGTAATCCCCGAGGCTTAGCTCATTGACACTAATCTCTATTGTTATGATTTTAATACTGAGTTCAGTTCAGGAAACTTAGCGTGTTTTGGTTTAAAGAGCAATGAAGTAATCTCCTAGGCTTAGCTTATTGACATTGATCTCTATTGTTATGATTTTAATACTGAATTCAGTTGAAGAAACTGTAGCTTGCTTTTATGTTTTTGTTTAAAGAGCAATGGAGTTATCCAGATTGGAATTCATGAATTAACACACTGTTTCCAAGATGTAACTGAATTTGACATTTATGGACCAAGTATTTGGAACCAGTCTTGCCAAGGGATTAGAAGATTGGTTGCTTTATGGCTTTATGAGCATGTTGAGCCTCCATTTAATTGAGTTGATTCGTATTCCACAAGATTGGTCTAATTGCCTTGGCTACTACATCTCCCTGTAACGACTCCTACCTCTCTTAAAAAAAAAATATCCATTACGGGTTACACAGATTGGAAGGAGAGATATGGTGGGCACTTCTGCGAAACAAAGGTAGAACTAGACGGAGACGTATGGGGAACTCTTCCATAAAAACTAAGGAAAACAAGAAAGATGTGAAAAAATCATCACGGCTTACAGATTAGAAGGAGAGATATGGGGAAGGTAAAGTGGAAAGATGTGACAACGGCACTCTAGAATCTAGAATGCTGTGAAAAAAAAAAAAAAACCTTTCTGGGTTGAAGAGATTTGAGGGAGAGAGAGTGTCAACTCTTCCAACAAAACAAAGGTAGAGCTAGAAGGAGAGATATGGGGAACTCTTCATAAAAACAAGAAAGACGTGAAAAAATCCATTAAGGCTTTACACAGACTAGAAGGAGAGATATGGGGAAGGTAAAGAAGAAATATGTGACAAGGGGACTCTAGATTGAGACTAGGAAAGAGAACTTTAAGTCTGAATCATTCCTATAGGATGGCAACTGTCAAGACCATTGGCCAAGAGAACTCACAATAGAATTCCCAATGGCTTGTTTGAGGAAAGAACTCTGATAACTCTCAAGAGAATTCCCAGTGGCTTGTTTGAGGAAAGAACTCTTTGCCAAGATAACTCTGAAGAGAATCCCCAAAGGCTTTTTTTGAGGAAAAGAACTCTTGGCCAAGAGAATTCCGAATGGCTTGTTTGAGGAAAAGAAGTGGGAGAGGAGAAATTTTATAATACCGATAACACTAATGACATGTATAATAACTTCAAGGAGAGAAAAAAATTAAGGAAACATGAAAATTTTTTTATTATTTTTTATGATTTCGAATGTAATTCTTTCATTTTTTGTGTCTATCTCTTTTCTTAAAGTGAATTCATAAAATAATTATTATGCATGTTATGGTTACTGTTTGAGTATTAGAAAATTTTAATGAGAGCACTTACTGTTTGAGTATTATAAATAAAATTTTTAGTGAGAGCACTTAAAAGCACTTGATACTCCCTAAATCCGGTGCTCATACAATGCCTTGCCTTTTAATAAAACTTAAAATGGAACGGGCTTCCGGTGAAACAATGGTAAATTTGCAGTTGGGTCTTTAACGTGGATCCTCTGGAAAAATGCAGTGGGCTAAATTTGTTAGGCCTGCTTATCTATGGACGAAGGCTGTGTGCTTTGAAGAAGAAGATTAATCTTAAGCCAATTTACAACAACCCAGATGGGTGTATCCACTATTCAAAGCCCTTTTTTCCTTGTTACTTTTTCGCTTCTTGATGTGATGACAGATATCAGTGACGAATCTAGTAAGATAAGAACCAATCAGAATCTTTGACTTGTTTGTCACTCATCACCACCGAAGGAAAGAAACCATTGACGTTCACCGTTCTGAAAAAGATTCTTAGAGTCTAGAGCCCGCTATCGCCTCCCTGTATCGTCTTGCATTTTTCAAATTCAATAATTTTCATATCCTTTTTATGGTTTCTAAATGGATAACTTTCTCCTTCGCTCATCCCAAAATGTAAAAACGCAAAATTTATGTTTAATGTTTTAAAATATCAAATTACTTTATCAAATGAGCTTAAGTGCTTTCCACCAATTTTATCTACTCTTAGCAGCAATAATGCACCAACACGAGACAGACCATATATAAATTTCATGTCACAGCTCACGTACCAAAAACAAGAAAAAATAAATAAACAACATAGATTCTTAATGATGTGTATATATATATAAATTTAACATATGGTAAACAAAAGCAGCGGGCCACATTTACTTTTGCAGCCACCTCTGCTTCCAACCTTACATTCACTTTTTCACCGTTTTTACCCATTAACCCACAAAAAACCACTCTTTAAAAAAGTTAAATAACTCACTTTCACCGACACCACCGACACACTTTCCTCGTTTCCACTTCTTTCACTTGGAAAAGAAAAGGCACAAAAAAAATAAAACATAAATTATCAAGCGGGAAATTTAAATTATAGATTAATTTAAACCCTGAAGTTCTTTCCCGTGAAAGTTTGACCAAATTGCCAATTTGAAGGAACAACATTCCATGAGGTAGAAGTGCGTCTGTCACTGCCCGTGACCCGGAAAGATAACGACTGACCAACCAAAACTGAGTTTGACTGCCAGTTTTGACCCCAGTTACGACTCATGCTCATCCACCCAGTCTTTGATCCCTTCACGCTCACCTTCACAATATCTCCTGCACCTGCAACGTTGGTGATCAAAACCAAGTTGAAGTATCGGTGTCCGTCGATGGTGAACCTGATTCCTCCCCGCTTTCTACAAGGTACCCTGAGAAAAATAACGATGGCATTTTAGTAATTTGGATATGATGATGTGGATCTCCCTTACAAGTGGGGAGAAAGTAGACAAGATTCTGTTTCATTAAAGATATTGACGGTTCTGATTTCTTCACATAATTCATTTGATCAAAAGTTTCAGAAGATTGGACGCTTAGAATCTTGAAAGACCAATCATTCTATACTACCATAGGAAACTTGGGACAGCTTTTTATTAGAAAAACCAATCACATTCCATAGTCCAGATTCATGTGAAACAAATCAATTACTCTGATTGACTTACAGCGTTAACTAATTATGTCATAATAAAATACTAACATTAAAAAAAAATAACCAAATTAAAAAAAAATGCTAGACTTTTCATAAATGTTAGTATTCATCTTTGGTATTTTTGGAACCACCTTTATTTGTAATAACAAAGCATGAGAAATTGTATGTTTACCGGCGGTAAGAGACAGGGACGATGCCGGCACGGTACTCGGCGATCTTGAGGAACATAGGCATAGCCAGATCAAAGTGAGGACGAGGAGGATTGCACCAACCGCCATTGTCACTAGCCAATGCATAATTAGGAGGGCAAAAATTTGTTGCGGTGATAAAAATTGATGGGCTACCAGAATGGCACCAGGTTGGATCATTAGCACACTTTAATTCAAAACATGCACCACAACTAAGGCCACTGTTGAACAAGGCTGTGCTTAGTGCTGCAGTGTTCACGCCATAGCCTTGGCTGTACAAGTTACCGTAGCCACAAGCACCGCCTGAATATAAGAAATAAGATTAATTTCCTTATATGGGATTTTGAATTTTTGAAATGAAATTTTAATATTCATAGACAATGCATAATATTGGTATGTGCTAGTTGTGTTTAAATGCTTCTGAAATCTTATTTTGGTTGGAACAGAGTTTAGTGGCTGTGAAAAAGCAGGAGAAGTTATGGTGTTGCTTTTTTGCTTTTATGGTTCTGTTCTGAAAAATGCAATAACAAAACATGGGACACCGTGCGAAATGTAGAATCAACTGATGAATATATCAAAAATACAAGAAGCTAACTACTTAGAATGAAAGGTTCGAGATTTCAGTACCCATAGTCCCAGAGGCATCATTGCCACCATAAAAAGTGGCATGGGCGCTCTGCCAGGCTCCACCAGTGTAAAAACCGGGAATTCTTGCCTCAACAAGAGTCAGAAACAGCACCAAAGACACAAAACAAATGGTAGCCCTGATAGCCATTGCTTTCACAAATCACTATACTATTATGGAGGGGCTTCTAGAGATGGGGATTTTGGGAAAGTGGGAAGGTAAGGAGAAGGCAGAGAGTGGAATGGTATTTATGGAGGCAAAAAGCATGGCATTGTCAAAAAAGAGAAACCAGATTATAATCACCCTTAATTAGTGCTTGATTTGGCCTCTAGTTAATTAAGCCAAATCTTTCTGTTATTCCCTCCCTTGGCGGTAACACTTTTCAACCCTCACTAAATTCTTACTCATTTCATTATTTGACAAAACCACCCTTGTGGTTTATCACATGGGGTGCTAAAGTTAGGGTTTTGGCTGAAAAGGGTAGGGGGTATTTGGTGGAATGATGAAGTAGGACACATGAGGATCAACTATCAAGGCTGATATGAAACCGCTTTGCTTCATTTCCAAGTTGTGCCATTGATTACAGTTTCTGTCTAACAATTTCTTTCTTTTTTGCCCCTTTTTTTGAACTTTTTGACTTTTCCTTCCATTAAAATTTCGGACTGACGGGAGGGGTGGGCTTGAATTTGGAGGGAATGGCGTGGCTGCTATCTTGTACGGATCGTAGAATGTAACACGCTTGATGCTTAAGACCATGTGCATGCGCTTAACAACTTCTGCTTTAATTAGTCTACAAATCAAGTGTATAACGTGGAAATTTTGCATGCATTACTTCTAATTACTGTGGATAATATAGAAATCTAGAAAAAGACTACACTCCAAATAATTTTACGTATCAAAAATGAAAATAATGCGTTGGTTTCACGTTGACAAGTTAAAAACATTACATTATACATTGTCCAGGTGATGTGCTGTTGATCATTTATTGATGATGTAAGCGCATAATGTGAAATTGACCTTAAACAGCGGTCGGAAGTTGAAAAACGCTGGCATTAGGAATCGTCAGAGAAAGCGTGAATATTTACTATTGCCCATTTATTGATGATGCAAAGAGCTTAATGTGAATGTCCATAAACAGAAATTAAAACTAGTCAAGATATGACAGAAAGGGGTAATAGATCCTTCTCTTTTCTTATGAATAAAGGGTAGTAGTTCTCATCCACTTGCAAGATGAAATTAAAGTACTGCTTGTAAGTTGCAACCGAGTAGGATACTGTATTCCATGTTCAACATTCTTAAAGTGGAAACCAAGCCAGCGCCAACTATGTACCACCCTCGTTGAAGATTTTCACAGAAAAGAGCAAATTCACAGGGCCGCTGTTAGAGGTAGGTGGGACCCAAATATCCGGATTTATCGGTCCACGTATTGCGCCGTGCATTAACCGTACGCATTGTTGGACCCTCCCTCTTCTTGGTCACGGCGTTCATTTCCTTCGTTGGACTCCAGTGTTCTAGCATATGGAAGTCACCTTATTTTTCAAACCTGCGCCCAATAGGAAAGCATATTGATTAATTCGTCAACCCCTTTCCGTAATTTTGATTTTTTTAAACTTTGACTATTGAAGCAATTCGGATTTATTTGTCCTTGAATAAATCTTCAGATACTTAGGATTAGATGGTTTTATGAATTGAACTAATCAAGGCATGTTTTAAAGAATCACGAACTGCAATAAGTTTAGGATTCCCCTGGAAATTCATCCACCTAACATCGGATGCTAAATCTAACCAGCAAGATCTTAAAAACGGTTAGGACGGTGTTCTTTACAGGTTTGGCATTAAGGAAGCAGAGTGATGATGCAGACTCCATGTCGATCTGATTATATCAACCAAATCTAAGAAGATCCACCACGTCATCAAACACAATTAAGCTGTTGTTCAACAACAACGCAACGACCTGCCACCCTTACCCAGCAAGATTAAGTATTTATTAGCTCATGAAATGAAACGAAACGAAACACCAACTCATTGCATGTGAAATTGCCTACCCCCACCACCAGTATTTCACCTCTCCACCCATCATCTTCATTTCTCTCCAAACCGCCTTCAATTATGTCACCCTAGCTAGCTAATGGCTAAAAGAATCTAACCATATCGAAATTTTAAATCATTTAAAATTGAATTTTTTAATTTTTAATTTTTTAAAATTTAATCAATTCAATAATTTTTAACTATCATATATTTTTTTTAAAAAAAAATTGACTTTTAATATTTTGAGTTGAAATTCTACACATACATTAAAAAAAGATCGATCTATTTTTTTAGAAAAATTCCAGAACTTTTCAAAATCAAAAAATTATATATTTTTATTTATTTATTTATTGAGCATTAAAAATTAAAAAAATAAACCCGAAATTATATTAATTTTTTTTTAAAAGTCTTATTTATATCTCATTGAATGATTTTCATTATAAAATTATTTATATGATTGTTATTTTTTTAGATCAATCTATTTTTAAAAAATTAACTTTTAATATTTTGAGGTGAAATTTTAAACTTACATTAAAAAAAATCAATCTATATTTTTAGAAAAATTCCAGAATTTTTCAAAATCAAAAAATTATATATTTTTATTTATTTATTTATTAAACGTTAAAAATTAAAATAAAATAACCCAAAATTATAATACTTTTTTTAAAAAGTCTTATTTATATCTCATTGAATGATTTCCATCATGAAACTATTTATATGATTGTTATTTTTTTAGATAGATGACAGAAAACCGAAAAATATGCTTAAAAAAAAATTAAGCTTTCAAAAGAACTACTACACATGCAATGAGAAATTTGAGATTCTTGAAAATGTTGATCTTTTAGAAAATCATTTGCTGCAACTTTTTTTCCTCTAACATTTAATGGCGCGGGCAAGGCAAGAGTTGTCATTGATTATTTGTTTGCTTGGCATGGGGTAATCATATGAATACCAATTGATTCGATCTGTTTGAAGTGAAATATACGATAACTATACATATCATCAGCTAGAATACAGAGAAAAGCATGAGACAATCATAAGTTTGGAAAGAATTTAAGTAAGTTTTTGATATAATTAATCACTAGCCTCACAACGATTCATTACGTTAATTTGAGGTTCGGTACATAGGATTAAGTAGTTTTGAAGGATATAATTAACATTCTATAAAATAATCTAATTACACCCACCTACCCCAAAAAAAAAAAAAAAGGAGGAAGAAGGGGGTGAGGGGCGGGCGGGGAGGGAAGAGAGAGCGTGTAGTGGAGATCCGAACTGGTTGGATCTGAGAGAGTGATAAAGTGCACTCAAAATCTTTTTTGCGTCTGGAGGATTAAACTGTAATTATAATGGCAGAACGAAATGAGAGAATTTTGGTCAATATAATCATGCTACCATGCTTTTGTGATATCTATGTATTGTTCATCGAAAGGTATCTCTCTAAGCTGAGCATGAATTAATCCCAAACACTAGATACCGTGTAAATCAAATAACTTGATTGGTCACGTCAGCTAGAACCCATTTTTTTGTTAAATTAACTGGAAAGTCCACATAATTTTGGACTATATAACTGGAAGTGATCTTCCTTTATTATATTAATTTCATAAAATAAATTAGAATTATGAAGACTCAAAACTTATTGCATTAAAGGAAATTATAGATCGATCCGTGTCTTTTTAAGTACTTTAACTGCATTCATCATTTACAAACACTTCAAAATGGAGTCCTGAAAGTTACAAACCGATCAATTGGTCACTAACAGGTCCTATACAAAAGCATTAATTATCATTGCATAACTATAATCGAGTTAAAATAATCTGGAACAACCTACTGTACTAATTACTCATGCCTGCTTCTTCTAGAAATTTGCCTGCTCTTTGTTGGACCATTATATTGGACCAAGGGACCATTTTTACCCTCTCATGTCTCCTATTAAGTAGAACCGATGTACCAATATTCAACCCTCTATTGAGCTTTACGCAATCCCTAAAAATGTTCCAAATTTCTCGAGCAAGCAAATTTGGATTTCTCGAGCAAGCAAATTTGGAATCATATCCTGAGTTTCTCTAGCCAGTAGCACCACTATCGATCAACTTTTCTTTTCTTCCCTTCTTTTTCTTTCCCTTCCTCTGGCCCATGTATCTCATGCTTTAATTTTTTGCATGATTCCTAGGCCCTAGCTAGGACGGTCCTCGTGACTCTTGCATTTGACCCTCAACTATGTGGCTACTTAACTACTTTAAAGCTCAGCGAAGAGTAACCAACAAACCAACTAACATAACCACCATCAGCCATGGCAATAGGTCCAAGCGAATCATTCCCATAAGCAGCACATGAATGGAAGGTCCTTTTGTGATTTGGGCCGTGCATTTTAGCATAATTGTATGGTCAAAATATATACTTCCTTTAACCTGCAGGAAATGAAATTTGCATCCGCCTCTTGTATAATTTGATTTTGGTGTTTTTGGGACCATTATTATTGCAACGATGATGCGACAAATCGCAGTCTCAGTGACATATTCTATGCAAATTTATCATACACGTTTTTTCAGGTAGCCATTAGCCCGACCCCATTTGAACAACTTCATAGTGTTCCTGGATGGTGGGATGCTTGTATGTCTGATACAGAACAGCTAAAGTTCTGCATATCTTCTCCGAGCATGTAGGTCCATCTATTAAGTTGAGCGGAAAATTTGAACAATTATCTTTGATGGGCCATTCTTTTTTTTATTTTTATTGTTGCTTTTGCTTCTGAACGCAATTCTTTTTAAAGAACTTCATATACACGGTTGGAGTCCAATTAATACTCCATTAGATATCAGTTGACATGATTGTTTACGGCCACTGTCAAAAGGGATGTCATTAGACAGAATTTATACTTTCTTTTAATTGTCACATTGAGAAGATTTAAAAATATTATATTAATACGTACGATCCATGCTTTTTAATTTTTTTATTGCCCCATAAGATCATTTGTTCTTGTATTACTCTTTCCAAGTAATCGTGGGAACCCAGAATTAGGTTTTTTTTTTTTTTTGGTAAGTTGCTCCAACAATAGTTCAACGAGAAAGGTTTATGATCAGCCCTTCAAAAGTTCAGAATACTAAAATTAATCATGCAAATGA